ACGAGGCGGAACGAAAGAGAGATCGCCACCCTCAGCGCGCTCCTGGTTCTAGAACAAGAGACGCATGGCTCCGCGCGGACTTCTCGGATCGGCGCTGGGCCCCCCTGCCTGGCATGTCGAGCGCGCCAGGGGCGGCGCCAGAGGCGCCGCCAGGGGGGCCCAGCTCCGCTCAAAGAAATCCACGCCGACCTTAGAAAGGTCAGGCGAGGCAGCCAGGGGGTCTGGGCTCGATGGGCCCAGAGAAAATCTGTCAAGACGGGGGGATCAGGAAAAATGAGCTCAGAATCAGTACCCAGACCCCATCGAGGGGTCCATCTGGAGCAGCACCTCACTCCGGATCCGATTCTGACAGCCCTGCCGTCGCAGGAGGCCGCCAGAGACAAAGGGGAAAAACAAAAAACACAACCAACATCTTCTCGAAACCACTCGAACCTCCACCTCTCCCCCCCCGCCTTCGTGCCGGCGGGGCCCAGGCTGGCCCACATCAGACCCCCAGCCGGCCCACAATTTCTCCTCCGAGCTCCCGCACACGGCCCTCGGCCCGACCCCCCCCCTTCCCGCGCCCGCCTCAGGACCTGAGCGGCCCCGGACTCCCGTGACACCCGCCCTGCCCGCGCCCTCTCGCACGCCGCCGCCCCCCGCGCACGTTCTGCAGGCGCGAAGAGGCCCTGTGGCACGGAGGGGGAAGAGGGAAGTGAACATCGTTGAACCGATCCCCATCCCCAGCGGCGTGGCCTGGGCCCCGCTGGCCGATTTAATTACCCCCCTAGCTGGGGAGATGGGCCGCTCCCTCCGGGGTTCGAGGGACGTATCTCCAACTGGGGGGGCAATGTGGTGGGGGTCACGAAGGGGATGGGGATCGGGCATCGGTTAAACGATACCGAGGAAGGGGCCAGGAGGAGGAGGAGGAGGAGGAGGAGGTGGAGGAGGAGAAGGAGGAGCAGGAGCAGGAGGAGGAGGATGAGGAGGGGGAGCAGGAGGAGGAGGAGGTGGAGGAGGAGAGGAGGAGGAGGAGGAGGAGGAGAGGGAGGAGCAGGATCAGGAGGAGGAGGAGGAGGAGGAGGAGGAGGAGGAGGGAGAGGGGGGGATGAAACAGCAGCAGCAGCGCGGCCAGGCGCGCCACGGCCAGCGACGCGAGCCGCCCGGCGCAGCGCGGCGCGCCGATCCGGCGCCCCCCCCCCCCCCGGCCCACCGCGCACGCGCTGCACGCGCTGCACGCGGGCGTTCCGCGAGGCCCCCCCCGCTCCTACCACGAAAAGCGGCGCCCCATGCGCCGCGCCATGCTTCGGCTCTCCCTTCAGGCCCCCCTCCGTCGCGGTGCCGTGCCTAGCCCTTCGGCCCGGAGGGCCAAGCAACGAGTGCTCACCGCACCGCCCCTGCGCGTCGAGGATTGACAGCGCCTCGGCGCGCGCCCACGCGGCACAATGCACACAGGCGCCCGCGGATCGTTCCGTCCCGGCGTCTTCCGCTCGCCCCGCCTGGCCGCTCCGCTGCTGCGGCGCCTCTTCCCTTCCCCCGCTCTCTCTCTCTCTCTCTCTCTCTCTCTCTCGGTCTCCTGCTGGCTGCCCGTGCCCCACCCCCTCGCCCCGGCCTCCACAAGACACTCGTTCCCGAATTTCGCGAACTGGCCCGATCTCAGCGGGACCCGCAGAACAATACTCCAAGACGAAGCCAGGACGAAGATGTAAATCCGGGTGGGGACAAGTCGGGAGTCTCTGAGAGTTTGCAGCTCTGGAGGATGTCTCGGGCGCCGCGGCCTTCTCAGAGCGTTCCGGAACACTCTGAGTTGGAGGCCTGGAAATGGGCACTCACACCAACACAGGGGGTTGCCTCCACAGGGGAAGATGATCCCAGATTTCGGTGTTGGCTGTAATCCTTCGGCCACCTTGGAAGCCTTAGTATTACCACCGTCGCCGAGATCGGAATATTCTTCCCTCGGTGGAAGCACACCGCCGATATTGATGCTGGTGTCAACCTCCAGGCCTGCGACTGCGAGTGCTCTGGAACGCTCTGGAACGGATTCATCCTCGTCCTGGCCCCGTCCCGTACCCCTACAGGAGGATTTGGAAGGAAACAATAAAAAAATAGTCCAACATTTTCCCCAAAATATCCAAAAATCGTCCCCTGACGTTTTTTGACTATTTTTGAATATTCCTCCTGTAGAGGGAGAGGCCCGACTTCATACTTAGCCTTGATTCCACGCGCCCTGGGGGGCAGAGCGGTGTCTGCAGGTCGCCCGCTGCCTCTGCCCGGCGCCGCCGTGGCGGCCTCCCATCGGGCCCCGGCTGCACCGCCCCCGGCCGACTGCTTCTCCCCAGACTGCAGGGGCGCCAGCTCGGCTCAGAGCCTCGGGCCCGAACTGCCCTCGCGCTGCCCGCGCGGCCCGCCCTCCCCCCCCGCCCCCTCCTTCGAGTGGCCAAGTCGTAGTACTCTCGCCCAGGAGCAGGAAGAGGCGGCACCACCGCCACCACCAGGGACCACCAGCGGGCGGTGTGCCCCCCCCCCCCCCGCTCGTCGCTCGGGATCCACCCCCTGTCCCCAGCTCGGGAAGGCAACGTGGTCGCCTCGCCGCCCCCGACCAGGCTGCCCGGGGCCGCGGCAGGGCAGCTCGTGGCAGGGCCTGGGCGGGCCACCGGCTGGCCAGGCGGGCCGTCTGCCGACTGCAGACGGGGCCGGCGCGGCAGCTGGAGCCACGTGCTGGGGAGCTCTCTCTCCTGCCTTCCCCTGGTGCGGGGGGCCGGAAGGCGCAGGAGTCGTGCCGACGCCGCCCGCCCTCCTCCTCCTCCTCCTCCTCCTCCTCCTCCTCCTCCTCCTCCTGTATCCTCCTCCTGCTCCTCCTGCTCCTCCTCCTCCTCCTCCTCCTCCTCCTCCTCCTCCTCCTCCTGCTCCTCCTGCTCCTCCTCCTCCTCCTCCTCCTCCTCCTCCTCCTGCTCCTCCTTCTCCATGCCTCCATGCCTCCATGCCTCCATGCCTCCATGCCTCCTCCTCCTCCTCCTCCTCCTCCTCCTCCTCCTCCTCCTCCCTGCCTCCTCCTGCTCCTCCTCCTCCTGCGCAGCATCCCCCGGAGCCCTCCGTGTCTAGCGCGCCCGCCTCGAGGGCGCGCCGAGGGGGCGGGCGGCGCGCTGGGAGAAGCCGCCCCCCGCGGAGGGCGCGGCGCCGCGCCGCACCGCGCGCCGCGCGGGGCGCCGCTGCGAGCTCCAATGAGTATCGTTTAACCGATCCCCATCCCCAGCGTTATGTTGTTCCCATCCGACTTGAGGACCACATCCCAGAAATAGTTTCGAGAACCCGGAAACGTGTCAAAAGAGTGTCGAAACAGTGTCAAAACAGTGTCGGGCGAGTGTCTCCCAGGGCCCGACACGTGAAAACCCTTGAGTTTCGGTACTTTCTTTGGAGCTCGAAAGTCTTTCTGGCAATCAAGGCTAAAGTAGGCTGGAGCATCATAACCCCAGCGGCGTGGCCTGGACCTCAGTGGCCGATTTACCCCCCTGGGTGGGGATGTAGGTCGTTCCCTTCGAGTTTCGAGGGGTGTATCCCCGACTGGGGTGGCAATGTGGTTGGGGTCTCGAATGGGATGGGGATGGGGATGGGGATCGGTAAACGATACCGATCCAAGACGAAGCCAGGACGAGGGCAAAGGCAAAAGCGGGCGAAGATCAAAAGCGGGCGAGGGTCACCCTCCCAGTCATGCTTCCGAACCTTCCGCCCTGACCTACCACCCCTTGTTCGATACTATGATCTGCGTGGGGGTCCCCGGGTTGCGTCGTAAGGTTCCCGTGAATTTCGATGGATTCTCCCGCACCTTCCGCGGAGGTCCAGAGGTATAGAAGTTGGAGGCGGAGGGAAGTCGAGAAGCTCTAAGGTCTGGCGGCTCTGGAGGGTGTCCGGAGTGCGCCGCGGCCTCCTCAGAGCGCTGCGGAGCGCTCCGAGAGCGTTCTGGAACGCTCCCGAGGCGGATTGATCCTCGTCCTGGACCCGTCCGAATCCTCTCTCCTCTCGTGGGGTCAGCGCGTGTATGCACCAAGGTGTCGGGGCTCCGCAGAAGCGCCGCGGGACATCGCATCGGGGATAATTGCCTGGCCCATTCTCCTGGCGACAGGTGTTCAATAGAGTCATCTTTGATCATACATACGCTGTGGCTGGGCAGACACTTGCCACCAAGTGGTGGACAAACGTAGCATGGTAGAATGGACATGCTCCTCGCCCCGAACTCGTCCACCGAATTGTTCTGAGCCCACCCAGGCATGCTCCGTGAGCTGTTGTACGTCTCGCCTGTCGTCCTCGTGCCTGGGCCTTCAACTCCCTGTGCTGGCATCGCCTTCGGCCTGAAACCAGTTCGCCGTTGCAATAAAGGTTGCTCGGATGTTCGAACCATCGCCGATGCGCGCGTCCGAAAGTTCATCCCATCCCTCGGATCGTCCGATGGGTCAATCCCCGGCTGGCTCTGCTGCAGGCGGTGATTGAGCATGGGGTTGGCATCGCAACAGGCCGCGGACAAAGACTGTGGGTGGGTGTGTTGAGCCTGATATTGGCGTGGCGTGCAGCGGTCGATCACGTTCGGCATTAACTGAGGCTACCTGCATTGCTCGCGCTATCACAGAAAGTGGTCAACTCACTTAGAGCGTGTCCCACCGTGAGATTCCCTGAACCGCAACAATCCAGCGCGCTGGAGGAAAGTGCGTATCAGTGTGTCTGAGTGCGTGGTTTGAGTGTGCGTGTGTGCGTGACTGTGTATGCGTGATGTCGCGAAAGAAAGTCCACGGTGCTATTCACGCGCCCGCCGAGCCTGAAGACTGCTGAAGGTTAGAGATGGGTGCAGGGAGCTGGAGAAAAAAAGAGGGTGCATCGGAGGTGGCACCTCGGGGCGAGGGAGAGGACGGGTGCGGCATCATAATCATGAGTGCAGCAGGCAACGGGGTAAACAAGCAAGCAGAGGCTGCAGATCAAGGGGAATGAGGTGGAATGTGGAGGGCAAGGCTGCCTTGCACTTCTCGCAGCTCTTACAGTGAGCGAGGAACTCGGCCTGGCTGACCGCACCGTCGCTGTCCTTGTCGACCTGAACGTTCTGAGGATAGAAAGAGGGAGGGAGAGGAAGAGAGAGAGAGAGAGAAAGAGAGGGAGGGAGAGAGACAAAAGAGGAAAGAGAGAGAGAGAGAGAGTAGACGAGCGTCATGTAACGAGCAAGACTGGCTTCGCATACGGTGATGGGCCTACTGTCCACCACCACCACCATCACCACAAGTTGGAGGGGGAAGGGGGTCGAGGACGAAGAGGAGGAGGAGGAGGAGGAGGAGGAGGAGGAGGAGGAGGACCCCCCCCCACCCTCCAGCTCCTGGTGGTGGTGGGAAACAGGCCTGTCATACAGGACAAGGAGCACCACCATGTGCGTCGCGTGCACCGTGCGCAGGCCCCTCTGGGCGGCGCGCGGCCAAACAGGGGTTCTTCTGGGAGACGCGCGGCCGCCGGACCATTGCACGACTGCAGCTCGGCCCAGCCTTGGGTCGGGCGTGTCCCCCTACAGGCAGGTGCTGGACGAAGAATTCTAACTACCCCAAGAAATATTCGAACATATTCCAGAAATGCTCAAAGCGATAATCCCCAGACTATTGTTTGACTACTTTAGGATACAGCCGGGCTGCTGAAATAAGGAACGCTGAATAAGGAACGAAGCCCTCTGTGGCTTCAAAAAAGCCTGGGTGCACGAGAAGGGCCAGAGGAACAACCACGGAAGGACGTAAGGAGCATCGAGCCCCTTCCGAAGCCAAACTATTCTTTATTCCGGAGTCTTGGCTGTACTCCTCCTGCAGAGGGACAGGCCCGACTTGAGCCCAGCCTGATCCTGCGCGTGGCGGCCGGGCGAAGAGGCACTGACCAGCGCCGTGCAACTGGGCTGGCAGAGGCCTCCCCTCGGGGAGAGCTGCGCGCACAGCTGGCCGCGCGAGCTGGCGAGCTCGGACACCAAGTGCAGGCAACAGAAGGAGAGGAAACCACATGAACATAAACTTTTGGCGCTCCGCGCGGCCCGCTCCCCGGCGCTGGGCCCGCCTCCCTGGCGCGCGGAGCGCGCCAGGGGCGGCGCCGGAGGCGCCGCTGGGGGGGCCCAGGCGCGGATCCAAGAGATCCGCGCGGAGCGCCTAAAAGTTTATCTTTATGTGTTTGTGCTTCATCTTCGAGGCAGAGACCCTGACTTGAAATGACCCAGACTGGACGTCCAGCCAAACACCCAGTACATCAGGACGGGGAACGCATGCGTGTCGCACAGGAGGCAGGAGCTGCGCAGGCCCTTCGTGCTACTTGAAAGGCCATCCCCATTCCATTGCCAGAGCGGTGTGTGCACACCAGGTTGTAGAGCGTGTGGAGGGGAAACATAGAGAGAGAGAGGGCGAGGAAAAAATAGCAATAACCAAAAACAGCACAACGACATGCGCCCAATGCATGCGGCCCCAAAAAAGCAAGCGCGCCTCTGCGAAAAACTGGTCCGACGTCAGCTTCTTCTCGGCGACGCTCTCCCGCAGCGCCTCCCCCGGGGAGGGACCCGGGCGAGGGCGCAAGCAGACCCCTCGCCACGGCCTCCTCTCCAGGAGCCCTGCTCGCCACCTCCTCCCGACGGCTGGTCGCATCCTCCCTCTGAACTTATGCTACAGTGGGAGCTCGACCACCGGAACCCTTCCACAAGAAACCCGACCCTGAGACCCCAGGCCGTCCATTGATTTTGGGTGTGGGAGCGTCGCGCTTTCCATGGCAAAACCATCGCAACCCAAGAAACACAGGGCACCCTGGAGGCAAGCAGGGTGTTTCTTGGCACGGGTTTCCACTTTAGCTCTTCTGCCAATCCTCCTGCACCTCTAGCCTTAAGTCGGGCCTGTCCCCCTACAGGGTGTTTTTCGACGAAAAATAAAAAATACCCCAAAAAATGACAACAACCAAAAGAATTGTCCAAAAATGGTCTGGGGACTATCTTTTGAATATGTATTGACTTTTATGTTTGGGATATGTCTTATCTTTCGTCGAAGCTCCCCCTATATGGGGACAGGCCCGACCTAACTCTGGCCTCGGGCCCCCCTCCTGGCACCGCCCCCTCCCGACCCGTCGAGCTGCCCCCCCCCCCTGCACATCCCGCACAGGGGCGCCAGCCGGGGCAGCCCCTGGCGCACGCCTCCCCGCCGGAAGCCCTCCCCCCACGCTGCCCCGCAGGGTGCGCGACGCGAAGTGGCCCCAGGACGAGGAGGAGGAGGAGGAGAAGGAGGACGAGGAGTTTTTTTTTTTGCATGCTCGGGCCATACGCACGAGGCTCTGGCCAGTCACCCTCCTGGTGGGGTGGCCCGACGGTGGCCAGGGGCGCCAGGCGCAGACCCAGGCCTACCGTCGGGCGGACAGCCCCTCGCAAGCGCACAGCACTGCCAGGTGGCAGTGGGCCTTGGACGGGCCTAGTCCGACGATCCCGAGTCGTCCGAGCCGAAACCCACGGGAGGGATGGGTACCCCATCCTCCTCTGGGCGCCTGCTGACAAGCTGCTGGCGCCTCCGACCAGCCTCGGACCACTGTGGGCGAGGCTGCAGGCTCGGGTGCGACTGACTCGGGATGGGCATCGCGCGCGCAGCAGCACGTTCGCGCTGTGCCCGCTGCTGCCTTTGAATTTCTGCGGTGTTGTACCGCTCGGACTCTGAAACAAAATCTGAAAACCTTGGATGCTTGCCTGCCAGGAGACGATTCCTGATGTTCGCGCGGCCGCCACTCTTGGGAGGGCGACCTGGACAAATATCTGGCAAGCCTCTGAAAGCAAACTGGGCGTAGCGCCCGCAGACGAGACAAAAGACGACAGGCACGGCAAAATGCGCTATTGCCATCTGGTGGCTGGCGTGAATGCCTTCGAGGCCGCGCCTGAACGCGCTGGCCAGTGGCTGACACGCTTGTCTCTCTCGTGCGACAGCTGCCTTATAAGATCGGGCGTACGTAAAACAAGCCCTGCACCTGTACGGTATCGGCCCTTGAAGAACCTCCCAGTCGTGAACGACGATGGTGGCCTGAACCTTACAGGGCAGGGCAGCTCTCTCGCTTTTGTGCCTGTTCCTCTGGCAAAGGGCGAGAACTCTGGGTGCATATAAACCTATCGCTCGAGCGGCCTCAATTTTGCGCTGCAGCTCCTGCAGCGCTGTCGGGTTGAAACTTGGGTGGCATTCCATTGCCGCCTTCGCCATCTTGTCCGCTGCTGTGTTGATCTCTGCAGCGAGCCTGGCCTCACCAGCCAGCTCATGAACATTCTGATGGCTCTTAACTTTGGAGGCCGTCTCTAGGAGGTGCCTGCTGTCCCGCGCAAGCGCTAGCTTGTGCAGGCCTGAATACTTTAGCTTGCTGCTGAGACGTGTCGGCAGTGGCCTAGCGTGCTGATCCAGGACCGCTTTGCAGTCCACCCAGGCCTTGGAAGGTTTGGTGAGGGCCTCCTGGAGGACCAGGAAGCCCATGTGCTCCCCAGCCTGAGAAGTCTGGGGAAGGCTGGCTGCCACAGCGCCATAAAATGAGGCCTCTGGGGCCCCGTCGGTACTGTAAGCCACTACCGAAAACGTCGCTCTGTCTAACTCCGCAATGCCTGTCTTGGTGCACGACCCGTCGGTTCCCGTGAGCCCCCCAAAGTGCGGAACCGTGTCTGGCTGTCCGTCGTGTCTGACAAATCGTACAATAGGCTTCTCCCTAGGCAGCGGAAAGTCATCGTGCTGCTCCCCTGGATGCTCGAAAAGACCGACGCAGTACAGGGGGCTGTTCTCTGGCGCCTCCAGCGCGTCCTGCAAAACGTCTGGCGGCAGCAGCTCAGTCCTGAGGGCGACTACCTCTGGATGCTGACAAGAGAAAAGACGGTGGTGTATGGTGTCCCCGAAGGCTTTACAAAGCGGGCATTCATTCGGCACATTGTAGCCTATATTGGCGAGTTTTTCCTCGGTCCACCAACCCTGGACCACAAGGGTCTGGAGGATCGCCTTAAACCTGGGGGGCAACTTCTTGCTTTTGGGGGAAAGCAGAGAACGGACAATGTCGAAACAAACACGCTTCACGGGGGCTGGGCTGGGTATACTCTTAGCTGCCATGATTTCCCATCTCCTCAGACATCCTTGGTGAAGCAAATCAGAAAGCAGGCTCGGCGAGGTGTCAGTGAGCCTGACCGTCCTGCCGAAGTGGTCCTGCAGCGTAAATGCGGATGTGAAACTCCAGCCGATTCGTTGAAGCGCATGAGCTGCCGCGCTGAGTGGTCCTCGCACGGCGTTATAACTTGCATGTCCTGCTGGCTGCACATTACTAAAAATCTCCTTGAGCTCGAGAAGTCCGATGGTCCCTGGGGTCACATACTTGCCGAGCGTCGTGTTCCACACTTCCTGGGCCCACCTGAGGACTGGCCCGAGGGCCCAGCGATCGGCCCTGGACCCCGTGAGGGCGAAGGCCGCGCTTCTGGATTTCCTAGAGGAACACGGGGTAATCTGAGCAATCTCAAGAGATTGCAGCCTGTACAAGGACTTGTTGCTTAGCCCGTCGATGGCGGCCCCGAAAGCCCCAGCGGGAAGGAGCCCAGTGGTGACAATCTTGCGACAACGCTGTCCCGCGGTCGCGGTGAGCTTACGCAGGCGTTGCCCCCTGACTGTCGCAGTCCTGAGCCTGACCTTGCGCTTAGCAGCGGCGCCATTGCACCCGAAGGACTTGCCCGCCGTAAAGTCACAACCTAAATTGGTGGCAACCGCTTGGAGCTTGCCCCCTGAAGTCCCAAGGGCGGAGGTGAGAAGCCTGGCTAACGACACCGACGACGCAACGACAGCTCCTTTGTGAACCGCAATCCTGGCTTCTAAGTCAACCTCGATGAGTCGGACAAGCTCCTTGGCGGCACTGACCACACGCTTGAGCACCCTGAGCGTAGTGCCGTGACAGGTGATGGTCAGGTCATCCAAATAGAAATCGAAATAGACTGCCGAGTGCAGCGACGTGATACGCAAGAAGGCTTCAAAACAATAAATCCTGACGTAGAGTATACAGAAAGAACAGCCTGCCACAATGCCGTTGGTGGCCGCCATAGGCTGGGCCACACAGCGCTTCCACGCTATGTGTCTCCAAGAGCCGTACCCTGCGAGATGATATGCTAGCAGAGTCTCAGGAAATCCTAAAGCCAGCGCACGGGCCCGCAACTTGCTTCTTTTGAAACGCTCAAAGAAGGCCTCCATGTCCCAGAGGACGCCCGCGGACGCCCCGCCTCCCGAGACGGCCCCTTCGGCTCTGAGACTCTGCCGCCATACCACGTCGACTGGCGATCTGCCAGCACCGCATGCAAACCAAGAGTGATCGTGCTTGGCAATCCAGTCCTGGGCGAAATGGAGGCGCAACTTGCCAGTGATTCTGTACATCATGGGAAAGATGCCGATGGGCCTGTAGCCTCCTGAAACCTTGCGAAGGAGGGCCACGAGGACCCACTGGAGCTGCCCAGGGAGCTCCCCCAGCACCTCGGAAACGTAGATGAGCTTGGCGAAGGCCTCTAGGGCCTCGTCCGTTAACATACTGAGATGCCTCATGTGGAACCCGTCGAGGGAGACCGCAGAGGACTTGGAGTAACTCTTGGAGATGTCCCTGAGAGCTTCTACTGAGGGGATCCCGATGGGCTCGTGACGGTCGTTGTCCCTGTGGAGGGGCTCCGCCGAGGGCTCCCAGAACTTCCCAAACTTGGCCTGGTAGGTGTCCAGGGTACTCTGAATGGAGGCCGTGAGCTTACCCTCAATGACCACCGTGTCGGGCTCCCATTTGGTGCGCTCCTTAATGAACTTGTGAGCAGCCTTGGCCCCTTTGTCGAGGGCCTTGTCGACCCAATCCTTCCAGGAGCTGGCATTAGCTGACCGCACGTCTGAAATGACCTTCTTGGCACATGCGTCAGCTCTGGCCTTGAACGAGAGCAGCTGCGCGACAGTGGTGGCGATCTTGCTGCAGCAAAAAGCTTCGGCTTCAAAGTCAGCGTGCAAGGCCATGATATACTGCTGGATATCTCTCAGGATCACGCGTGTGCACTCGTTCTGCATCACGTGCTGGGGCCTGGCACGCAAAATTCTGGAAATGAGCTCGAAAATGGCTGGCCTAGAGGCTCTGCCAATAACCTCCCCTGCGTACCTTTCCTCCTCCACTTCCAAATAGCTGGCTAGTCGGTGCATGCGTGCAGCAATCCAGCTCGGCGCCGTGGGGAGGAGGCCAAACTGCTTGTGAGCTCTATCCTTGTTAGTTATAGACTTGAGTGTTGGCTGCGGGGCTCTTGCTCTCAAGCCAGTCGGCCTGCGCTCTCGAATCCTGGTATTGGTCCGCTGTGCGAGCTCGAGCTCGGCGGCGTTGGCCCAGTGCGCGTAGGCCGAGGCGAAGTTGTGACGTAACACAACCTTGTGACGGTTACCTAAAGAGGAAATGAGCTTATTGATATGATATAAAACTTTATCCCATGAAACAGTGCTGTGATGCACTATGTCCTCTCCCTCCTCATCCTGATCGAATGAGGAGGGGAGGGGTGGTGTGGTGGGGAATTGAAGGACCTTGACCTCTCCAAAATCTGGTGGCAGATCCAGCATAACGGGGAAGTGCGGCCTAGCATCCCAGTCAAAATCGACGTCAACGCCCTGCACCGCGCAGGCGAGCTGTTGCTCGACGATGAACATGTCTATAACAGAACTGCTGGCCGTGCACGTGCCCATCGTGCAAACTGGTGCGAAGAGCTGACCCTTGATATAGTTGCAGAACTCCGAATGCTCAAGCTGATCTTGAGTGACATTGAAATCTCCTGCTATGATGTACTGCAGCCCTGAGACCTTAACCAAGTCGGCTACGGCCTCGAGGATGGCAAGATTGTCTGGCGAGAGGCCCTGACTCACGTGCCCGTACAAGGAGAGGCAGAGGATGCCCGAGGTCTGGGGGAACTCCACAACGACTCCCAAGACGCGTTGTGGCACCAAAATACCTCCAGGGGGCCCAACGGGTTCCTCGAGAGTGTAGCACCCAAGATCTTCGGCAACGAAGATGGCGACCCCAGCTGACGAGCCTATGTCCCCTAGACCATTGGCCGAAGGGGCAAAGGCGGCAGTGGCAACCGACGGGGCCCAAAAACTCTTCCAGCCGTGCCTGGAGGCCCAGTCCGAGGCCTCGGCAATGCTTAAATCCGAGACGAGGTGCACCTCCTGAGCGAACAAAACTTTGGTGGGTCCCCACGCAAGCTCGAGGAGGCGCTTCTTGATGGAGCCCCAGGAGGACCCATTGAAAGTCTCGAAACGGGTGCACTGAGGAGAGGAGGGTGAGGAAGAAAATTTGGCCTTCCCAGCGCTGGCACACGCTGGCGAGACCTCTGATCCGAAAGACTGGCATTCACGACTCACCGTCGATGCCGTCGACGCTGTCCGCGCGCAGCCGTTACCCGTACGGGCGATGGCCTCGCCCGCTGCCAGTCCCCTTGCTCGGCGCACCCAGCTGCCGCGCGGCCGCGGCCTGCTGGTCCTGATATGCGGCTCTGGCCTTCTGGATGGCCTCGAGCTCCTTCTTCGGCACGTGCTTAGCAAGGGACTCCATCTCAGTCTTGAAGAATTCGGAATCGAATATTGGCGTGTCCGTGGTAGATGGCACTGGTGATGGTGGCGGCTCCGACCTCTCGGGCAATGTCTCCACCATGCTGGCCATGTCATTGATGAACTGCAGCATGTCTGCATTGTCTGCGAACTTCTTCTTTGCCTCCTCGATCTTGGCCTTGGACGTCTTCGTGAACTCTGCGAGCGATACAGGAACCTCCTCTGGTGCCGTGTCGGCCCAGACGGACTTGGCGTTCTGCTCCTCGCGCTGCTGGTCGTCCATGGCCTGCTCGAGGCGCTTCTTCTGCTCGTCTATGGACTGGATGTTGGCGTCGAGCTGCTGCTGCAGCTCCTCCTGAACCTTCTCCAGCTCTGAAATCTGGTTCTTGATCTTCTCGACCTTCTCGGCCGCCCGCTGCACTCGGGTGTGGCAACGAGCCATGCGCTGCGCTGGCGGCAGGCTGGCAGCCTGCGCCGCGCGCGCCTCGACCAGGTCGGCCCTGGCCTGCTGCAGCTTGGCGGCGACGTCGGGCATGACGCTGGCGTCGAGCTGCTGGTAGGTGCTGACGAGAAGCTCGAGTTGCTCGATCTTCTTGTCCGTGTCGCTGGCGTCGGCCGCCTCGGGTGTGGGCGCTGACGCGTCCTTGCCCTTGCCGAGGCCGCGCGAGCCCTTCCCGCGGCCAGGGGCTGCGCCTGCGGGAGAGCTGCCAGCTGCTGGCGGCGGGCTGGCGCCAGCTGCCGCTGCCAAGGTGGAGACGCGCTTGGCGATGGCGTCGAGCTGCTGCTTGGAGAGCCCAGCGGCCCCGCCTGCACTGCCACCGCCCTTGCCACCGCCTGCGTTCTTGCCGCCGCCTGCGTTCTTGCCAGCGCCCTTGCGGCGATTGGCTCCACGCTGCGGCTGATCACCCTTGTCGTAGTAGAGCCCGCAAATATGACACCACAGCTTGCCGCTAGCCATAGGAGTCCAAGAGCGCGGGCCGCACTTCTTACACTGAACCCAAGCAGCAGGGCCTGCGGCCTTCGCCATGGCTGAGACCGTGCCGTGCTGGCGAACTGCTCCTCTTGAGCGAGAATGATGAGTGCGAGAGGGCACCGTCCGGTGCACAAGCAAAGACTCACAGGCAGGCCCCTGGGACGCGGGCCGGGCCTGACCTGGAGTGCGCGCTGGCCCTGCGCCACCTCGAGAGATGGCAACTTGAGCCAAAATGGCTACGGAGAAGGAGGACGAGGAGGCGGAGGAGGAGGAGGAGGAGGAGGAGGAGGAGGAGGAGGAGGAGGAGGAGGAGGAGGAGGAGGAGGAGGAGGGGGATGAGGATGAGGAGGAGGAGGAGGAGGAGGAGGAGGAGGAGGAGGAAGAGGACAAGGAGGAGGAAGAGGATGAGGAGGACGAGGAGAGGAGGAGGAGGAGGAGAGGAGGAGGAGCCCAGGAGGAGGAGGGGGTGGCTCCAGCGGTGGAGAAAACAAGCCCGGCGACGAGCACCAAGCGCCCAGGGCGAGGGGGGGGGAGGCGTCCTCCCCCGGGGAGGCCAGGCAGGACGCCCCCGACTTGCAGAGGGGCGCGCCCCGCCTCCTGCGTGCCCTCCCGGCCCTGCCCCCTCCTGCCCGCCGCGCTCGGACCCCGCGAGCCCGCCCAAGACCGAAGCCCCTCCTGAGCCCGGAGCTGCCCTCGCCTCCGCAGCCGGACTGCGCCCCCCGAGGTCCGCCAGCCACGGCCTCGCCCCAGAAGGGCCCGTCGGCATCGGCGGCAGTACACGCGGTCAAAAAGTGCACCGACGCACAGCGGATCCGCGCCGCCGAGCCATGGGCGGAAGCTGCTCCCGCCAGGGCAGGCTGTGCCCGCCGCCAGTGGGGAAACCAACAGGTACTGATACCGCTACCCCCCTCGAACCTCTCCCGGGGTGCGTTCTGACCAGCACTTCGAGGCGAAGCCAGCGGTGGTGCCGAGGGCCGCCCCGGAGGCCCAACGAGGGGACAGCGGGCGAGGGGGTCGAGGTAGGGGTGCCTCTTCCTCCTCGAAGCCAAGCATCGGTCGAACCCGGCTCGCCCCCGAGCGCACCAGGCCGGGCGGCACGCCCCCGCCCCCCCCCCCCCCCGTGGGGGGGGCACCATGGCCACTTGGGCGCGCAGCGTGTCGACCTCGGCGGCCTCCAGCTTGGCCGCGTGGGAACGCGCCTGCGCAGCGGGTGCGGGCGGATCAGGGCGGGGAGGCGAGGAGCGAGGAGGAGGGGGAGGAGGATGGGGGGGCGCCAGGGGGGCCCAGCGCAGATCCGAGAAATGCAATGGACCTATCATCGAGAGAGAGAGAGAGGGAGAGGCGGAGGGGAAGGGAGATGGAAACGTGGGGGGGGGCAAGATATCCGAGCGGACCGTCAAAAGAAGTTCTATGCTTGGGCGATCTGTCCGTCCTCGAAAGAGAGAGAGAGAGAGAGAGAGAGAGAGAGGAAGGGGGGGAGGATAAGGGGATAGAAACGTTTGGGGGGCAAGAACTCCGCGCGGCCCGTCAAAAGTGCATGTTTAGGCGATGGTCGTGTTCGATGGGAGGCGCAGAGACATGCTAGTCCTATATGTCCTCCCTGGAGGCGCGCGTCCGACCCGAACATATGGTATACCCATCTTGTGGTAGATCGTTTCCCGAGCGGTGCGGCCAGAACGCGCCCGCCACGACGCTTCTCGGTGCGCGCGTCCCCCCGGGGGGGGGGGGGGGCGACGCAGGCATAGTATAAGGATGTTGGGGTGACGCCGATTCGAGAGAGAGGGAGAGAGAGGCATCCAGTGCGGGCGCGGCCGCAGGACACCCTCGCAAGAAGCCTGACCCTGAGAGCCCGTGCGCGAGGTGCACCAGAGGGGAACCCGGGAGCACCCCGAACGCAGCAGCCCCTTCAGCGGCCGCGGGAGGTCGCCGTGCAGCGCGAGGAGCGAAGAAGCCCGGAATACCCTGACGAAAAGCACATGCTTTCTGGATGCGCGCGCGCCCACGCATAGGGAAAGGGGGGTGGGAACGTGGGTGGGGGGGGGGGGCGGGAGCGGGAGCGGGAAGTGGAGGGGTGGGGCGAGGGGCGGGCACCGGGGGGAGAGAGAGGGAAGGCGCGCGGAGGGGGGCCACGCGGGGGGGGGGAGACGGGGCACCAACGAGGGAGGGCGGCATGGATGGGTCTCTCTCTCTCTCTCTAGAGAGAGAGAGAGAGAGACAGAGAGAGAGACAGAGAGAGGAGGGCTCGAGCAAGGACCGACCGCCCCGGCATTACTATAGGCCTACCACGGAACGTTCCTGTTTAACCCCAAGATGTTCTAAGAACAAGACCCATGTTCTTAGGACATACACTCTATGTTTTTGGAGAAGACAGAGTCAGCCCGAAGTGTTCTAAGAACAGTTCGAGCAGACCACAAATGGTTCTTAGAACAGTATTTGGTGGGCCTATAGGAGAGCCAGGACGCTTCGCCACTGCTTGCAGGTCGGGAGAGAGGATGCAGGGGGGATAGCAGAGGGGGAAGGCAGAGAGTCAACTCACGCCGCTGGTCCTCGCCTCTCTGGCGCCAGGAGGCGCCCATGTACATCGAGGAATGGGCCCAGCGGCGGGGCCGCAACCGGCTTCATGCAGCAAATGTCGTACCCCCCCATTCCACTGTGCTGCCCTTTCGTTCCGCCCCACGAGAGAGAGAGAGGGAGAGAGAGAGAGTGAGAGAGGGAGAGAGGGAGAGAGAAACACAGGGAGACAGAGAAAGAGAGAGAGAGAGAAGACGCAGCATAAACCGAATAAGAACAAGAAAAAGGAGAAGAAGGAGAAGAAGGAGAAGAAGGCGAAGAAGGCAGGAGAGAGCATTGCAGGCCCCGGGTTGCCCCGGCCAGTGGCGGCGCAAGCGCACACGCACAGCCGGACGCCCTTCGAGAGGGCACCGGGGGCGGGGCGGCCGCAGCCGCGGCGGAGGGCGCCTTCTGGAGGGTCAGGGCCACGGCCCTGAGGCGGATGTCGAAGGTGTCGGCCTTCACCTGGGCGTCGGGCGGGAAGGCCGTGCATGGGGCCCCTCCCCCTTCCCGGCCCGCCCGCCCTGGTGGGTCCTCTGCTCTGCCTTCCCCGGGCAGACCTGCAGACAGCTCGAGCAGATCATGCCCCCTGCTCCTGGTCCGCCTCCTCCTCCTCCTCCTCCTCCTCCTCCTCCTCCTCCTCCTCCTCCTCCTCCTCCTCCCTCCTCCTTCTCCTCCCTGGCTGGTGCTCAACATGGAGCCCACCTCCCCCAACAGGGAAGCCAGCAGCTTTCACCATAGCGACCTTCCAGAGGGCGCTCAAACAAAAACTCCAATGCGGACCTCGCTCTTCTGGGTTTGGGGCCTCCAGGGCCGTTGTTGGGGCCGCCGGGCTTTCTGAAAACGATCTGCGACGAACAACTTGTCCCAGCGACGGGGTGGAAAGCTCCGAGGGTATTCAGAAAACAAGGCGTCTGACGTTCGATTCTCCGACCTCCTCAGGCACTTCAAGAGGGGTACTCCTCCTCCTCCCCCTCCTCCTCCTCCTCCCTCACCCCCTCCACGCAACAGCGAGACGCACGAGCGGGCTTCGTGAAGCCCCCCCTGACAACGAGAGGCGAGAACCAGTCCACCGGCTCCTTGTCACTCGCCCCGCGAAACCCGTCAAACGCCTGAACCAGTTGGCCACGAACGTGGAAGGGGGCTGGCTCAGGAGGGGGTAACATCGAGCTGATACAGCGCCCATAGATCGCCGATAGATCCCCGATGGCGAGTCCGCACTCTCCACGGGGGGGTGGGCTGCCGACAGCGAATCGGCGATGAACGGGCGATGGGGGCTCGCTGTTTGCCCCCCTGAGCCTAAACCCCCCACTACGCTCCCCTTGACGAGCCCCTCCCCCAAGCATTAAGCAGGGCCTGTCCCCCTACAGGCCGAATTTGTTGGACAAGAATTATTTGAAAAAATACGCCCAACTGGTCAAAACAATACAACAAAATGCTCTCCCGAAAAATTCTTCAACTCTTTTTGAAGATTCCTCCTGTAGAGGGACGGGCCAGACGTAACCCCAGCAGCGTGCCCCCAAGGATGGGAGGGTGCAACTCCGCCCTCGGTCTATGCAAGAAGCCGAACCCTATACACCGACGCCCTTCTCTGGCCTCACACTGAATCTCGCACAGGAGAGCGGATCCTGGTGCAGACGGGATCCTGGTGTACACATTCTTCGTCGCTCCCCCAGGCATTTGGGGAAAAAGTATGCACCACACCGCCCCGACGTCGTCCACGACCCTCAAAAAAAGGCCTGGGATCGAAAGGGAGCCCGCCACTGGTAATGTAGATGTTCGAGTTTCCCACCATGGGCCAGCCGCTCAGGACAGCCCGACGATCGGGTCGGGCGAAAGGGGGGGGGATAGCCAACGGGGGGGGTTGAGACTCAGCTCACGTAGTTGATCTTCCTGGCGCCGCAGGCGGCTATGTATCGAGGAATGGGCCCCTCGGTGGGGCCGAAACCAGCTGCATGCCGCAAATTTCGTAACCCCCCCTTTCCCAATCCCCCCCTTTCGTCCGGCCCAAGACGACGGGCGCGGCACTCGGCCTCCGGCAGAACAACAGGCGCCCGAGGGCAGCCCGCGCCAGCGCCGCGCGGGCAGCCTCGGTGGGCCCAGACTCGGACCGCGGTGCACGACGGTGGCGCGCCCCTCGCCATCGCTCGGACGTGCATGTCCCGTGCATTTGTCGGTGTCGGGCGTGTGTTTTTGTTTGCTCGATGGATGGTTCTCGATGGTTCTCGACGAGAAAAAAATGCACACGTCCGGGCGATGCCAATGCCCCTGCAGCTCTCGTGTCATCCAGGTGGCCGCCGAGCCCCAAGGTTTGGTCGTGCATGTCCTCCTACGGGCGGACGTGCGAGGAAAAATGAGAAGTAGCAAAAAGAGATTAAAAAGAAAACAGAAAACATGCAACAACTGTCGAAAAATCGTCCCCAGCCTATTTTTGTTTCTATGCTTGAACCCTCCTCCTGTAGAGGGGCATGCCCGACCTCACCCTGAGAGAGAGGTGGGGCACCCGGCACCCGGGCGCAGCCGAAGAGATGGCGGGTCGCTCGCCCGCCAGGGCGCGTCTCGATAGCTCCTGCAGCCTGCCTCCCCAGAGATCCGACGTCGTGATTTGTTCCCTGCGCGGTCCCCGGAAGCCTCGGCCCATTCCTCAGGACCGGCTCTTCATCCTGAGGCGTTTCTTCACGGCCCCGGGGCCCGGCGAGGGCCCCTAGAGAGGCCTAACATTGGGGAAAAAACTCCGTCTGGATGTTTTCCATGCGTCGGATCTCTTCGGCTATTCGCAAGAGCGTCCCTGGGTAAGAGTGACCTTTGGTGCGCGACTTTTGGGGGGGCCGCGGGGTGGACCAAACCTGGGCGCGCAAGCAGCTGCTACTGCTTCGCTTTCAGCCATCTGGGGGCCCATCTGTGCCCGCACCAAAGGCCACTCCGGCGAAAGGTCACTCTTACGTCCCGTCGATCTCTGCCTCAGGGTCGAGGGGCCGGCGCAGCCCTGGCCGCGTCGCCGGCCCCCTCGCCGCGGGGCTGGGCGCTGGCCGGCCTCGAGCTTGCGCGACTCGAGCTTTGCGAGGGGCTTGAGCTCCTCCTCGGCCGCGGGGGAACCGCAGGGGGAGGGCGGAGGTATCTGGGAGGAGGAGAGGGGGGGGGGCGGAGGGGAAGGCGGGAGGAGGGGGGGAGAAGGGGACAGAGGGGGAGGGAGGGGGATTTGGGATGGCGCGCGTGAGGAACCGGAGGGAGGGGGAGGGAGGACGGAGAGCGGAGGGACGGGGGGGGAGGCTGCGGGAGGGGGGCACGGGGGGAGGACGCGGCACTCGCCGGGGCCAGGGTGCCTCTCGGGCGGCGGTGTGGCGTCTGGCTGGCCCGCGTGCGTAGGGCCGATGACCGCCGTGCCTCCCTCGGGATCCGACGAGGAGGGGGCCAGCAGGAGGGGCACCGAAGGCCCTCCGAATACCGAGATTCGCTGCATCGTCCCTGCTCCGTGGCTTCCCCAGCCCAGCGCCACTGCGTCCCAACGGCCGAGCCGTGCTCTTCCTGGCGACCGCCCGCCTACATCCGGGCGGCTGTGAATGGCACAGGGGCCGAATGGTACTGGGAACGGGTCTTACCAGAGAAGGCATCATCAGCGGTGTTACGCCGCGGCTTACGCGGGCCGCAAGCGTGGCGCGCCGCGTGGAAAGGCGGGCACTCGAGCGCGACCTCACGCGGGGAAGACTCCGCGCGAATGTCCCGGCAATCGACCCCGCTCTTTTCCGCCGCTCAGACGGACAAGGCGTGAAGGGGTGGAACATTCTTAACCTCGCGCCTACTGCTCCTCCTCCTCCTGCTCCTCCTCCAACTCCTCCTCCTCCTCCTCCTCCTCCTCCTCCTCCTCCTCCTCCTCCTCCTCCTCCTCCTCCCATCATGAGAGCAACTCCAAGCGGGGTGCCGGAGTCCTCCACATCCACCACGAGCTCTGCGATCTTCTCTCGCGCCTGCCGCCCCCGCTCCAGCACGACCATACGACGGCGCAGATGCGGCGGCGCAGCGCAACGACAGCTGACTGACAAAGGGGACGCGCATGGGAATCTCATCCTCAGGAGGGCTACAGTCGGGGCGTTGACCTAAGGAGCCCCAAATATGGAGCGAGACCCCTTTTCCCATACGTTGAACTTCGACTTCCCATGGAAAACCCAAGGCAAACTGTAAAACAATCAAGGAACACCGAGCCCTTCGCCAACGAGAAGGGTTCCTTCTTCTTCAGCGCCCCGACTGCAGCTGGGACACCATCGCCCTCTGTCTGCAGGGCTCCACGCTCGTCCTGGCGCGAGATGGGTTGAAATCCATGGGCACCCCCTCATCGACGGGTCAAGGTCGGCATGTCCGGCATCAGACCCGTGCGTCGATGTATAATCTCGCGCGGCAGAGACACTTGGAACCGAGAACTCAAGCAACGGAAAATACAGCAGGCGCGAACGGTAGGGACGAGGGAAGCGGATGGGACTACGACAGTGAGAGCGATAGAAGGAGAGGTGATGAAGGGGGGCTGAAGATGAACAGGAGAAGGGTGCGAAGGGAGAGGCATGGGGAGGGGATGCGGAGAAGCGACGACGAAGGCTGGCGAGGGAGGAATTAAGACAACGGCCACTCAAAATCGGTCCCCAGACCCCTCCAGGGGTCCGGACGCACCTGTCTTCCGAGCTGCGTCCAACACTGGCGACGAGGGGCCCCGCCGAATGCCAACTACCGTTGCCTCAACCCGCCCTCCCTGGAGTGGAGAGGAGGGGCGAAAGGGAAGGGCAAGAGGAACCCGACTGCACGCAGCGCGCATCACGGCGGCTGGCTCGGGCTGCCACTGCTCTCGCGACCCGAGCTCTCACCGCGGGCCCGCCCGTCTCTCTCTCCCAAACTCTGGCCTCACGACGCGGACGGGAAGGAGGAGAAAACGGAGGGGCGTGAGGAGAGGAAAATGGGGAGAGGAGAGGGGGTAGGAAGGGAACCCGGACGAGAGGGAAAAGGTGCAGAGGGAGGGGCAGGAGGAGGAGCAGGAGCAGGAGGAGGACCAGGAGGAGGAGGAGGAGCATGCGAGGAGGAGGAGGAGGAGGAGAAACGGAGGAGCAGGAGCAGGAGGAGGAGCAGGAGCAGGAGCAGGAGGGGGAGGAAGATACGAGGAGGAGGAGGAGGAGGAGGAGGAGGAGGAGGAGAAACGGAGAGCATGAGGGGGGTGTGATGCGGCAGGGGGCTCGGCGCGCGGCACCGCGGCGTGGGGCGGCGGAGAGGAGAGGAGGGGGGGCCGTGGTGGGAGATGCTCGGGCGCGAACTATTGGGGGGGGGGGGCGATGACATCGGGGGAGGTGGGGGCGGGAAAGGGTGCCCCTGTCGGACCCGGAAGGCCCCCCTCCCAGGGGCCCCCCCAATGAGGGCCCCAGTTCGGCGGCCCCCGTTCGCCCCCCCCGCCTCCTCGATCTCGCCCCCCTCCTGGGGGGGTCCACGTGTGCAGGGCCCTGGGCATCTCCCGGGGCCGCCCGGGGCAACGCCCCGATGCTTCGGAGGGTCGGCGCCCTCTTCCTGCAGGGATCTCAGCTGGTGTCCGCGGCTCCTCCGGGGCCTCCCACTGGCCATCGCTCGGACGTCCATTCCCTGTGCTTGTTTCGGTGTCGTGCGTGGTTTCCTCGCCAGATGATATCGAGGATGCTCCTCGATGGTCTGCGCCGATAGAAGACAAGTGCACGCGTCCGAGCGACGCCAAAGTCCCGGGGCTCCGCGGGCCTGGGGGACGGCGGGGCCGACGGGGCCCATCGAGGTCCCACGCGTGCGCCAAGGGTGTCTCGCGGCTCCAAATTGGGCCCCCCGGGAGTCCCAGGAGCCCACGGGCTCGGGGCATCGGCGGCCCCTGTGGGGCCCAGGGGCACCTCGGGCGGGCCCAGGGGAGTGCAGGGCGGGAGGGGGGGGGGGGGGGAAACGACGGGAGGGGGCGGCGAGAGAGAGAGAGAGAGAGAGAGCCAGCGGGAGAGAATATTGGAAAGACTCCGCCTCAAAATCTCCTCATCTCAGTGGTGAGGGAAGGCACGGGCACGGAACTACGAGCAAGCGCGTCAGGTGCACCAAGGGGCAGGATCGATGTGCACCCCCCGTCGGATGGTCGTTCTGGGGACTCTCCTGGGGCCACTCGCTGCGCACCACTCGCGCCTCGATGCCGCGTCGAACGTCCGCCGACGTCGAACCTCAGCCGACCATGAGTCGAACCCGAACAATGCTGGAGTCGAGCAGAAAACCGAACCACACTCAAAGCGTAGTCGAACAGTCCCCGCCAGGTGGGCCCAAAGAACGGTCCCCGAAAACCGAACATCCGACCCACTTGATGGGTCAATGTTCCACCACCGCTACCCTAGGCAGGACGGGGGTGAAGGGAGGACGGGGAGGTCCTCCTCCTAATCCTCCTTATCCTGCTCCTCCCCCTCCTCCTCCTCCTCCTCCTCCTCCTCCTCCTCCTCCTCCTCCTCCTCCTCCGGTCCTCCCGTTCCCCTGTACGTGTGGCACCGGTGGTGGAAGATCGGCCCGTCACCCCCGGGTGCCTCGGCCACCTCCGCCTGCGCCGAGGACAGCCTGCACCCCGCGTCGCCGGCGGGGCGGGGGGCCGCGGGAGACGAGCCCGGGGGGGCCGCTCCCCGCCTCGCCCGAGCCCGTCCACCAGCCTGCCGAAGGCGGCTCCCCCTTCAGCTGTCGTCGTTTTCCTCCTCGCTCGCTCGCTCTCCAACGAAGGGCTCATAGCTCCGAAGCTCTAGAATCCAGGATGAAAGCAGGGCGAGGGCAGAACCCCCTGCCGTGCACATGCGGAGGAGGGGCGGGGTGACGATGACGGAGGAAGGGGCACGCCTCACAGGCCTGGCATGGGCAACGCTGGCCATGACACTGGATCTCGGCAAACCGCAGAGGAGGGCAACATACCAAGTCGTTTCTGGGCGCAAGGTGCCCACAAGGTCCTCGTCCTCCTCCTTCCCCTGATGGGGTGCACCGGCGTGAAGGCGGCGCGTCGGGGCCCCAGGGAATACGAATTCCGCCAAGCATTGACCCGAGCGGCGGCGGCGCTGCGGTAGGAATGACAGGGTGTTGGTCCCGGGGTGGTGCAATGAGGACTTCGAGGCCTGGCTGCTCTCTGCCGTACGTGCCCCCCCCGTGTGCCCGCCAATGTTGGAAAGGATGTGGGGCCAGGGTCGCTCCGACCACTGGGGTGGCGGAGGAGGCTCGGGGGTGCGGGCCACCTGACTACGGGTGCCTCCAGGGCAGGTTTTAACACGTAGGATTTATATGTATATATATATATATATATATATATATATATTGGATTGTTTATACATGACTCGTGTATGAATACATCGATGCATGAACTCGTCTTTGTATTTAGCACTAAATCCATGCATTTTTATACATGATCCGCACGCGGAGCATGTATTAAAAACAGCACCGTACGGGTGCCTACGGGCTATGGGGGTGGTGCTGGGCCCCGCTGCGTTTCGCACCGCGCTACCAACGCGGTGGCCGAGGGGGTTCCTGGTCGGGCGACATCCAAGCATTGGCGTCATTGTATGAGCGTGTCGCCAAAAGTGCGCCATGAATGAACCTTGATCATCTCGAAAGGCCTCGCAATGCAATCCCTGGCTATGTACATCCGCTACCTGAACGCAGCGCCTCCCCGCTGGGGTTGGCAGCTGCTGTGACGACGGCACAATCTCAAGCAAGTTTTCATCTAGGGAGCCACCCGTGTTGGATCGAGAATGGATTGTGCGACAGGGATTCCCCAAGGTTTTCCCAGGGTACTCCTCCTCCCCCCCCCTCCTTCGAGCTTCGAGCTTCGAGGTCATGGGCCTCGCCTTCTGGTGCGGCGAGGCCCTCGCTGAGAATGCCGGGAGAGCCAGAGTGGGCGGGCCAGCGCCTGCACCTCTGACGCGCCTGAAGCGGCGTCGGCGGCCCCGCCGCGCTCACAGAGGGGCCCAGCCCAGAGGTGTCTGCACCCCGAGCGGGGGAGGTCAGGTCCAGCGCCCGCCTCCTCCGATCGAACGCCCTCGTCCTCTCGTGCCTCAACCTCAGATGCCGCCGCAGCACGCTGTCAACGCATCAGTGAAAGAAACACCAAGCATGAGCAGAAGACAAAACGCCATAAACATTAACTATTGGCGCTCCGCGCTGATTTCGTGGATCTGCGCCTGACCCCTCTCCCGCCAGAGGCGGCACCGGAAGTGCCGCTGGGAGGGCCCAGGCGCGGATCCAGGAAATCCACGCGCAGCGCCAAAAGTTTATGTTTACAGCGTTTTTCTTCTTCGAAGCATACCACGCCTCCCCACGGCTCCTCAGAAGTTCAAGTGAATGCACCAACTCGCTTAAAAAAACCCTAAAACGTGATTCACGACACTGGCATCAGGAAGCTTCACACAGGCAACCCGCCATGCCAGGCACATACAGCACCACATCTTGCTGACCCCAAGGTATTTCGCCACCAGCAGAACCCAAACGACCAAACGCGGCCCCCAATCGGGAACCCAAGGAACTGGCGCACGACCACGCCGAAGCAGACTGGGGAAACCCCGCGGGCACCCACAAACAACGCGAGCGGAAGCCAGCACATCTCCCGCAGTACTGTGCTGGGGCGGCCCGTGGAGGCCGAGGTGCTGGCCCCGCGAACACGAACGGTAAGAACACAACGATAGAAGGAGGCCACCGCAGCATTGCGGACGGGACTGCTGCTTCGCATTACGGAAAAGTGTGTGACTACAGCGCAAGCACGTGGTAACCCAGAAGGCTTGAGTGAAAACGAGCCCAGTACAAGACGAACGCAGAAGCCCGCCGCCGCATCCCCTTTTCACTCCTGCCTCCTCCTCCTCCTCCTCCTCGATCGTTTCTGCTTCCTTTATTTGTCAATTATCCCAGTGCGACCCTACCTAGGAGTTCGAGCATTTAGGAAAGCAACATCTACATCTACACCGACAGCTACATGTGCATCTACACCTGCATCTGCATCTACATCAACATCAACAGCGAAACTCACATCTACATCTACGTCTACACCTACATCTACCCCGTCACCTACATCTACATCCACACCTACATCCACATCAACAGATACACCTACACCTACAGATACATCTACATTGTCGCATTGAGTTTGCTTTTGCTTTACATTGCCTTTGCTTTTGCGTGTGCCTTTGCTTTTGCCTGTGCCTTTACTTTTGCTGTTGTGTTTGATGTTGCTTTACCTCTTGCCAAGCTAAGCTAAGTTAAGCTAGGCTAGGCTAAGCTAAGGTAAGCCAAGCTAAGCTAAGCTAAACTAAGATAAGATGAGACATGCTAAGCTAAGCTAAGCTAAGCTAAGCTAAGCTACGCTGAGCTAAGTTAAGCTGAGCTAAGCTAGGCTAGGCCACGCAAAGCTAAGCTAAGCTAAGCTAAGCTAAGATGAGATATGCTAAGCTGAGCTAAGCTAAGCAAAGCTAAGCTTAGCTAAGCTAAGCTGGGTGAACCCAGGGGGCGCAACTAGGGGAACCGCGGGGCGGATTCTGGGGGAACCGCCCGGGGCCCGTTTCAACTCCCGGCCCCTTAAGCCTCAGAGTAAGAACCCTTCTAGGCAGAGCCTAGGTAGGGAAAAACCCACTGTGAGCGCCCGAAGACAAATTACCGTGTTCACTCATTGGCGGCTACGGCGCCGTAAAACCTGGCAACAAGTTTGGTATAGACGCCAACCAGACTACCCCCTCGAGCAAGACAATGCGACTGTGACGTTGCAAGCACGACAACCCTCCAGCGGCGGGCGGACTTTGGATTTCTTCGACAACGGTCCGTTGAATCAACCGTTAGTCTCGATTCGGATCAGATTCGAAGCTGGTCTAGAAGCACTTCCACCGCCGACTCGGCGCAGACAACTGGCGGAATAAAACCTGAACGAGCGCGGGACCTCCTGATAGACTGAGCAGCAGCTTGGGTCCCGCCAATCCTGCGGGCATGGGGTGGACCACGAGATGGCTCCCATGTGGCGTCCGAGCAGCCAAAAGCACCCCCGATATGCGACTGGCAAAGAAGACCCAAGGCTGCTCGATCACATCCGCTATGGTTGAACTTCTGTTCCGATGTGCCTGCAGGGGCTGAATGAAACATGATTCCGAAATTATTCATTACACCAAAAAAAAACCCAATCAGCGGATGGTTTCAACATTAGTGATGTGGATCTTGAGATTGATTGTGAGATCGATCGTGGGATCGAAAAAGAGGACGATAGTAAGGTCGATCATGAGACCGACAGTGACATCGATTCAATGAGATCGATAATGAGATCGATCGTGAGATCGCTTGTGCGATCTATAAGGAAGTCGATTGTGAGATCGATAATGAGATCGATAATGAGATCGATAGAGAGGTGGGTAATGAGATCGGTGGTGACACCGATCGATAAACAAATCGACCAAGAGCCCGAGAATCCGGAATCCCGTGAACTCCGCCGCCCACCAAAATCGGCCGGGAACCAGCAACTGGGAATCAGGAAACCAGAAGCCGGGAACCTGGGAAACCGGCCGCCTACCGAAATCGGCCGCAAACTTTCGCCAAATCCTTCAAGACCCGCTCGGGCCCTTTCCGAGAGCATTTCAAGAGAGTCCGAATAGGACGCTATCAGGCATTGGCTAATGCCCCACGGAGGGAAATGGCCAAGTGTCCCCTTCTGTAGTCACAGGCATCACGCATATCCCCAAGAGAGACCCGAACACGTCAACAAATTCCAAAATAATGTTCCAAAAATGTTACACATGTGCCCCGAACGACCCCCTAAAATGGTTCCAAAAATCTTCCGGAGAGCTCCTGATTCAGAGTGCACCCGGAATGCCTGGTCTGATCCCTTCTATGTTCTGACGGGTGTCTCCTCTTCTGTCACGCATCTGCTTCCCTTCTCACGACACTGCGCCATGCCAAGGCTGCTGCCAGCACCTTGGACTTGCCTACTGACGACGTGCTCACCCCTGAGCGATTCAGTCTAGCCCCAAGTCCGGCGTGTCCCCCTGCAGGCGGATTTTCGACGAAAAATAAGAAATAGTCACAACACTTCCCCAAATTGATCAAAAATATTAGAAAAATCGTCCCTGGACTATTTGTGGACTATTTTTGAATATTCCTCCTGTAGAGGGAAAGGCCCGACTCAAGTCTAGCAGCACGGCTGCCGCCCGCTTCTGCAGCGACGCCGCGCCACGACGGCACGCGCGCGGCGGCCGGCGGAGGAGCTGTCCACTGGCCTCGCGCGGGAGCGGCGCCGCAGGGACGGCACGGCAGCTCCAGAGGCGGGCGGACGCACAGGAAGCCCGTGCCGGAGGAAGAGGGGTATTCTGGGACCGAGGGGGAAGCACGCAGAGGGCGCACGGAGAACTGAGGGACGCAGCAGTCGGCGATGGGGCATGGGGTGACTGGGATGGGACGCGCAGGGACATACAGTGCGGGCGCGGCCGCAAAAAACCCTCGCAAGAAACTCAACCCTGAGAACCCGTCCGCGAGGTACACCCGAGGGGAAGCCCGGAGCACCCTGAACGCAGCAGCTCCTTCAGCGGCTGCGGAAAGTTACCACGCAGCGCGAGGAGCGAAGAAACCCAGGAAACCCTGACGTAAAGCATTTGGTTTCTTGATGCGCGCCCACACTGTACTACATGTCCTCCTTGCAGGGGCGCGTCCGACCAGGACATATCAAACAGCTATCTGGTAGTACATCGTTTCCCGAGCGGTGTGGCCAGAAAGCGCCCGCCACGACGCATAGACTGTAAGATCGCTCGGTGCGCGCGTCGCCCCTGAGGGGGCGATGCACATGTAGTACAAGTATGTTAGGGGTGACGCCGATAGGAGAAGTACAGAGAGGAGAGCAGAGCAAAACTCATCACGAGGATTGGAGGACGAGGTCGTGAGGGAAGCCGTGGCACCGTCGGATCGAAAACGGGGATGAGCACTCTAACCGCATGCACGAAACACAGACTCGGGGAGAGCAATCGATATATACACATGTATATATGTATATATGTATGCATGCGTACATACATACATCTCTCTCTCTATATATATATATATATATAAAAAAAAAATATATGTACTAGAACCACGCGCGCGCTTCGCGCGCGCTTAGGTTCTGTCGAGTCACAGACCCAGGAATCCTCCTCCTCCTCCTCCTCCTCCTCCTCCTCCTCGTCTTCCTCCTCATCCTCGTCCTTTCCCGAGCGATACAATAACAACTTGCGTGGAACCCCTCTCGGGCCCATCTTGGGGCTCTCTTGGGCCGCCTTTGGAGCCTCTTGGGGCGTCCTGGGTCTCTCGTGGGGGTTTCTTGGAGCTCTCTTGGCGCCTCCTGGAGCCTCTTGGGGCCGAACGCTCGGAATTCTACAATGGCTTTCTCCCTCTGGGACCCCTCTCGGGCACGCCTTGGGGCTCTCTTAGGCCATTTTGGAGTCCAATTTTGCCGTCCTGGGCGCCTCGTGAACCGTCTTGGAACTCTTTTGGGGGCCACCTAGGCCGTCTTGGGAGCCTCTTCGGACGTGTTGGACGCGGTGAAAACCCAACAAGCGACCATGCGAAAAGTATACGTTTTCCCATGGGAACGGGACCATTTTTGCTTCTTGGACCTCTCTTGGGGTGACTCTCGGAACGTCTTGGGCTGATTTTGGAAGCCTTTTGGCGCCTCTGGGCGGCGTTTTGGCGCCTCCTGGGATGTGTTGGGCCGGAAGCTCGGAATTCGAGAGTGGCTTTCTCCTTCTGGGACCCCTCTCGAAGTCGTCTTGGGGTTCTCTTGGGCCGTCTTGGGGCCGTCCTGAGCCACTCGTGCGCAGCCTTGGAGCGCTCCCGGAGGCCTCGTAGGCCGTCTTGGGCGCCTCTTGGGCCGTCTTGGACGCGGTGAAAGCCCAAGATGCGAACATGCGAAAAATATACGTTTTCCCATGGGAATGACACGATTTTTGCTTCTTGGACCTCTCTTGGGGTGCCTCTCGGAACGTCTTGGGGTGCTTTTGGGGGCCTTTTGGCGCCTCTTGGCGGCATTTTGGCGCCTCCTGGAGCCTCTTGGGCCGGAAGCTCGGAATTCGAGGTTGGCTTTCTCCGTCTGGGACCCCTCTCGAACTCGTCTTGGGGCTCTCTTGGGCCGTCTTGGGGCCGTCCTGGGCCACTCGTGCGCAGCCTTGGAGCGCTCCCGGAGGCCTCGTAGACCGTCTTGGGCGCCTCTTGGGCCGTCTTGGACGCGGTGAAAGCCCAAGAGGCGAACATGCGAAAAATATACGTTTTCCCATAGGAATGGCACGATTTTTGCTTCTTGGGCCTCTCTTGGGCTGCCTCTCGGAGCGTCTTGGAGGCTTCTGGGACCTTCTTGGTGTCATGACAGGCGTCTTGGAAGGCATCTGGAGCCATCGGAGCGCGTTCCGAAGCCGCCTGCGAACGATCTTGGACGGCGTCCGGCGGTCCGACGAGCCTCCGGGCCCCCCGGGGCCCACATTTGCGGTCGGGGTCCCGGCCCCGGGCCCCCAGACCCGGTGCGCCGTTATATGTATATATGCATCAAAGCCGAACTACACATAGTGCCCCTGGACCTGTCCTGTACAACTACATCGTGAGGACATGCATACAGTATCCCCTCATCCTCGCCCCGCTCGTGTTCCTTTTCATCGTCAATTTGCTGACTGTCCGCCGCTTCCGTTTGTGGCCGGTTGCGTTTGTTGCGTCACGACGCCAAGCGCTCAGGATAAGAAGGGCGACATACCCACGTGAACCGACTGTGCTTCGAAAAGAACAAAGCAAACAACGTAGGGCAAGGCAACGAATGGCGCGCAAGGAAACAAACGCGACCACACACATATGTTACGATGTGTTCTGCAATCCCAGGATGGGGATGTGATCCCATAGCCGACGGCCCACACATGGCGGGACGCATCAAGAAATATGCTTGCTGACCGAATCATCGCTGAATGATCTACCACCGTGAAACCCCGGCACGCTGAGGCGAGGCAGAATGCAAAATGCTGCCTGGCTGGCTTCAGTGATCTTCGAAGACACGCCCCCCACCCCCGTCGAGGACTGACGCACGCATCGCTCGCTTCTCAAGGCCACAACTCCGTGTAAAAAAAAACTATGCGTCCGCGCCCTCGAGACCACGATCTCCCCTGGACCCTTGGTTAACAATGACGGATCCACGCCCCCGACATCACGACCTCCAAACAAGAACAATGGACCTGCGCCCCCGAGTCCGGCCCTCAGTAAAAGCAGCCACAGACCGGAGCTCCCGCAGCCACGATCGGTAGAGAAACACAGTGGATCCGCGCTCCCGAGCTTCCAAGACCGCCGAAGCAGGCGACCAAGGCAGCCACGATGACCCAAAGATGCCTCCAAGAGGATCCCAGACGGCCTCCGAGCGGTCCAAGAGATGGCCCGAGCACGGCCCAAGAGACAAGCGGGGACCGACGGGGCCCACGTCGGTCATGTTCCTGCGGGAGTTTGGGCAATTTGTTGGGGATATCGTCACCTGGTCAGGCTTCCGTCAACTCCATACGGCCCTAGAGGCCTCCAAGATGGCCCCGAGACTGCTCAGCGGGGGCACCAAAATTGCCCAGTAATCCTCCAACACGGCCTCAAGACAGCCCACGCGGGTCCAGGACGGCCCCAAGAGAGCCCCCACAAGCGGCCCAAGAGGGTCCAATTGTGGCCCAATGGGCCTTCAAGACCACGGAAGACACGGATGAGGACGAAGACGATGAGAAGAGAACCCCCAAGACGACGTGGAAGGGCGTGTCACATGTTACGGCTCTCCCGAGCCTCGGGGCACCAGGTGTCGCACGCCGCGCCCTCTCGAACAGTCGACACCCAGCACACTGGACCTGCCACGGGCAGGCGGGTACATCCAAAGCCTCGAGATCGCCGGATACAGAGCGGATGCCAGAGAAGCACGGCGCCCGCACAGACCCGGCGCGAACCGAGGGGGTAGTCGTGGAAAGGGAGCATCGGTCCCCGGGGCCCTCCCCAGAACAACATGAGCGACGATCAGAACAGGGGTCTCACGCGAGATGGCATGGCGACCTTGCGCCGCGGCTTACGCGGGCCGCCAGCGCGGCATGCTACATGGGAGACGAGGGCGGTAAAGCAGAACCCTGTGTGGGCCGCGTGCGCGTCACTGTCGCTGCCGACGATCCCATTATTGAGCGTCGTTTGCAGTGCGGGCGCGCCCGCAAGAAACCCTCGCAAGAAACCCAACCCTGGAAATCCGAACGCAGCAGCTTCTCCGACGGCCGCGGGAAGCCCCCATCGCAGCGCGCGCAGCGACGAAACCCAACGAGAGCGAGGATACCCTGACGAGAAACGTATGGCTTCTTGATGCGCGCTCCAACTGTACTTCTTCATCCATTTGGGTGACCCAAAGAGGGGTCCAGCTGAAAGGGAGTGGTGCAGTAGGTTTGGGGCAATTGTATCGCAAATGTATTGCGCCGGAAAACTGTCTTGCATTGTATTGCAAGTCATGCATTTCACGCGGACATCCCAGCATTACACTTGCGCCCCGGAATGTATGGCACGCCCCAGATGTATTGCAACCCAACAAAATCGATTGCCCCAAATCGGCTTCGGGGTGAAAGGGGGCCCTCCTGGAAAATGAAAGCGGGCGTGAACCAGTGAAACCTGTGCTATCCTCCTCCTCCTCCTCCTCCTCATTATGTTCCTCCGTCTCCTTCTCCTCCTCCTCCTCCTCCTCCTCCTCCTCCTCCTCCTCCTCCTCCTCCTCCTCCTCCTCCCCCCTGTCGCTGGACTCCCTTTGGGTCACCCCGAATCCCGAGCCCGACTCCCAGGCGCGTGCGAGGCCGAGGCCGTCTCCAACGACGCCCCCCCCCCCCCGGGGGGGCCTCCTCGGAGACCTCGGCGATGGTGCCCCTGCACGCGCCGCGGCCGCCGCCCGAGCCTCTCCTGCCCCCCGTCCTCCTCTTTCCCCGCCGTTCGCTGGCACCGGCTGGAGGAGCGAGCCCACCTGCAGAACGGTGTCGGGACGGATGTCGGCCGAGCTCGGAGGCTGCGTTGGCGAAAGGATGTGCCCGACGATTGCTCTCGATGCCGAGTCGAACACGATCCTACTCCCCAAGTCCTGCCTCCTTCGACTGCTTCCTGTTCTCCTCCTCCTCCTCCTCCTTCTACATCCTTCTTTTCTTAGTTGTCCTCCACTTCCTCGCAATCTGTCTGTCCTCCGCATCCTACTTTTCCATTCCACCCCCCCGCCTCCCAAAAGCGCACTGGAAACGTGCGGCAACGTTTGCGACCCACCTACGGGCTAGAGAAAGCTGATGGGTCGATCCATCTTACCCACGAACTGCTCCTCCCCGTCGTACTACCAGACGCGAAGGTGGGACGGTGTGGGCGTTTCGCCTAGGACATCCTCACACAGAATGATCTGGACGATGGAATGCCCAACAGTTGCACGGTTGGACAGCGAGTCGTCTTCAAAAATTGTTCGCGCACATTCATCTTCAGTCCAGCAATTACACGGAAGGTGGGCGGGCGATTTTCAAAAACGACCCATGCATTTCAAACACGAATAATTTTCCAGGACGGCGGGCTTCAGGCTTGAAGCGCACCAGGGTTCCTTTGTTTGGGTGTCCAGACCCATGGCACGCAAACTGAACTGTGGGCAGCAGAGGGGCCGGGCGGGCGGACGGGGAGAAGTTGGGAGGCAACTTCTGGGAGGTCTTCGCACGAGCGAGTAAGGATTAGGGGCGACCAATCCCGATAGAACAGCCATTGAACCCGATAAGCCCAGATTGAGCCCATATTAAAACACGAGGAGGCAAGATTGAGCAAGATTAAACGGGGTCAAGCGGGAATGGGCCAGATTCTGTAGCAGCGCCGATGCTGACTTGAACCTGCCCGGAGTTGCTTATTAAGAGACGGGGGCGAGAGGTGAGAGTCGGCGACGGGGGCGAGAGCGCTGACAGGGCGCCGCACGATCGGCCCCTGGACAGCGGCGGAGCGGGACGACGGCGACCGAAGCCTCAGGGCAATCTGCCCACCGAGTGCCGTCTATGATGGGAACGTTTTCCACCACCACCACCACCACAATATATGAGTTGGAGGGGGGAGGAGGAGGACACCATCCTCCTCCATCTTATGGTGGTGGTGGTGGAAAACAGGCCCATCCCATCAGTTTAGTATGTGCTGTTTGTGGGAGGACCCCCTCCTCCTCCATCTTATGTTGGTGGTGGTCGTGGAAAACAGGCCCATTCCATCAGTTTAGTTGTTTGCTCTCGAGGGGGCGACGAGCTCGTCGGCATGTGGGCAACCACGCGTGAAACCTACACCTGCAGTTCGGATGTCTGAAAAACTGGCCGGGGTTCAGAATGTCGGGGCGCGCAAAGATGAATTAGCGATCCATAGATTTGGCGCGCGGTCGCCGAATCCAGGGACCGGGGGAATGTGCCCTCCCCAAAATGCGCGGCCGGTGCCGCCTCGTGGGCGGAACTCCGCGACTTCCCACGGAGACGGGACCCGTCGCTGCCCAGAGATCTGATGTCGTGATTTTTGTCCATATGCGGTCCCCCGAACTCTCGACCCCTTCCCCAGGACCGGTTGTCCATCCCGAGTCGTTTTTTGAGGGTCCCGAGGCCTGGCGAGGGCCCCCCGGGGCCAAAAATGTACAAAAACCTCCCGCCCTGATTTGTTTTTACGACGCGATCATGTCCCCAGAGATCCGACGTCGTGATTTTTGTCCACACGCGGTCCCCCGAACTCTCGACCCATTCCCCAGGACCGGGTTTTCCCTCCCGACTCGTTCTCTGAAGGGTCCGGCGGCCCGGCGAGGGCCCCTGCAGGCCGAGAGTTGAGAAAAGCCTCCGTCCTGCTGTTTCCAACACGTTGGATCTCGGGGTAATCCACGCCCCCCCAATCCATGTCTGCGATCGCCCGACGTCCGAAGCCAGGGGAGCCCCGGGCGGGGGTGCCCGATCCCCTAGGGCTCCCAACTTCGCGCTTCGCGCTGCGCGAAGCGCGAAGCGCGAATAACTTCGCGCTCTCGCGCCGCCCTCCCAAAGGGAGAATAGGAGGACGAGGAGGAGGAGGAGGAGGAACGAGGACCGCGAAGCGCGAAGCGCGAATAACTTCGCGCCCTCCTGGGAGCCCTTGGATCCCCCAGCGTCGAGTGGGCCCGTCGGGGTAGGCCTCGCAAGCGGTTGCAGAGCCTGGGCATGGTGCCCCGGTCGGCCCCCATCGGGAACGGCCAAGAGTCGGGGAGACGTATGACACGGGTACGGGGGACTCGGAAATCCCCGACGAGGTCGTCAGAAAAATGACGAGGCCGAGCCTGCATTTTGACGAGGCCTCCCGCTGCAGACATCCCACGAAACTCCTCCTCGTCAAAATCCGAGGCGCGGTCGTCAAAAAACGATGGCGAACCCGAGTCCCGGCAAACCCGGGTCTTACGCTCCCCCGAAAGAGGGGGGTGTCCAAGAGGGGGGGGTGCACCTCATGACCGGCGGCATGTGCGCGGCCCAGCGGGGGGGCCAGGGGCGTAATGAAGTAAGAAGAGGCGCCATAAAATCTGGGGATACATCATGGCTCCCGCCATGATGTCCACCCCCCCTAGTCATCACCCCCCTCTTTGCCGCCCCCGACCCAAGCCCGACCCGAGCTGCTGGCCCAACGTGTCGAAGCCGTGCCCGCCGACTGCCCTCGCGGCGTGCACGGCGACGGCGGCTGCTCCGAAAACCGGGGCCGCCCATCCCGCCCCTCCCCTGACAGCTTCGGAGGGAGGTCTGCGCACGAACGACCGCAGTCGAGCAAGGGGCCACTGAACAGGATCAGTCCACGTTGAGTCCGGGATGAAGCCGGGCTACGGCAGATTCAGCAAACTTACCTGGAATCAGACGGGCATCTGCCGGATTAGGCCGGTTTTCGGGCACGGATACACCAGCGTCGAAGCTGAGTGAAGCCTCCCATGAATTGCATCCTAAGACAAGCTAGCGCCGCTTCCGACCTCTGAGGGCCGCCTCGGGGCCGACAATCGGAGGCGCCCAAGAGGGGGGGGGAGGGGGGCAAATCATGCCCCCAGGCATATGCGCGGACGAGGAGGGGCAGAGAGCGTAGTGAAATAAAGGGCAAGTGGGCAGAGGGGGCAACAAATTCCAGGGGGCCCAGCAATGAGATCCACACACCCCACGCCGTCATCCCCCTCTTGGATGCCCCCGAATTAACCTAATGTCCTGGCTCGTCTATCCAGAAGTACATGTAAATTGAGCGTCTGTGTGAGAACGAGTCCCTCGCTCGAGACATCCTTGGAGTCTGCAATTCTAAGTGCGAGGGAGTCGCAAGTTTGTGTGCGAGTGAGTCTGAGTGAGAGCGAATCTGAATGCGAGTGAGCCTGATGTTGAATGGGTCTGAGTGTGAGTAAGTCTGAGAGTGAGTAAGTCTGAGGGTGAGTGTGTCTGAGTGTGAATGGGCCTGAGTCTCAGCGAGTCTGAGTGTGAGCGAGACGAGTTCGAGTGAATATCGGCACGATTGAACTGAGTGTGAGTGAGACTGAGTGTGAGCCTGGGTGTGCGTGAGCCTCCTGTTCCCTCCCTCCTCCCGTTCCGTCATCATCCCCCCTCCTCGTCCGTCTCCCTCCTCCTCCTCCTCCTCCTCCTCCTCCTCCGCCTCCTTATCCTGCCAGCGCCTCGCACGTCCCCACGCTTTGCTATAAAGCAGCGCCTCGCTCGAGACATCCTCACAACCGCCCCTGGCTGCTTGGCGGCCGCGCGCGGCCGCCGTGTCCCGGACGCCGCAGGCGCACATCGTCCCCACGGCGTGACATGGGGACAAAAAGGAGGAGGAGGAGGAGGAGGAGGAGGAGGAGGAGGAGGAGGATGAGGAGGAGGAGGAGGAGGAGGAGGAGGAGGAGGAGGGGAGGAGAGGAGGAGGAGGAGGGGAGGAGGAGGAGGAGGAGAGGAGGAGGAGGAGGAGGAGGAAGAGGAGGAGGAGGGGGAGGAGGGGGAGGAGGAGGATTAGGAGGAGGACGGAGGAGGAAGAGGAGGAGGAGGAGGAGGAGGAGGAGGAGGAGGAGGAGGAGGAGGAGGAGGAGAGGGAGGGGGAGGTAGAAGAGGAGGAGGAGGATGAGGAGGAGGAGGAGGAGGAGGACGGGGAAGGAAGAGGAGGAGGACGAGGAGGAACGGGAGAAACTCCAGCACTACGACCCTCACGCGCCGTAGTCTCCGTGTTCAGCATGGGGGACGACGGGATCGAAAGGAAACGGTTACTGGACCCCCAGACCTTTCCCCCAAGAAGAGAGCCTCCTCCTGAGTCGTTTTTTCGGATAGTCCCGGGGCCCGTGGAGAGCTCCGAGATCCCGAGGACGGCGAAACACCTCAGGGCCGTTTCCCCCATGGCGACCAACCAGAGCCGATACCACTACTCCCCAGACCTCTCCTGGGGCGCGCTCTGACCAGGATTCCGAAGCGAATCCACCGGTGGCGACGAGGGCCTCCCAGGAGGCCCAAACAGGGGAAAACAAGGCAGGGGTAGCGGTATGAATAACTGTTCCTCCTCGGAGCTTCCCTCAGGACCCGTTTCCCCCATGGCGGCCGTGTGGGCCGCCGGGGGACCGAGCGCCAGCGCGCAAGACGCCACCATCGCATCGCGTTCGGCGACACGGGGACCCCCAATGGCCCGCACCAAAAGGTCGCTCCGGCGAGGGGTCACTCTTACGTGTCCACTGGGGGGGGCCCGACCACAGGAGACCCTCCACAAGAATGAAGGGGACCTGTGACGCACAAATAAACACACACACACACACACAAAGAACAGGATTCCCCACATCTTCCCATATGTTCTGGGTTTTTGTCTTCCCCCCCACTTCCCATATTTTCCCATACTTTCTGGGGAATCGACGATGACTTGTGTCTGTGTGTGTTTTTCCCCTCCTGGAAGAAGCCCCACCCTGAGACTCCAGGACGTCCACGGATTCCTGGTGTGGGCGCGCCGCGCTCTCCACGGCAAGACCATCGACACCCAAAAAAAAAGCCCAGGGCACCCTGGAGGCAAGCAGGGTGTTCCTTGGCATGGGCCCCCACTGCACTCGGGGGCGCGCAAGCATGGTTTAGCGATCCCATGGATTTTGAAGGGGCCCAAGGACACACACACACAAACACATACACACAAATAAAAGGATTCCCCATGTGTTCCATAGTTTCTCGATGTTTATATTCCCCCCACTTCCCATATTTTCCGATATTTCTTGGGGATCGACGAATACTTGTGTCTGTGTGTTTTTTCCCCTCCGGAGATTTGGCGCGCGGTCGCCAAATCCATGGATCGGAGGAGGTGCCCTCCCCAAAAGGCGGCCCGTGCCGCCTCGCTCGGCGGGGGAACTCCGCGATGTCCCATGGAGACGGGGCCCGTCGCCAATCCACGCCCCCCTGATCCGTGTTTGCGATCGCCCGATGTACGTGCAGCCTCGTCCTGTTTCGCCTCCTCCTCCTCCCTCCCTCCCCCTGTTCTCCGCGTTTGTTTTCGCCAAGGGGCTCGCTTGCGCTTAGTATTATTATTATTACTACTAATATTAGTATTAGTGTTATTGTTATTGATGTTATTATTATGTATTATTATTGTTATTATTATTAGTATTATTATTACTATTAGTATTATTAATATCATTCTTATTATTATTAGTTATATATATATACACCAAAAAGAGAAATAAACAACAACAACAAAAAAAACAGAACAAAGAAAACGCTTCCTCCGTGGCGCCCGCGTGGGCCCCCCGCCGCGCGGCGCCGGCCGCGCGGCGGCCTCGCGACCGTGGCGAGGCCCGCGGGCTGCAGCGGCCTGGACGATTCCTCGGCGGGCGCGCGGGGGGGCGCAGCGCGCCGCCCGCGAGGGGCCGGCCGGCGGCGGCGAGAGGCCCGGCGAGCTGCCCGTGCTTGAAGGGGCCCCAGGACACATACACATACACACACACACACATAAATACACACAGATAAAAAGATTCCCCCTATTTTTCCTATATTTTTGGAGGTTTTCGTCTTCCCCCCCACTTCCCATACTTTCCTATATTTTCTTGGGAATCGACGCTCAATTATGTCTGTGTGTTTTTCCCCCCTCGAGTGCTGCCGGACAGCCTTCCCGAGGGCGGCGGGGGAAAGTTGATCCCCCCGCGGTGGCACGCCGGAGCAGAGCTGTCCAGCCGCCCTGGGGCAGGCGCCCGCGGGTGGAAACGAAGGTGTTCTACCGTTCTTCGCCCCCGCTAAGTCGTGAGGGAGGCTCGCAGGCTGCTGTGGCCCGAAAACGCGTGCGCGCACCGGGGGGGGGGGGGCGGGCCAGGGAGCGTGTTGAGGTACATGGAGGGGCCATGGCATCCAGGGAGATACCATGGCCCTGGCCACGATCAGGCGGCGACACCCGAGCCCAGCCCCCACCAACCATCGGTTCTCTGGACTCTATGGGAAGCGGGGGTAGGGTTCGGCTTTCGCCACGTGGTCGACGCATTCCCAACCCTGCCCCCCCGCCGCCCCTCGAGTGGCCTGCATCGTTGGTCGGCGAGGGTAGGGTTCGGATTCCGCTGCCGAATGCTACCCGATATCCCCCCCAACAAAAAAGAAAGAAATCATTGGCCCCCTCGCGGACGCCCCCGAGAAACGTTAATCACGACGGCAGGCGCTCGGCCGTCCTCGACAGCTGTGGGGGGGGCGGCCCTCGCGAGGCACCGGGGCCGCGGAGGAAACGACTCGGGGGGCCGATCCCCGGGGGAGGGGCCCAGTCCTCGGGGGGGGGGCCAGGCCGTGACAAACATCACGACTGATGGGCCTGCTCTCCACCACCACCACCACCACCACCAGAAGTTGGAGGGGGGAAGGAGGTGGAGGAGGAGGAGGAGGACGAGGAGGAGGAGGAGGAGGAGGAGGAGGAGGAGGAGGAGGACCCCCTCCCCCTCCAACTTGTGGTGGTGGTGGTGGAAGACAAGCCCATCAACGACGTCGGATGTCTGGGCCGTGCGCCCAAAGCACCATCCTGCACCGCCCGGCCATACATGCCTCTGTGCTTCCCGGCCTCTGCCGACCTCGCCCGTCCCGCCACGTATCCGTCCAGTCCCCCAGTAACGAAGCACAGGGTCTCCGCGCAGGGCTGCAGTCCCGAGGAGGGGGCTGGACCAGGGTAGGCGGCGGGAGCAGCCCAAGGTATACTCTGCACATGATGAGCCCTGGCCGCACGGGGCAATTGCCCTTATTCATCGTCCTCGTTACCTCCACCTTCTCCTCCTCCTCCTCCATCACAGCTGGGAGGAACCCTAGTCGCGAGGCTGTCGGAACTATAAGCTGGGAGTAATCCTACCAGGCGCAGCTGGGAGTAACAGTACCAGCCGCAACAACCATGATAGCAAGTAGCACGGCAAGCACCATCCTGGCATGTGAAGGCAGGGATCGTAGCGTCGGGAGGGAAGCGAGAGAGAGGGAGAGATGATGACGATGATGATGATGATGATGATGATGATGATGATGCTGATGGTGATGATGATGATGATGATGATGATGATGATGATGGTGATGATGATGAGGATGATGATGATGATGCTGATGATAATGATGATGATGATGATGATGATGATGATGATGATGATGATGGTGATGGTGGTGATGATGATGTTGTTGATGATGATGATGGTGCTGATGATGATGGTGATGCTAATGATGCTGATGCTGGTGATGCTGATGATGATGATGACAATGATGATGATGATGAGGATGATGATGCTGACGATGATGATGATGGTGATGGTGATGATGATGCTGATGATGATGATGCTGATGATGACGATTCTGTTGATGATGATGCTGATGATGATGATGCTGATGATGATGCTGATGATGATGGTGATCACGAGAAAGAGAGAGATAGAATACAAACAAATGAAACAGAGAAAGAGGGAGACGGAGAGATGAATAATAAAAAGACAAAACATAATAACAAAAGAGAGAGGGGGCACGGATAGAAAAAGAGAGAGAGAGAGAGAGCGAGAGGAAACAAAACCTTGAAGGACCACGCACGGTCCACCATCACATTGTCGGGCCCTTAAGAGTACTCGAAGACCATAACATCCAGGACAGCGCGGTTGGCACTGGAAATGCAGGGCGGACAGCTTCGTACACGGACGCCCACCCCAACCACGCGGACATCACACCGTGCTCTGGGACGCAGAAGGACATACTAGTACTACGTGTCCTCATTGGGGGCGCACGTCCCACCCGAACATGTCATACAGCACTGTGTGGTATATCGCTTCCCGAGCGGTACTGCCAGGCAGCGCGCGCCACGGAGCTCAGACTTTCAGATGCCTCGGCGCGCGCGCCGCCCCCGGGGTGCGGACACACGCGCACACACACAGTATTGGTACGGGTGGGTGATGCCGATGCTCCTCAGTTGGGGTCCCATGCCGCCTCTTCAACGTTGTGATTCAAGCGCCTGGCACGCTAGCACCTGTCGAATTTTCTCGGGCGAACATTAATGCGCATGGTGTGAAATGGGTCGATGCCACCACCCGGAAGAATGTTCACGTGCGTCGCGGTACTCCAGGAATGTTTCTGTGCAGCAGATGAGCGACGTGTCACCACATGACGGGCAACGCAGGTCCGCTCACGCACAACCATGCTGCAACGAGAGCACACGTTCCACGACACCCCCACGCGTGAAAACGTTGCCCCCAAGGACGAGCACCACGGCGGGTGAGCTGGAATAGCCTCTTGCGGAATGGTGGCACAAAGAAAGAATTCGGAGAAGCACGGAGGCTCACAACTCCCCCCATTTGGCAGACAAGGACAGAATAGCCAGAGACACCACGCCACTTCCAAGAGCTGCCGCTGTCGAGCACCGCACGCCGCCAACACATGCACGCTCAAAGAACGCCGCCGCTGCGGCATGGCGCAGACAGCACCACCGGGAGTGATCGCAGGTAGCAAGTGCCGAATACCCAGGGGCGGGGTGCGATTGCAAAGCAAGGGCTACTTCCTGACAGCAATAACGATTGCCATAGCACTAGCCTGGCGCTGTCTCTGTGATCCCACCAGCCCTTTGGACGCATGAGTTTAGCGGGTTCGCTCTTCCAACCTCCCTCCTCGGCTAGAAGAATGCCCCTCTCCGTACGTAAACCCCTCCCGTTGGTCTTGACGGAGGCGGCGGGGGGCGACGCGCTGAAGCCTCCAAGATAGCCTAATATAGATTGAAGCTGGCCTCCGCGATGGAACAAGAAGGCCCGACATGCCTCCACGAGGACCCAAGGTGGCTCCCAGACGGCTCAAAACGGCAACGAGGGGCCTCCCGGACGCCCTAAAGTTGTGCAAATCCGGTGCGCTGGCACTTGAACACCGAGCCAGGGGAGACGACCCCGAGCCAGGAACTGCCAGGGGGCATTCACATAACGGCGACCCCAGAGCCCACTCGAAATGATCAAGCGGAACCAAGCCGCAGAGCACAGAACTCCGCAGGAAACACTCTCGATGAGGGTAAAATTCATCAAGCACCACGCGCTGCTCAATTAGTGAATATATGTCCGCCTGTTCGTTCCCAAGACGGCCAAAAATGTCCTACAGCATGCCTCCAAGGGGCCGCGGGAGGGCTCCGAGTGGCCGCGGAGCCTCTAAAATAAAGTCCTGGACACACCAAACCAATCAAGACACGTGGTGTTTGCATGTGTATTCTGTCCTTTTCGCTTGCGATAATTTTCTGGGCATGGCTCCGAAATGGCCTGAGATAGCCCCAAGAAGCGCAAAGAAGAGAGCCAGGATGGCCGAAGCTGTCTCCCCCAGGAGCGCCCCCCAGTCGCCCAAAGAAGACACGGCGAATGCCCCCAAAGATTGCCCGAACAAGCCTTTGGGATACTCCTGAGTCTGCTCAGACTACCCCCTTGCTGTTCCCCTGCATGCTCATACACTAACCTGATCCAAGCAACTCGAGCGGCGTGTCTTACGTCGCATCCAGGGGGGGCTTGTCTGACACGCCGCCCCGCCTTCCGCGTCGAAGACGCATCCAACGCCGAAACCGCGCCAAAACCACCGTGAGCCCGCGTTGAATCCGAGCAAAAGCCGTGCAAGGCCCACATCAGGCACCAACCGCAGTTTACAATACTGACAAATTCCCCCGAAGACGCAGTGCAACGTTTATGGATGGGCCGGCGTGGTAAAACACGCAAAGGATCAACAATATTCTCAACGACGCCACACACATAACAGCGGAGATCACGACACTCGCTCGCCCAAACTCTCACCTCACTCCCGTCTCGACTTGACTGCTTCTCGCTTGTGAGTTGTATATACATATGTCTCTCGGTCTCTCCGTCCCTCTATGTCTCTCTCTCTCTCTCTCTCGTTTTCTGCACGTGTACACGTAACATACACATGTGTCACTCACGCTCTGCCACTATTTACACATATACCATTATCCCAGCGCGACCCTACCTAGGAGTTGGAGCCCCTAGGAAAGCAGCATTCGTAGTAACAATAAGCTAAGCTAAAGCTGAGCTAAAGCTAAGCTAAAGCTAAGCTAAAGCTAAGCTAAAGCTAAGCTAAAGATGGGCTAACGCTAAGCTACAGCTAAGCTGAAGCTAAGCTAAAGCTAAGCTAAAGCTAAGCTAAAGCTAAGCTAAAGCTAAGCTAAAGCTAAGCTAAAGTTAAGATGAAGCTAAGCTACAGCTAAACAAAAGCTAAGCTAAACCTAAGCTAAAGCTAAGCTAAAGCTAAGCTAAAGCTAAGCTAAATATGGGCTAACGCTAGGCTACAGTTAAGCTGAAGCTAAGCTACAGCTAAGCTAAAGATAAGCTAAAGCTAAGCCAACGCTAAGCAAAAGTTAAGCTAACGCTAAGCTAAAGCTAAGCTAAAGCTAAGCTAAAGCTAAGCTAAATCTAAGGTAAAGCTAAGCTCAAGCTATCACACAAAGCTAAAGCTCAGCTACAGCTCAGCTACAGCTGAGCTAAAGCTAAGCTAAAGCTAAGCTAAAGCTAAGCTAAAGCTAAGCTACAGCTAAGCTAAAGCTAAGCTAAAGCTAAGCTAAAGCTAAGCTAAAGCTAAGCTAAAGCTAAGCTAAAGCTAAGCTGAAGCTAAGCTAAAACTAAGCTAAAGCTAAATTAGCCGGACGAAAGACCCAACCATGTGCAGTTGCGAATACCGCATTGTTGGTACCGGTTTCGGTGAAGCTCCTATGGGGCCACGAAACTGGTGAGGGGTGCGCCGAAATTGGTGGCGCGGACGCGTGTGGACACCGCCACTGGGGCCTTCGGTGTAGCTCCCTATGGGGCCACGAAGCGCTGCCCTGGGCGAGGGAACCGCATGCGGGCTGTGCCACTGGGACCTTCGGTGGAGCTCCCTATGGGGCCACGAAGCGCTGCCCTGGGCGGGGGAGACGCATGCGAACTGCGCCTCTGGCGCCTTCGGTGGAGCTCCCTATGGGGCCACGAAGCGCTGTCCTGGGTGGGAGAGGCGCATGCGAACACCCCGATTGAGGTCTTCGGTGGAGCTCCCTATGGGGCCACGAAGCGCTGTCCTGGGCAGGGGAAACCCATGCGAACACCCCCACTGGGGCCTTCAGTGGAGCTCCCTATTGGGCCATGAAGCGCTGCCCTGGGTGGGGGAACCGCATGCGCCTATCCCCACTGGGGCCTTCGGTGGAGCTCCCTATGGGGCCACGAAACGCTGCCATGGGTGGGGGAACCGCATGCGCCCACGCCCACTGGGGCCTTCGGTGGAACTCCCTATGGAGCCACAAAGCGCTGCCCTGGGTGAGGGAACCGCATGCGCCCACCCCCACTGGGGCCTTCGGTGGAGCTCCCTATGGGGCCACGAAGCGCTGCCCTGGGTGGGGGAACCGCATACGCCCACCCCCACTGGGGCCTTCGGTGGAGCTCCCTGTGGGGACACGAAACGCTGCCCTGGGTGGGGGAACCGCATGCGCCCATCCCCACTGGAGCCTTCGGTGGAACTCCCTATGGGGCCACGAAACGCTGTCCTGGGTGGGGGAACCGCATGCGCCCCCCCCCCCCCCTGGGACCTTCGGTGGAGCTCCCTATGGGGCCACGAAACGCTGCCCTGGGTGGGGGAACCGCATGCGCCCACCCCACTGGGACCTTCGGTGGAGCTCCCCATATATGGGGCTACGAAACGTGTGAGAGGTGTGCCGAGAGCAGAGGCAAGGAGGGGGAGGAGGGAGGAGGGGGAGGAGGGAAGGAAGGAGGAAGGAAGGAAGGAGGAACGCGGGGCACCGTCTCTTCAAAACGAGGAAAAAACAAAGTTAAACTCAAATTAAGCTAAAGCTAAGCTAAAGGTAAGCAAAAGCTAAGCTACAGCTAAGCTAAAGCTAAGCTACAGCTAAGCTAAAGCTAAAGCTAAAGCTAAAGCTCCCAAGGGACTGGGGGAACCGCGGGGCGGATGCCGGGGGAACCGCCCGGGGCGGTTCCCGCTGCCCGGCCCTTTAATCATACACAGCAAGAACCCATCTAGGCAAAGCCTAGATAGGGAATAAAGCTGTATACACATAGATGTAGGGGCGGGTGCTTAACGCGCTCGTGTATTACAATTCTATATTGCCACTTCAGACTGTACCTTTCTCTCTGACACTGTGTATAGATAATGATGTCTCTCTCTCTCTCTCTTTCTCCATATCCCTAGGCACATGCCCGTAGACACGTGTATGTATACATGCCAACACTGTTCTTCGTCGCTTTCACTGACACGTCCGTTGGGTGCAATCCGTCAGAACCCGTCCCCCTTTGAAACGAGACTACACAAGAACAGTGAGCTGCCTTTCGCAGAACACATCTACACCACCCCACCTGCCGTTTTCCTCGTCTCCCTCCTCGTCATGCTCGTCCTCTTCCACGCCCCTGCACTCCTCCTCCTCGTCCTTCTCCTCCTCCTCCTTTGATGTCCATAGCTGAAGGCCAACCCCACCTCTGAATTGCAAACCCCACCTCACGCCATGGAAAAAAAAACGCTCGCTTGCGGATGCAATTCCGACGTCACCAGCACTCGCGACCTCGCCACCCCTTGGCTGCATTGCGCCTCGCCCTCCTCCGTCCTGCCTTCGTCCTGGCTTCGTCACCCCTGCTGCTGCTTCCCTTCAAAGAGCCCTCATTTTGCGTCTCTGTCCCTTGCCCCAGACTCTAAACCCGTGCTGATCAAGACGGGGGCCTCTTATGAACAGAAGTTGCGGAAGGAAGGAGGCACAGTGAGAGTCCCCAGGGGTGCCTGGACCGCTGGTTACACGGGCACGGAAGCAATCGGAGAGAGAACATGACTGGGGAATAATCGATGCCACATGGCCGCCACAAGCCCGCACCCCCATTCAGAAATACAAAGATGGTAATACCACGAACTAGAGAGGACAAGACAAAGTTTGACAAGATATTGATATCAAGGAGAGGCTGGAGGAAACTCATTCGAGGGTGAGACACTTGAGCAAAATAGAATCGCAGGCTCGAGCTGTAGGGGATGCGAAATTAGGGGGACCTACGCAATGTAGAGTAATACGATGCGTGTTGCGGACAAGCGAGAAGACAAGCAAAATCAGACATTGCCCTCAAGACCATGAAGACAAACTCCAAATGGTTACGCAATCACACCACCTACATCGGCCAAACAAGCTCAGCACAGAGTGCGGACATGTCGGACATGGCTGCTGCCTAACACCGCCACCGCTGCTGCCGCCTCTCGAGCACAGCCAGAGAGCCACGCCTCGAGAAACAAACAACATAACCAACATGATCCCTCGGCGGTCCGCGAGGATTCCTTGGATCGGTGCCGCCAGACCCCCCTCCCTTGCTGGGCTTGTTTTCCACTACCACCACCACCGTAAGTTGGAGGGGAAGGGTGTCCTCCTCCTCCTCCTCCTCCTCCTCCTCCTCCTTCTCCTCTTCGTCCTCTTCCTCCTCCCCCCCTCCGACTTATGGTGTTGCTGGTGGAAACCAGACCCATCCATCCCTGGCTCGCGGCGCGCGCCAGGAGCGGCGCCTGAGGCGCCGCCGGGAGGGCCGAGCGTCGCTCCCGGGAGTCCGCGCGGACCTCCGACACGAGATGTTTTGTTATGCATATGTGTGCTCCTCGAACGCGTATGTGCATGCCGATCGTTCTGCTTCGAGGGGCAATTCGCCCACAGGCTGCTGCTGCTGCTGCTGCTGCTGCTGCTGCTGCTGCTGCTGCTGCTTCCTCCCGTGGCTCCACACACCCCTGCCGCGCCAGGCTGCGAGCCTCCCGTCGCTCCTGGCTCTCCTCCCCCCCTACATGGGGCAAACGCATGGGGCGTGAACAACGCCCCTGTGGGCTTCGGCTGGCTGGCCCGCGGGGGGCCCGCCTCCACCTTCTTGATCTCCTCCTCGGCCTCGCTGAGCCGCTCGGCCAGCTTCTCCACGTCCGACAGCAGGGCGTTCTTCTTCGCCTCCAGCGCTTTCCTGTCGGGGGCAGGGTCGAGGAGGGGCTCGGCCGGAGGGGCGGATGCAGGAGCAACAGCAAAAGCAGGACGAGAAGAAGGGACAGAATGCGATGGATGCAGGACAGATATCTCTTCGAAAGGCCACAGTCGGGTTCCACCCGTGCTCTTTATGGGCACCTCCTCCTCAAGGCGCGAAGTGAGGCAACGGCAGCTCAAACATCGGTCCCCAGACCCATCCCGGGGTCCAAACGCATCCGTCTTCCAAGCTGCCGCTGGCCGTGGCGGCGAGGGGACGCCCCGAAAGCCAAACACCGCGGCCTCAACTCGCCCTCCCCCCTGAGTCCAGCTCACGATCTGCCCCGGGGCCCTTGCCCTAGGTCTGGCATGTCCTCCTGCATGACAGCAAAATGCTTAAAAAAAATTAGAAACAAACCCTGAGAAATTCGTCCCCATACTATTGTTTTATGTATGTTTGAACATTCCTCCAAACGATTGGGAATCCAAAAGGTACCAATACCGCTACTCCCTGGACCTCTCCCGGGGTGCGTTCTGACCAGGATTTCGAGGCGAATCCAGCGGTGGCGACGAGGGGGCCTCCCAGGAGGCCCAAACAGGGGGAAACGGGTGAAGGGTAGAGGCATGGGCACCTGTTCCTCCTCTGAGTCTCTGCGTCGTGGGACCGGCCCGCCTTGACCTCTGCCGAGCTCCCGACCGGCCGGCGGCCTCGAGGCGGCCGTTTCCCCGCCGAAGGCAAGAGGGCCCCGCCCTGCCCTGCGCGGCCCCATGCGCAGCCCCCCCAGGGCGTGACGCTGGGGTGAAGTCGGGCCTGTCCCCCTACAGGGGGAGCTTGAACGAAAAACAAAGCATACCCCAGAAACGTACACCAAAAATGCGCAAAAATAGTAAAAGAATAATCCCAAAACTATTGTTTGACTATATTTGACTTGACGCTGGGGGCCCACCGGGCCAGGCCCTTGCGGCTGGAGAGAGAGCCGACGTGCCCCACCTGTCGGAGACTGGGCGCGAGCTGGCGAATCCGTGGCTGCTGAAACGGTCTCCCTGGCAGACATCCTCTTTGAACCCCTGGAAAAAAAAACGCCGCGCACTAAAAAATAAACGGGCTGCTTCCCGGAAGAAAAAAACACCATTTCCCGGAGCTCCGTTTTAGCAGCCACGGGTGGTCGGGCATGTCCCCCTCCAGGCGGATTCTGGAGGAGAAAGAAGGAATGCCTAGAAATATTCAAAAAATAACCGAAAGATACCCCAAAATCGTCCTCTGATTATTTGTTTCGACTATGTTTGAATGTTCCTCCTGTAGAGGGGACATGCCCGACTTCAGTGTACGTCCTTCTTTCGCTGCTGGTGTTTAGGCCCTCCCGACGGAAGGGCAGGCCCTTGCGGCTGGAGAGAGCGCCACCGTGCCCCACCTGGCGCCTTGGAGCGCGTTTCTTTCTTTTCGGCGATCGTGGGCATCACTGGAGGGGCGAGGGCCAGGGGGGGTATCATGAAAGGGGCCCAGGGACACACAAATCAGTACACACAGATCCCAGGATTCCCCATATGTTTCCATTGTTTCTGGTTTATCGTCTCCCCCCCCACTTCCCATGTTTCCCTGGGGGTAGACGATTGATTGTGTCTGTGTGTTTCTTCCTCTCTTGCAACATGTGACGCCTCCCCCCCGCCGTGCGCACGGCGGCAGTGCCCGGAGCGCACTGGGGGGCAGGGTCTTCACGTTATAGGGCGAGGGGGGAGGAGGAGGAGGAGGAGGAGGAGGAGGAGGAGGTGTAGGAGGAGGTGGAAGAGCAGGAGCCGAAGCCCCAAGCAATAAAGAAACACGCTCATGGCCAGGCCCTTGCGGCTGGAGAGAGCCCCCCCGTGCCCCACCCTGGCGCGCTGAGGCGTGGCGGGGACTCTGTGGGACCCACAATGTGTGCCCCCTCTGTGTGGGCCTTCTGTGTGCCCCCTCTGTGTGGGCCCCCTCTGTGTGGGCCTACTGTGTGGGCCTCCGTGGGGGCTCACAGTGGGCCCACAGTGTGGGCCCACTGTGAGGGACACCCCCTCTGGTCACGCCCAGCCGTGTGCAACGCATCCCCCCTCCAGATGGTGTTTCCGGCGCCCCGACGCCTCTCTGGCCCGTCTCTGAGGCGGCCAAGACGCCCGACATGACCCCCAAGAAGGCCCTGCCCCCTGCCAGCAGGCCGGGATTCAAGTGCGCCAGGATGGCCGAGTATCGCCCCAAGATCGAAACAGCAGCTCCCAAGAAGACCCCGAGGGAGCCCAAAAGGACCCTAGAGCATTTCAAGACATCCCCAAGACGCTCTTTGGACGGGCCCGTGGAAGCCAAACGCATCGATTATCCTCACATGTGTTTTTCCACTGTCTGCGCTCTTTGGTCGAATATCGCTCCTCTTGCAGCCTTCGGAAGCCCATGAGGGCGCCACAAGACGACCCCACGACATTCTCAGGAGACCCCCCCGACAACCAGACTGGCCCCAAGACAGCCCAAGAAGGCTCCGAAACGGCCACGATACGACCGGTGGGACCCTTAAGACCGCCGCACAGGAGGACAAGACGGCACAGATAAGCCTCCTGTGCGCTCCGCAATAGCTGAACACGAGAGTCGGCGGTGGATATACCTCCCTTCAATAAACTACCATTTAGTGAAAACGACCTAGGACCGAAACCGACAGACCTGGACCCGCAAAAATGACGGCCGCGACGCCCTCTCTCCAACCGAAAACGGCCAATTCGCCAATCGACGTGTCAGGGCAGGAGGCCGATCAACCACCGAGAGAGGCGCCACATGTCACGGCCTGCGCGGCGGTGCTCGACACCTCGCCACACGGAGCGCTCGCTCTGGAGCGGTGCTGGAACTGCCGCGGGCACCCGACTACGAACGCACGACAAGTATGCGCCCGGATCCACCATCACGCGTCCGGCATGAAAGTGAGTCGTTCGATCGGGAAGCTTCCCCCCGATACTTCAGCTTGCCATCCAGGCAGGTGGTGCTGCGCGAACGGAGACGCACAATATCTGAAATGTGAAGGGCGATCTGATTTGATGATGCGTGTAAGACAGGTGTCATGGCGCGTGTACATGAAGACTAGGAGGACAGCGGGAATACCAGGATAGAGGCTACGTGCGCTTCGCAGGAACAGGGAACAAAGGCACCAGCACCAGCACCAGCACCAGGATGGGGTCCTAACTGGCGGCGTGGCCCCCCCATTCGCAGCTCGAGACCTCCCCTGCGCATCCCCAGCTCGGGGAGGCCTCGTGGACCACCTCGCTGGAGGTGGCAACCCTTGGTGGTCGTGCCGCGCTTCTCTCCTCCGAGGCTCGATCGCAAGAACTGCTGCAAAATAAACGGCGGCATCCTCCAGCCAACAGCGCGGGCTGGAGCACGCGACCCCGAGGCCGGGCCGCGCTCTGTATACCTTACGAGTCTGCGCAGGAAGCAGGCCGGGCAGCATACTTCTTGGCCCTGCACGACGTTCCCAGAGCCCCAGCGTCGCGATGTTCCCCATAACATGAACCGTAGGTGCTCGACACAAAGAAACCTTCACCAAGAAGCCAGAACCCTGAGACCCCAGGACGTCCATTGACTCTTGGTGTGGGAGCGTCACGAATTCCGTAGCAAAACCATCGCAACCCAACAAGCCCAGGGCACCCTGGAGGCAAGCAGGGTGCTCATTGGCATGGGTTCCCGCTGCACCCCCACAGAAGTCCCGACCGGTTGCTTCGCAGCTCCTGGGCCCAGCAAAGGCGCACCGAAGGCGAGCCCTGCCAGAAGGCTCCCGTGGCGCTCTCCCCTCAACAACCTTGCAAGACGTACAGTCGGACTTGACTGGAGAGGGCACGCGAGAAGACCCTTCCGAGGGCCACGTTGCCACAGACATGCAGGAGGCATGGGTCGCAAGACACAGGACACGAAGGTACCCTTGATCTGGCAGGGTCGACCTACTAATCTTAGGTCGGGCCTGTCCCCCTACAGGGGGATTTTCGACGAAAAATATGTTTCAAAAAATGTTCCAAAAAGGTCAAAAAATACTCAAAAAATAGTCCCCACATTACGTTTGGACTATGTTTTGACTATTTTGGGGGTATTCCGTATTTTTCGTCGAACGTCCCCCTGTATGGGGACAGGCCCGACTTCATACCAATCCGGGCCGCCTGTACGCGTTGTGCTTCCCGCGCCGGGCGAGGCAGCCCGGGCCCCCGAGCGCCACGACGCGGCGCGTGGCCCTCCCGGGCCCTCCGGGCCCCGAGGTCGGTGGCCCGGGGCCCGGGGCCCCTGCCGGGAAGCGCGCGAGGCTGCTCGAGGGAGCCCACGGAGTGATGGGCCTGGTGTCCACCATGCAGCACCACCAGAAGTTGGAGGGAGGGAAGGAGGAGGAGGAGGAGGAGGCGGAGGAGGAGGAGGCGGAGGAGGAGGAGGAGGAGGAGGAGGAGGCGGAGGAGGCGGAGGAGGAGGAGGACCCCCTCCCCCTCCTACTTCTTGTGGTGGTGGTGGAAAGCAGGCCCGTCAACCCACAAAGGACGTGCGCGCCCAGCCACGCACACGAATAGCTACGGCCCCCCAGAGTCCGCGAGGCCAGCCTCGTGGCGCGAGCGCGCGCCCCAGAGCGTGCCTTCGAAGCCAGCGCGACTCCGTGTGCACGTACGCCCGTCTCTCCTGCACGTGTACATTGGGGGAGTTGACCTAAGGAACCCTAAATAAGGAACGGGGCCCCTTTTTCCCATAAGTCAAACTTCGATGTCCCATGGAAAACCTAAGGAAAACCTCAGGCACGCTGTAAAACAATGAAGGAACACGGAGCCCCTCCCCAACGAGAAGGGTTCCTTCTTCAGCGCCCCCACTGTACATGTACGCCCGTCTCTCCTGCACGTGTGCGTCCTTCTTTGGCTCGATACCTGGGGCCTTCCGACGGCAGGGCGTAGCGCAACACTGCTCCACGGCGCCAAGAAGTCCTGAACTGCACGCCGTGGTCCCCAGAGCACGCCTTCCCCCCTCCACCGGCGGGGCGCCCGGCGCGGAGGGCAGAGAGGGCGGGCCTTCCCAGAAGAATCAGGAGGCCCCTGGCCTTCTGGGAAGCTTCCTGAGCCTCCTCCGAGGCTTATGTTGTTCCCGTCCTACTGAAGGACTGCATCCCAGAAATAATTTCGAGCACCCAGAAAAGTGTCAAAAGAGTGTCGAAAGAAGGTCGAAAGAATGTCTCCCAGGGCCCAGCACGTGAAAACCGTTGAGTTTCGGAACTTTTTGGGCGCTCGACATTCTTCCTGGTGCTCAGGGCTGAAGTAGGCTGGAGCAGCATAACCCGAGGCCACAATCGGGCGTCGCCCAGCTGTTCGGGGGGGCGACACATCGGGGGGGGGCAGGAAGGTGCCCTTCTCGGGCCCCGCAGGCCGCCCCCCTTTGGGACCCCAAGGAGCCCCCTTCGGGGGCCGGCGGGAAGGAAGGGCCCCTCGGCTGCAGCCCTCGCTGCCCCCCCCATGCATCGCCCCCAACATCACGCGACGCCCAGCACAGAGGGCTTCTCAGAAGGCCAGAAGGCTTCTGAGAAGAGCCGCCGGCTTCTGAGAAGGCCCAAGTATCTCATGTCATTTCCCACAGATCCGACGCTGCAAGACATGTGTAGCCTCGCAAAAATCACATATTTCTGCTGCAAGTCTCGAGCAGGATCCGTGGGCCTCGAAACCATGCGAACGCGCCCAGTCGGAAAAAATCGCAATGCCGGGATCTCAGGGTCCCCCCCTCGGCGTCCTCGAGGGCCGAGGAGGGTCGGGGACCGAGGAGGACCGAAGATCGAGGAGCATCGCAGAGCAGTGTCGAGGATCGAAGCTCGAGGAGGTGGGTCGAGGAGGAGGGCCGATGGCCGAGGGGAAGGGCCGAGGAGGATCCAGGAGGCCGGCCCCGGAGGTTCCTCCCTCTTCGCGCGCCGCCCCCCCCCTCGACGCTAACAACGATCACAACGATTAGTAACGACAACGATAACAACAGCAACGTCAACAGCGGTAACGATAACAACTACAACGATAAGAAGGATGACGGTAAGCGGCGGTGGACAAAACTCCCTTTAGTAAACCTCCCCTGAGCGAAATCGGCCTGGGACCGAAACCGACGGGCCTGGACCCGCAAAAACGACGGCCGCGACGCCCTCTCGCGAACCGAAAACGGCCAATTCCTCAATCGACGTGTCAGGGCAATAGGTCTGTCAACCTCCGAAACGGCAACGGCGACAACGGCAACAACGACAACGACGACAACGGCGATAGCAACCATGACCGCCAGCAGCGCCCCGAGCGCGGCCGGGCTCCTCTTCTCCTCCGCGGCCTTCAGACGCAGGCGCGCGGCCTCCTCCTGGGGCCGCAACGCGTTGGGCCGCGCCGGGCGGCGGGCGGGCTCGGGGCGCTCGGGGCTCGGGCGGCGCGGCATGGCTCGGGCGCGCCTTCCGCGTGCCCTGTTCGACATCGTGCGCGCAGCTTTTTGCACACACACACACACAGGCGCACACAGGCGCACACACAAAGAAACACACACACACACACACACACACACGCACGCACACAAACACAAACGCACACGCACGCACGCACGCACGCACGGACACGCACACACACACGCACGCACACAAACACAAACACAAACACACACACACACACGCACACACACACGCGAACACACACACACACACTCACACACACACACACACACACACACACACACACGCGCCCGCCCGCCCGCCCGCCCGCCCGCCCGCCCCCGCACGCACGCACGCACGCACGCACGAACACACAGACGCACACACACACACACACACACACACACACACGCACGCACGCACGCACGCACGCACGCACGCACGCACGCACGCGCGCGCACACACACGCGCATTTCGCAGGGTGGTCCAAGGTGCTCCGCGGGTTTCCTCGCCAAGAGACAAGTGCACGCGCGCGAGGGATGCCAAGAAGCGGGAGGGGAGGGCACGAGAAGGAGAGAGAGAGAGAGAGGGGAGGGCAAGAGAGGGAGAGGGAGAGAGGGAGATGAGCAGGAGGAGGGACTAGGCCACCTGACCTCGTGCACCGCGCATCGCGACAGATGCGCCCATCTTCGCGCAACCGCGCCCTCGCGCCACTCCTTTTGGAGCAGGGCAGCCGGTCTCTCGCCCAGACCGCGGCGCGCGGGGGCGCGATTATTTCGGCGCCCCCGCGGGCGATCTTAAAGAACGCGGTGGCCACATGAGCAATGGTAGCGTGAGTCCAAGAATGAGATTTATGAAGACAAAGCGCTTGGGGCCGAGAGAACGACATGCTCGAGCGGCTGTGGGTCGCCAGGGCGGCCTCTCGACATCACGCGAATCATAGCAGGCAACAGAAGCCGAGACTCCGCAGCTCCGTAGCCGCCGCCTCTGCTGTGGAAGCATAGTGAACCTCTCGCCGCGGGCAGCGCTGCCCCCCTCACAAGACAGGACGGGGGGGTCCTCCCTAAATAACTCCGGGGCTAACACTACAGTAGGAGCTCGACCACAAGAAACCTTCCACAAGAAGCCCAACCCTGAGACCCCAGGACGTCGATTGATTTGTGGGAACGTCACGCTTTCCACCGCAAAACCGTCGAAACCCGAGAAACCCAGGGCACCCTGGAAGCAAGCAGGGTGTTTCTTGGCACGTGTTTCTACTCACACTCGCCATCGCTCGGACGTCCATTCCGTGTGCTTTTTTGGGTTTCGTGCGTGGTTTTTTCGCCAAATGGTCAAGGGTGCTCCTCGATGGTCCTCGCCGAAGGAAAAATGCACACGTCCGAGCGATGCCAGGCACAGATCCGCCACCGTGCCTCGAAGCGCACCCTGAGGCTCGAACTTCTTACATCGGCGGGCAACTGCAAGGCAAAGACCGTCAAGCGCCGGGAGGGGCGGCCCGGCAAGAGTGGTGGCACTGAAAGATCGGGGAGACGTAAGGCTCGGGTACGGGGGACTCGGGTTGGCCCGCCGGGGCCATCACAAAAATGACGAGACGCAATCTGAAATTTGACGCGAGCTCCCAATGCAAACATCCCACGAAAACTGGACCGTCAAAATCCAGGACGGGCTCGTCAAAAAACGTCGGCAAACCCGAGTTCCGGCTTACCCGAGTCTTACGTTCCCCCGAAAACACCCGGGTAAACAGGAGAGGCGGAAAAGACAGAGCCGAGGTCAGAGCATCATAAAGCCCTTCACGCGGGTGCAAGGGCTGCTCAACAAACACGCAGACCATGTCCGCGGCGAACAATGAAAGCACGAAGAGAAAGACGGTGACCGAGGAACTAGAACGGCCCTCCGCGACCCGGAAATCTGGGCACGTGTTCACGACTGTTGAAAGGAGCCACATAATACAAGGCTCAAACACGTGCGAGCGTTAGACGTCAGAGGGATGGAGCAGGTTGTAGAATCCTGAAGAGCCCAGGTCAGCAATCTGCAGGTTTTGGAGGAGCTCCTAGGCGCTCAGGCCTCCAGAAGCCACCCACCCGCACATACCAACTCCGACACCCCCCAAGAGCATTCCAGAAGAGGCCCCCAAAAGGCTCAGGAACCCTCGAAAGGTCGCGAAAAGCCCCAAGGACACCTGAGAAGCCACAATAAGCCCAAAGAGAGTCTGAAATCCGCCGATGCCGTGTGTGAGTTTCTGAGAGCGTGGGCTTGAGCTCGCTCAAGCTTCGCTCTGCAAGGGGGGAGGGACGCCAACGACGAAAGAATTGACACGCAAGGCCTCCCCAATGCCGGGACCGACCCCACCCCCCTGCACCTTCCTCTCCGGCGCCCCCCCCCCCTCTTCCTGCACCCCCTCCCCCTTCCCCTGCAATCTCCTCTCCGCCCCCCACCCTCCTCCTGTGGACGGGGGGGAGGGGGGGGGGGAGACAGGAGAGAGGGGGGGGGGGACAGAGAGAGGAGGGGGGGGGGACAGGAGAGAGGAGGGGGGGGACAGGAGTGAGGTGGGGGGGACCAGAGAGGGGGGGGGGGGACAGGAGAGAGGAGGGGGGGACAGGAGTGAGGTGGGGGGGACAGAGAGGGGGGGGGGGGACAGGAGAGAGGGGGGGGAGAGGGGGAGGTGGACAGGAGAGAGAGGGGGGAGGGGGAGAGGAGGGGGAGGGACAGGAGAGAGGGGAGGGGGGGGGAAGAAGAGAGGGGGGGGGGGGGGCAAGCTAGGTGCGCTCGCGTCATATCTGACGTCCTACCCCTCCCTCCCATCCCTTACCATGGCGCTGATTTTCTCTATCCGCGGACGCGTGTCGTAGCGGACCTGTGGCTCCGCGCGCGCGTGCGTAGTGGGTGGTGGTGCGCGTGCGTGCGTGCGTGCGTGTGTGCGTGGTTGTGGTGGTGGTGGTGGTGGTGGTGGTGGTGGTGGTGGTGGTGGTGGTGGTGGGTGGTGGTGGTGGTGGTGGTGGTGGTGGTGGTGGTGGTGGTGGTGGTGGTGGTGGTGCTGGTGGTGGTTGTGGTGGTGGTGGTGCGGTGGTGGGTGGTGGTGGTGGTGGCGGTGGTGGTGGTGGTGGTGCGGCGCGGTGGTGGCGGGCGGATGGCGCGCGAGAAAGAGGCCCGCGCTGGGGCGAGAACGCCATCCTGAACGACGGAGGCCAAACACCGATCCGAAAATGAGGCCCAAGCTGCAGCGGGAGCACGATTCGGAACGATTCGGGAGCAGAAATGAGGCCGGCGCCTCAGCGAGAGCAGCATTTTGAAAAAAACGCAGGCGAAACCCCAACTCCCGGGAATCCTGTGTGTAAACAAACAATACGCGGGGGGGGGGTCGGCCACTCCCAGCACGCCATCAGGGGAAGAGGGAGAGTAGTATTCATATTGAGTAATTGTACAGGAGGAGAGGAGGGGGGAGGAGGAGGAGGAGGGGACAGAGGGGGGGAGGACAGAGAGGGGGGGGGGGGAGGGGGGAGGGGACAGGAGAGAGTGGGGGGGGGAACAGGAGGGAGGGGGGAAAGGAGAAGAGGAGGGGGGGGACAGGTGAGAGGGGGGGGGGGGGACAGGAGAGAGGAGGGGGGGGGGGGGAGGGGCGGGATCATCACCATCTCCATCACCATCACCATCACCATCACCATCGTCACCATCACCATCATCATCATCATCATCATCATCATCATCATCATCATCATCATCATCATCATCATCATCAGCATCATCATCATCATCATCATCATCATCATCATCATCATCATCATCATCATCATCATCATCATCCAGAGCGCCCCGGATCGGCGGCACTGGCCGGAGGCCACTACAATACGCTCCAAGCAGGGCCCAAGAGAGCCAAACCATGCCCAAACCGAACTGGCATCCCAACGCATTGAGCATGCCCGGCTTCTCGTTTGAACACGGCGTCAACACCGCTGTGCTGCAGAGCACCTCCAAGACCAACCGCAACGGCCAGGAAGCACCCCGAGGCGCATCGACGCGAGACGGCCCCCAGGCCCCCATTAGGCAGGCCGCGAGGCCCCGGAGGCCTCGACCCCGTATATACGGGAGGCCAGCCTCTCATCCCCGGCGATGCTCGCGGCCGCACGACCCACGGGACACAGAGGGTGCCGCACGACCCAGGGCGTCCCGTGGCGGCGTTGGCACGCACCGGCCCCCCGAGCGCGCCCGATGCCCCTCGGGAGCGCTCGTCGCCCGACGGCCCCCCCTCGGGCCGCCACGGGAACTAGGAGGACCAGCGCCAGGCCAAGCCGTGCAGCCGAGGTCGGGAGCGCCCCCAAGAGGCTGCCAATGAAGACCTCTCCCATGAAGAAGAAGAAGAAGAAGAAGAAGAAGAAAAAATACCACATAAAAAGAAACGTTTGGCGCTTCGCGCGGATTTCTTGGATTCGAGCTGGACCCCCCTCCCTGGCGCGCGGAGCGCGCCAGGGGCGGCGCCGGAGGCGCCGCCGACTGATATTCTTCTTCGACTGATCTGGCGCTGCGAAAAGGCTGCAGCAACGGGGGACGTCACGGGCGGAGCCCCAGCAGACCCCGTCTTTCCGCTGCAAGTCTCGAGCAAGGGGCCCTGGGACACACACACACACACACACACACACACACACACACACACACACACACACACAAATACACACAAATCCCAGGATTCCCCATATTTTCCCATATTCTCTGGATGTTCGTCTTCCCCCCCATTGTCATTAGTTTCCCAGATTTTCCTGGGGATCGACGACTAATTGTGTCTGTGTGCTTTTATCCCCTCCTGACTCGAGCTGGATCCGCCCGTGCTGGCCCCGGGCCCCGAGACCAGGCGGGCGCGCCCGGTCACGGAAAAAAACGCTAAAAATGCCGGGATCTCGGGCCCCGCCCCCCCCCCCAGCGTCCCCGAGGGTTATGTTGCTCCCACCGTACTTGACAACCACATCCCAGAGATAAGTTTGAGCACCCGGGAAAGTGTCGAAACGGCGTTGCACAAGCGTCTCCCAGGGACCGACACGCGAAGACCCTCGAGCTTCGGCATTTCCTTGGTGCTGGAAAGCCTTTTCTGGTGATAAAGGGCTAAAGTAGGTTGGAACATCAGAACCCGAGGGCCGAGGAGGATCGGGGATCGAAGAGGGCCGAAGATCGAGGAGGAGCGCAGAGCGAGGCCGAGGATCGAAGCTCGCGGAGGGGTGTCGAGGGGGAGGGGCCGAGGATCGAGGGGCCCCCAACCCCCGAAAACGTCGCAGCGCCTGGTGCTCAGGGTCCGCCGCGACGTGTCCACGACGCGCGGGGAGCGAGAGAGAGAGAGAGAGAGAGAGCGCGTAATGCTAGAGGAAAAAAAACTATGCACATACACCGATTCTGGCCAGGCCCATCCTGAGCCCAGGATCGATGCATACGCCCTCCTACCTTGGCCAGGAAGGCGTATGCACCGATCCTGGGTCAAGGATGGGCCTTGCCAGGATCGGTGCATGTGCATAGTTCTCCTCGCCTGCAATGCTTCGCATGAGCTTGATGCCGCTGCATGGTGGATTAGCTGGATCCGTCTGTGGACCAGTCCCTTGTACTGACGCAGAGGCCATGACTAGAGGCCTCCTGGATGGGGTCGGAGCAGGTGGGGTCGGAGGATCGCGCCGCATCGCCGTCACATCGGCGATGCGCCCGCGATGCATCGGCGATGGACCGGCGATGCGCCGTCGACGTCGGCGATGCACCGGCGACGCCGACGTGAAGCAAGCGAGGCTGCACATCGAGCCGCATCAGCGATGCATCGGCGATGCGGCGCGATCCTCCGACCCCATCGACTCCGACCCCCCTCGGCGCGCCCTCGCCTGGGAGCGGGGCGAGGCGGGCCCGGCCCCGTGGCGAGGAGAGGCCCCCGCCGCCCCCGGAGGCCCCCGCAGGGGGGAATCCCTGCGGCATGTCCTCAGGGTGAAGTCGGGCGTGTCCCCCTACAGGGGGGATTTTCGACGAAAAATTAAAAACATTCAAAACAATACCCCCAAATGGACAAACAAATACTTTGAAAATAGTCCCCCGACTATCTTTCGACTACTTTTGAGTTTTCGCCCTGTAGAGGGACAAGCCCGATTTAACCTTAGGGTGGAGGGCTCACGGTGAAATCCATATGAGCTCTTGCACCTGGAAGAGCAATCCGTCTCGTGATCCACCTCTTGCAGATTCAAGCCTCGAACATCCATTGAAACGGCTTCAGATGTCACCCTTTGCCCTCCACCTGAAGAAAATGCTCGGTATTCGGCGTTTAGACATTGGGCGGAAGGGGAGGGGGACGGGGGGGGTCTGACTCCAGACCTCTGCCTAGTGCGGCTGTTTGCAGCAGCGGGGGGAGAGACTGCACCTGCTTGAAACAGGCGCCAAAGACAGCCAAGGTATACTCCAGGGGGGGGGGAGGGGGGGGGTGCGAGGGCCCGCGCCGATAGGCAAAACAATGAAAAAAAACGATCACCAGGATGGACATGGGTCGCGTTTTCCGTCGTAGAACTGTCGAAACCCAGGAAACCCAGGGCGCCCTGGAGGCAAGCAGGTTGTTTCCTGGCATGGGCCTCCACTGTGTCCCAGGCTTCGTGGGGTGTACGAGGAGGGGGGCGACCATCCACGACAGGAGTCGTCCGATCCACGACCATCCACGACAGGGGGGCAACCATCCGCGAGCCCCCCTTCTTGGGGTGTGTACCAAAGGTTCCCCCATTGTCGGAGCGGCCAACCTTTCCGGGCAGAATTCGGGAATGGGGGGAGAAACATCGCCTGCGAGGGAAAAGCGAAAAGACGCTCTGGATGCGAGGCGGGGCCTTGTGCGCATCCACCGCATGGGGAAGGAAGGAGCCTCGTCGTCGTCGTCGTCGGCAACGTCGGCGTCGTCGTCGTCGTCGTCCGTCGGCGTCGGCGTCGGCGCTGGCGGCATCCTCGTCGTCGTCGTCGACATCGTCGTCGTCGTCGTCGTCATCGGCGTCGGCGTCGGCGTCGGCGTCGGCGCCGGCGTCGGCGTCGGCGTCGGCGTCCACGTCCTCGCCGGCGTCGTCAAAGTCGACGGCGTCGGCGTCAGCGTCGGCGTCAGCGTCGGCGTCGTCATCGTCGCCGTCGTCGGCGTCGGCGTCGTCGGCGTTCGCGTAGACGTCGACGTCGTCGGCGTGCGGAGGCGTCGGAACGGCGTCGGCGTCGGCGTTGCCCTCCCCATCTCATCAGGGGGGTTGGCCTGTGGTACCCTGGGACACATCCCATCTGGGCGGGGGCCTGTGATCCCTCTACCCCGGGCCATACACATGTGTATCTATATATATATATATAGATATATGTATGTATGCGCACATGCTATAATAATATGTGCGCGCATGTCACACATACATATATGCATATCTAAATATAGACACATTTTTATATATATATATATATATATATGCATCCGAGGGTCCAGGAAGATCGGCTTCCCAGGAGGCGGTGCCCATGGGTAAGTCCCAGATTCGCAGTGGGCACGCAGGGCCCCGCCCCCAGAGGCCCTCGAGAGGCCCTCGTAAGTGTGTCAGCGCGGGCGGGCGCCGGAAAACGGGAGGCGGGGCCCTGCGGCGCAGCCGCGCCTTCAAGCACAAGAGCGACTCCTTGCAGGACACGTGCTCTACACGATTGCTGTCTTGGACGACCTCCCCCGTTCTGGGCACGGGCACACCAAAAAAAAGCTCCCTGCCCCCCTCCCCCCCCTTTTAAAAAAGCATACGCCATGCATTTCTCCAGCCCGCTTTTGCCACCACTCGTTCTGGAGACAGACTCGGCCCCATGCCCTCCATCCCGCCGCAGGCAGAGTCAAGATGCCGAGAGGGCCTCGGCAGCGATGCCCACCGCCAGGCGGAGGTCCTGCAGGGCTGCCTGCGCGGGGCTGCCGTGGGGCGATGGGGCGAGGAGCTTGCTCGCTCCACCCTCTGGCGCTGGCGGGCGATGCCGGACTGGGGGGGAAGCAGGAATCGGGGGGAACGTAAAGGGGGGGATAGCAGAGGGTAGGGTAGAGGATGAGCTCGCGTAGCTGACTTTCCCAGCGCCTCCCGGCGCCGCGAGGCGCCCATGCATCGAGGAATGGGCCCGGCGGCGGGGCCGAAACCAGCTGCATGCAGCAGATGCCGTACCCCCCCCTCTTTCCCTACCCCCCCCCTCCCGTTCGGCCCGAAGGAAGCGGGCAGCGCTGCGGCGAGTGCCCCGCACCCCTGCCTGGCCGGGCGTCGGGCTCGCCCACCTCGTGGAAAACCCAATCTTATGGCAAGGCTTGCGCGGGCGCCCGGTCCATCGCCCGCCTCCCCCCCCCCCTCCCCCCCCGTCGGGGGGGGAAGGGAGGCGGGCGGCAACGCCACCATTTGCGACTTGCGTCGGCGCCCCCCCCACCCCGGGGGGGAGGAGGGGAGGCGGGCGGCAACGCCACGATTTGCGATATGCGCCGGCGCCGACTCGGGACACGGCGCCCCTGGTCCTGCGCAGACGGCGCTGGGGCGAGCCGTGCCGTTGCCAAGGGCGTGGGCGGGGAGAGGGGGGGGGGGGAGGGTGGCATTACCGCGAAGAGCCAAACAGACGAGCTCGAGTGGGAGGGGGGGAGGGGTATAACCGCGAATAGCGAAACAGACGAGCTCGAGGGGAGGGGGGGGGGGGGGGGGCATTACCGCGAAGATCTAAACAGACGAGCTCGAGTGGGGAGGGGCAGAGGGGACGACACGCGCCCGGACACCTTCGGCCTGTGGGGCAATCACGCCGCAGGGCTCTGCTCTGGGACATGTTCGATTTCCACTGTAGGGGCCTCACTGGGCCCCGTTGGGTCTTCAAAAACCATCGTGGGATGAGAAGCCAGTCCCCAGGAAAGCATCGCAAACTCGGGAGGCTCACGCTTCGATGACACACCGGATTTTACCATCGCGGCAAGGAGCCCTGCGGCAAGGCAAAGAAAATGACCGACGACGACGACGAGGCCGAGCGAGCGAGCGGGCCACCAATGCGGATCATCCTCGGGACCCAGGAGAGATGCAAGGCTGTGGCCGCCATGGCCATGTCCAAAAAGCCCCGTGACTGCCCGCACCAGATCCAGCACGGGCCAAACGCCGAGGGCGAACCGATGACCGCGTCGTAGTGCACACGAGCGCGCAGATCCTGCTGGCGAAGACTGGCGCTCACCGCCCGCAAATCGGTCCGTGAAAGGTCTCCGCCCGTTAGCCGATGCGAATGTGACATGGTGCCCAAGGGCTTTCCCCCGCCTGCACGCAGCTTCCGCAGGACAGGCTCGAGATCGCGGGCCGACTCGGGCATGGCCGGGAGAGGTGCGGGCGAATGCAGCACCGTTCTGGTGCCTCCTCGGCAGCTTTGACCCGCACACTCCACAACCACGCGCACGCACGCACGCACGCACGCAAGCACGCACGCACGCACGCACGCACGCACACACACACACACACACACACACACACACACACACACACAGACACACACACACACACACACAACACACACACACACCACACACACACACACACAACACACCACACACACACTCACACACACAGACACACACACACACACACACACACAAAAAAAAAACGGTGTGCCCAGGCCGCAGCGGAAGGGCTGCGGCTAGCAGGAGGGGGGCGGAGGAGGCGGCGGGGCAGAGGTGGATGGCTGACGGGCCCCGGGGAAAGACGAATCAACAGACCCAACTGCAATGATTCTCCACATGGCCAATAGCTCCCAGATGTTCGTCGCCCCCTCCACTTCATCTCCGGCTTCATCCTCAAGCTTTTCAGGGAGAAGCTGGCAGCGGACCACACGACGGAGCCTCCGCGAGACGGATCCGCACGAGAGGAGCCGCACGAGCCGCCTCAAGCCTATCCCCCCCGATCGTATCCCCTGATTCGGCGTCGGACAAACCTCCCTGTAATAAACCACCCTTTAGTGAAAACGGCCTAGGACCGAAACCGACGGACGTTTTTGCGGCCGCGACGCCCTCTCGCGAACCGAAAACGGCCAATTCGCCGATCGACGTGTCAGGTTAGGAGGTCTATCAACCTACAACTGATCCCCATGTGATCCATACACGTCGGTCGGAAGAAGTAGGTAAAAACCTGCAGCAGGAAGGCGGATGTGGTGGAGTGGGTCCAGGTCCTTCCAGAGAATAACAAAACACAGAAAGAGCATGTCGATTCTTGAAGTAGGAAGGCGCTTGAAGCAGATTGGGATCTGGGAATCCAAGAATACCTACTTTTCAACGACCAATCACCCTGGGGATCTCGACGATGTTTGTTGGGTGCCTGTGCCTCTTGCTCCCCTCCCCGGAAGCGGCCCGCCCTTCCCTGCGCTGGCCCCGCCTCCGGCTGGGGCGCTGGACCTGGGTCGGGCGTGTCCTCCTACAGGGGGGGGGGCTCTTGAGGGAGAATGTAAACAGTCAAAACTTTCCCCAAATAAACGCAAAATCAAGTAAACAACAACAACAACCACAACAACAAAAATTACTAGCACGTGGGGACACTCCGTTCTCACCAGTGCCAGGGTTTTCATAGGAGGCGGGCAATACCCTCACTTTGTGGGGGGGCCGGTTCAAGCTCTACCAAATTTCCAAACGACTCTTCGCCACCACCCACACCCAGCTTCCCGCCCTATGACGTTCGGACACTTCACTTCGTGGCATGCGGACGACCGTGGCTACTATTCAGGGCCCCGCGGCCGACGACGACGGCGTGCGCGCGCGAAGAAAAAACGAATGTGTCCCGCATGGTATTATTTGACAGGGATGATGGCCCTGGCAGGTGCGCAACCGTTGTTGCAGAAGTTCGAAAAAGTTGCTCGCAAAAGCCCGTTTGACAGAAATGTTTAAAAAAGTGTTGGGTTTCCTACGAATCCGCAAGAGCGCGCGGGATGAAATTTTGACATTTTTTTGTTTGAAAAACCATTGGTTTTTTTTGATGTTTACATATATATATATATATATATATATATATAAAAAAAAAAAAAAAAAAAAAAAGGCTACGAAAACTAAGATTTTGGAAGGATTTCGTCTTGCGCGCGCGAATGTCCACTTCACCTTGTTTTTTGCAAGGGATTCTTGAAGTTTGATTATGTTAGAACAAGAAATGTCCACTTTAGCTTATTTTTTGCAAGGGAAAGCGGGGGACAACAAAACAACCGGATCTGGACCAACCCGTTTTGACTGAGACTTCCTCACGAAAATGATGAAAATGAGGCTGCGGCCTAGGCGCGGCGGGGGGGGCGCGCACCAGGGGCCCCAACAATAATTATTCTTAAGAAGAAATAATGTTCAACAACAACAACAGCAGCAGCAGCAGCAACAACAATAACAACGACGACAACAACAACAATCACCACAACCACAACAACTGCAACAACAACAACACGACCAACAACAACATTAACAACAACATCAGCAACGACAGCAACAACAACAACAACGACAACAACAACCAACAACAAACAACCAACAACCAACAACAACAAAAACAACAACACCAACAACAACCACAACCACACCACCAACAACAACAAGCAACAAACAACAAACAACAACAATCAACAAAACAACAAACAACCAACAACGAGCAGCAACAACAACAACAACAACATCATCAACCACAACAACAACAACAACACTAACAACAACAACAACAACAACAACAACAACAACAGCAACAACAACAACATCAACATCAAGAGCAATAACAACAACAACAACAACAACAACCAGCAACAAACAACCAACAGCTAGCAACAACAAACACAACAAGAACAGCAACGCCAACAACAGCCGCAAAACCAACAACCACAACCACAACCACAACAAACAACAAACAACAAACAACAACGAACAACAAACAACAAACAACTAACAACCAACAACGAACAACGAGCAGTAGCAGCAACAACAAGCACAACAACAACCACAACAACAACAGCAACAGCAGCACCATCAACAACAACAACAACCACAACAACAACAACAACAACAACAACAACAACAACAACAACAACAACAATTACTAGCACGTGGGGACACTCCGTTCTCACCAGTGCCAGGGTTTTCATAGGAGGCGGGCAATACCCCCACTTTGTGGGGGGGGCGGTTCAAGCTCTACCAAATTTCCAAACGACTCTTCGCCACCACCCACACCCAGCTTCCCGCCCTATGACGTTCGGACACTTCACTTCGTGGCATGCGGACGACCGTGGCTACTATTCAGGGCCCCGCGGCCGACGACGACGGCGTGCGCGCGCGAAGGAAAAACGAATGTGTCCCGCATGGTATTATTTGACAGGGATGATGGCCCTGGCAGGTGCGCAACCTTTGTTGCAGAAGTTTGAAAAAGTTGCTCGCAAGAGCCCGTTTGACAGAAATGTTGAACAAGTGTTGGGTTTCCTACGAACCCGCAAGAGCGCGCGGGATGAATGTTTGAAACTTTTTTTTTGAAAAACCATTGGGTTTTTCATGGTTTTATGTTAAAATCGCTACGAAAACTAAGGTTTTGGAAGGATTTCATCTTGCGCGCGCGAGTGTGCACTTCGTGTCATTTTTTGCAAAGGATTCTTGAAGTTTGGTTATGTTAGAACAAGACATGTCATTTTATATTGTTTTTTGACAGGGAAAGCGGGCGTCAACAAAACAACCGGATCCGGACTCCCCCGTTTTGCCTGAGACTTCCTCACGAAAATGATGAAAATGTGGCTGCGGCCTAGGCGCGGCGAGGGGGGCGTGCACCAGGGGGCCCAACAATAATTATTTTTTAGAAGCAATAATATTCAACAACAAGTTTCCAGACTATTGATTTGACTGGTTCTGAATATGCCTCCTGCAGAAGGACACGCCCGACGTCGCGCTGGACCTGCTTCCCCCCTCTGGGCGCGTGCCCGGCTGCCTGCTGGCTGCTGACGCCCAGCCGCTGCCTGCCGCTGCCGCTGGCCCCCCGCCCCGGCGCCCGCCCCGCCGCCGCCTGGCCCTGCTCCGAGCGGGCCCGGCGTCCCCCCCAGACCCCCCTCGCGCCACCCCTCTGTGCTCGTGACGCTTACGCTGGCGTCTGCCTCGAACGATTTCGTCGGCTCCTGCAGGTGTCCCTGCCTCGGGATGCGTCCCAGCAGCTGCGCCTCGCCGACTGGAGACCCGACGTGTGGCCCGCAAGCCAGACGGGCCACAGGTAGGAGTACCCCCTCGAGGACGCCGGGACCCTCCCGCCCGCGCCGGGCTTCCCCTCTGTTCCTCCCGTGCCCCGCGGCGTCCTGCGCATCCTGCCTGCCCCACCAGCGCCACTTCGCCAGAGCAGTCCCTCTGCCTGGCCGCCGACGTAAACAGCGTCTTCGTGCCCCTCCTGGAGGCGGTCCGCCTGCGCCTCCCAAGGGGGGTGGACGAGAGGGCAGGAGATCAGAGGGCAGGGCAGAGGAGCAGCTCGTGCAGCTGGTATGGCTGGCGCCTCTATATGGCTGGCGCCTCCTGTCGGGGAAACGCAAGACTCCAGTTCGCCGGAGCTCGGGGTTGCCGACGCCTTCTGACGAGCGCGCCCCGCATTTAGACGGTTCATTTGCGTGGGGTGTTTGCAGCGGGACCTCGCGTCAAATTTTAGACTGGGTCTCGTCATCTTCAGGAGGGCCCCGTCAGGCAAACCCGAGTGCCCCGAACCCGAGTCTTACGCCTCCCCGATCCTGGCACCAGGAGGCGCCCATGCATCCTGGAGTGGGCCCCGCGGCGGGGAGGAAACCAGCTGCACGCCGCAGATTTCGTACCCCCCCCCCCTTTCCCTAACCTGCCCTGTCGTCCGGCCCGAGCCTCCCCCCCCATCCGCTGCAGCGGCGCGGGCCTTCGGCACCCCGGCGGCGCCCTCCGGAGTCAGGCGGCCAGCTATCCTGGCAGCGGCCTCGGCGGCCCGCGCACGCGACCGCGCGCGCACGGTGAGCTCACGTCGTTGTCCCCCGCGTCGTCGTCGTCGTCGACGTCGTCGCCGCCGCCGCCGCCGCCGCCGCCGTCGTCGTCGTCGTCGTCGTCGCCGTCGCCACCGCCGCCGTCGTCTTCGTCGTCGTCGTTGCCGTCGTCTCCCTCGTCGTCGTCGTCGTCGTCGTCGTCGTCGTCGTCGTCGTCGTCGTCGTCGTCGTCGTCGTCGTCCCCCTCGTCCCCCTCGTCGTCGTCGCCGCCGCCGCCGCCGTCGTCGTCGTCGCCCCCCTCGTCGTCGTCGTCGTCGTCGTCGTCGTCGTCGTCGTCGTCGTCGTCGTCGTCGTCGTCGTCGTCGTCGACGTCGTCCCCCTCGTCGTGGTCCCCCTCGTCGTCGTCGTCTCAAGCCCTGCCTTCTCGCTTCAGGGCGCCCCTCCCTCTGCACCTGCGTCAAAAGCACGGGCCATGGCCGACGACGCGATCAACCCGTCTTGGACTGGGAATTTTGAATCGAGAGATAGAGCCCCCGATCTCGCCTGCACTCTCCCGCTCCGCGGACTAAGGAAGGGAGCACTTGCACCGAAGGGCTCATGATTGCGCTTTAGATGACTGTTCTGGCGCGCCCAAGTCGGACCATGTGGCCGCAGTGGCACCTCGTGGCATTTGGAGCACGATGGCTTCTGGACCTCCGTGGGCTTCCGCGTGCCCTGGCTTCTGAAACCCCTCCGGTTTCTGAACGCCGTGGCTTCTGGGATCCCCCACGGAACTCCACACGCCAGGGCTTCTGGAGCCCCACTTTTTTTCCGCACCCTGGGCCTCTGAACCGGTTGGGGATCGATGCGGCCCCCCCTGACACTGCCCCCGTGGCTTTCGGGTTATAACTAGACTCTCTGGCTGCCGCGCGGGACGATCCAGGAACCCGCGGAACGCTCTCGGCGAGGCGCAGCTGCTGGAAGGCAACCCGAGGATGGAGAACCTACGATAATTTACGACAGCGTAAGACAAGAAGGACAATGAAGAACGCAAACATACACTTTTGCCGGTCCGCGTCCTGGATCAGCGCTGTGCCCCCCGCCGGGGCGCGCGGCGGCGCGAGAGGGGCCTCAGCGCAGATCCAAGAAATCCGCGCGGGTCGCCAAAAGTTTCTGTTTATGCAGATGTGTATTCTTCGAGCTCACTCGAAAACCTGCAAACAAGACGAAATCCAGCGCCCTCGACCAGGCCTGGGCCCTCCGTCAGCCTTGTGGGCATGCTCTCCTTTACTACCAGTATGTGTATACATATATACATATATATATATATATATATATATATCAGCGACAGCCGACCTCCCGCACAGTCAACGCACGCCTTGGAAGGCCAAGTCGACACCTTTCGAGCGGCGCGCGGCCAGCGAGAGCGGCCCCTCATCGTCCGAAAAGGAAGGTGACCACCCAAACCCAACCAGAAGGAAGACCCAAGTTTCGCGTTGGGGGGGGTGCGGGATCCACGGGGTGGTTTGGTGGGCGGCGAGAAGGAAGCCGAGAGGCAACCTTGGAAAATCGCTCGCCCAAACTGTGCGTGCTGACTGCAAGGCTCTGCTGTGCGTGGCGCTGGCCGCGCCCAGCAGAGCACCGCCATGGAGGTCCGCGGCCCATGGCCTGCATTGGGGCAGTAGCGAGAAACAAACTTACTTACTGTACAGGCGGAACTAGGCAAGAGCAACATTCTTCAAGAACACGAGACCCTCCGCCGGCCAAAGCACACAGAACATCCAAGGGTACCCTCCCCAGGACGCACAAGAACGTCCAACAAACACCAAGAACACTAGGGCAACCTCCCCGACCCGACCTCGATCTCCTGCCCCGGTCCGACTGTATCCCAGAGTTCCCCCCCTGGTCTGAAAGGCCAGACTTCTCAAGCGGACCTCGGGGATTGGGGGAGAAGCATCGCCCGCGAAAAAGAATTGGCCCGCCGTGCGACCCCCTTGCGTGGAGGAAGAGCGCACGTGCGAGCGCTCCTCTCGCGCGCGGGCATCGCCCCGCCCCAGGCGGGCCCCGCCTCGGCCGACAGGGCGAGGCAGAACTCCCCCTGGCAGGGTCGGCGCAGGGGGGGTGGGGCAGGGAGGAGATGGGGGGGGGCGTGAATGCTGCTGCTCTCTCGCCCCACTCTGCCGCCGCACTTCTGGGCGGGACAGGGAGGAGGTGGGGGGCGTGGCTGCTGCTGCTCCCTCGCCCCACTCTGCCGCCGCACTTCTGTCACCCCCCCCTCCCTCCCCCCCTCTACAATTACTCAATATGAATACTACTATCCCTCTTCCCCTGATGACGTCTTTTGCGTATTCGCCCCCCTCCCCGCGTACTGCTTTTTTACACACACGATTCCCCGGAGTTGGGTTTTCGCCTGCGTTTTTTTCAAAATGCTGCTCTCGCTGAGGCGCCGGCCTCATTTCTGCTCCCGAATCGTTCCGAATCGTGCTCCCGCTGCAGCGTGGGCCTCATTTTCGGATCGGTGTTTTGCCTCCGCCACCACCGCGCACCGCCACCACCACCGCACCACCCCACCCACCACCACCACGCTACACCGCGTCACACCACATCACACGCGCGCACACAGACACACACGCACGCACGCACGCACGCACGCACGCACGCACGCACACACACACACACACACACACACACACACACACACACACACACGCACACACACACACACAGACACACACACACACACACACCACACCACCACCACCACACCACCGCCATCACGCACGTACGCACCTGGCCCACCACCAAACCACCAAGACGCCACACCACGTCACACCACAGCACACGCGCACACACGCACCCACACACACACACATACACACCACCACCAGAACAACCACAACCACGCACACACGCACGCACGCACGCACGCGCACCACCACCCACTACGCACACGCGCGCGGAGCCACAGGTCCGCTACGACACGCGTCCGCGGATAGAGAAAATCAGCGCCATGGTACGGGATGGGAGGGAGGGGTAAGATGTCAGATGTTGACGCGAGCGCACCTAACTTGCCCCTGCCCCTCCCTGTCCCCCCTCCCACACCGTCACCAACCCACCACCCCATCCTGCCGCCCGCCGACACCCCTCCCGCCCCTGCGCCATCCCCCCGTTCCACCTCCTCCTCCTCCTCCTCCTCCTCCTCCTCCTCCTCCTCCTCCTCCTCCTCCTCCTCCTCCTCCTCCTCCTCCTCTGCTCGCATGGGGGAGGGGGAGGGGGAGCTGGGTCCAGGGGGGTGGGGGGCAGCGGTCGAGGGAGAGGGGAGGATGAGGAGGAGGAGGAAGATGAGGGGGAGGAAGAGGAGGAGGGCGATAGGAGGAGGAGGAGGAGGAGGAGGAGGATGGAGGAGGAACGAACAGAGGAACAACACCCAGACCCCAAGCGAAGTGAGGAAAGACATCCGGAAACTTCTCGCCGCTGTGGGCCCCTGGGGGAGGGGCCTGACCAGGCGCCAGGACCTGAGCAAGTATGTTCGGGGGCCACCACAAGGCAAGGGGAAAGATGGGAATCCCATCCGGGGGGGTCGTATTGAGAAGACACAAGATGATGAATGATGAAATGATGATGGTGGTGGTGGTGATATCGCGCCCACTATGGTGAAATCCCCCGACAGCTCGCAGCAAGTCAAACCCCTAGACCCAAAGGAGAGGACAAGCAGGATGAGGAGGGGGAGATCGAGAGGGAGAGGGAGATGCAGCGGGAGGGGGGAGGAGTCGTGAAGGGCGAAGCGGCGAGGGCGTCACGGGAGGAGGGGGAGAGAGGGAGGGGACGGCGAGAAAGCGGGGCCCCCGGGGAAAGTGGGAGACGCAGGGCGAGGAGGCTGAAGGCTGAAGGCATGAACGCCTGGTCGGTGCCAGTCGGGTCGGGCGAAAGGGGGGGATAGCAAAGGAGGGGTTTGAGAATCAGCTTACGTAGCTGATTTTCCTGGCGCCTCCCGGCGCCGGAGGCGACTATGTATCGAGGAATGGGCCCCTCGGTGAGGCCGAAACCAGCTGCATGCAGCAAATTTTGTAACCCCCCCTTTCCCAATCCCCCCCTTTCGTCTGGCCCGAGCCAGGCTACACGCCGCACAGGGCGGCCTGCGCTTCGCGCAGGCTTGGAGAAACGCGCCTGGCCCACGGGGGCAGGCCCCGGACGACCGCCCACCACCAACCAGGGCACCACGGCTCTACCCCTCGGACCATTCATCGAGTAGGGGATCGACTAATTACAGGATTCATTTACCCAAAATGTTTTTGTCCGTCGAATCTGCGATGAATGGCTGAAAACAAATTATGGCGTAAATCAAGGCTGTAGTAGATCACCCACTCACATTACAGTGGACTTTTTAATACATGTGATGTTTAAACATATAGGATGTTTAATACATGATTAATTGATGCGTAAACGTATGCATGAACTCAGCGTTGCTTTTAATACTAAATCCCTGCATGTGTAATACACAATCCGCACGCGGAGCATGTCTTCAAAACGGCACTGTAAGGAGAAAGGAAACCAGGAACGCGAGGAAGCGGGGCGTGGCGGGAAGGGAGCGGCAGGAAAAGAACAGCGTGCGATCTCCGCCGTCTCTGCCTGCCGCTCGCCGCCCGGGCCGTGCTCCTCCGCGCCCGCCAGCGGCCGGGTGGGGGCGGGGCGGCCTCGGCGACACCCCTCCGTTGGCAACGAGCTGGGGGCGGGGGGAAGGCGTCCGCCGCCGTGGGGCGGCTGGGGAGGGCAGCGGTCGAACGGATGAGCGGACGTCCTCCTCGAAGCTCGAAGCTGCGGAGTGCGTCACCGAAAAGGCCGCAGCCCTCGAAGAGCCTCCCTCCCAGCAGCGCTGGGGGGGGAGCAGAACAACACCAAGGGAGAAGCGGTCGAACGGATGAGGGGATGTCCTCCTCCTCCTCCTCCTCCTCCTCCTCCACCTCCTCCTCCTCCTCCTCCTCCTCCTCCTCCCCGAGGTCCTCGAGGTCCTCCGTCCTCCTCCTCCTCCTCCTCCTCCTCCTCCTCCTCCTCCTCCTCCTCCCCGAGGTCCTCGAGGTCCTCCGTCCTCCTCCTCCTCCTCCTCCTCCTCCTCCTCCTCCCCCTCTTCCCCTCCCCTCCTTCGCCTCCCCCTCCCCCTCGCCCTCCCCCTCCTCCTCCTCCTCCTCCTCCGCCTCCTCCTCCTCCTCCTCCTCCTCCTCCTCCTCGTCTTTCTCGAGGTCCTCCTCCGCCTCGTCCTGCTTCTTCAGCCTTGTGCGAGCCGCCGAGCTGCGACGAAACGCCGCCATCGTTGCCGCCGCCGCCGCAGGCAGGAGCGTGCTGGCGGTCGAGCAGGTTCCCAAACCTCAGCGCAGTGCAAACATGAGTATGTGTTTTACTTTGTTCTGCCTCCTAAGACCCTCGCTGGGCCCCCGGGATCGTCGAACAACAACTCGAGACGGGAAGCCTGCCCCCAGGAGGGGGTCGAGACTTCTGGGGGCCCCGCATTGGAAAAAACAAGACATCGGATATCTGCCTTGTCGAGCCTGTTGACATCTCTGCAGAGGATCTATATCCGCAACCGTGCCGCTGGGCACGGAGTGGGCGTGTCCTTAGGTCCTTTGCCTAATCCCGTAAGCACCCCACAGGAGTTCTTAAGGGGCCCGGACCCCAAACTGCCAAATCTCTTCGAGCTTCCCGCGGCTTCTCGCGAGACTTGCTCGGGGCCAGCGGGCCCCAAGACAAGCCAAGAGGGCTCCAAGCGGCCCCGAGAACGGTTCAAGAGGGCCTCGAGTTGCCGAACGATCGGCGCAAGATGCCCAAGACGGCCCGACGACGGCCCAAGAGGCCTACAAGAGGCCCCCAAGAGGCCTCCAAGAGGCCTCCCAAGAGGACACCAAGAGGTAACAATCATTGATTCGCCTCAGGTTATTAAAGGAATGCCTGTTCTGTTTTCCGACACTCCGAGACGGCCCAAGAGGCCCCAAAATCACCCCAAGACGGCCCAAGAGGCCTCCAAGAGGGCCCCAAGACGGCCTAAGAGCGCCCCAATACGGCCAAAGTGGCGCCCAAAACGACCCAAGAGGGCCCCAAGGCGGCCCCGAAACGTGCCCAAGAGAAGGAACACGAACGGAAAATCTGAGCCTTCCGCCACAAGAGGCCCCCCAGGAGGCCCCCCAGGAGGCCCCAATAAGCGCCCAAGATGCCCGAAGAGGCCGCCAAGAAGGCTCCAAGAGACCAAAAGAGCCCCCCAAGAGGTCAAAACGAGGCTCCAAGAGGCCCCAAAACAGCCCCCAAGAGGCTTCAAAACTGCCTCCAAGAGGCCCCCCAGAGGCCTCCCACGAGATCCCAACGAATGTTCAATAGGCTGCGTAACCACAACACAACCACAGGGCAGGATGGGCCGACGGCCATTTGATAATAATTCCAACGCCTGGTGGGCCAGCCCAATTCCCCGAAATCGATGGCACGACGTGGACCCCCTCCGTGCAATGGCCGAATACATCGACGTCCCGATGACCGCGTCAAGATCACACGGCACGGCCCAAACAAGTCAACACTGAGAAACGCATACACGGCCTCACCGAGAAGAGCGCGGTCCCGCCACTCTGAGGGAACCCGGGGTGGTGGGCCCCGCGCGAAACGGCCTTGGCGTACGCAGCCACCTCGGCCTTGTCCAGGTGCCCCTTCTTCCTTGCGCAGAAAAGGGGAGGGGGGCGGCACGGGTTGCGGCTCCAGGAGAGTCCAGCAATGCCGAACACCCCCGCGAACACCCGCTCGCGGGCGAGGTCGGGGAGGGCGTCGAGTGGCAGCCAGGGGAGCGAGAGTGCCCTCGACCAGTGGCAGCGAGGCATGATGCTCGAGAGAGGGTAACACGGCGTTTAATTACACATCGGCCAGCTCTCGAAGTCCCCGTCCCCCTGGTTGCGTGCAGCGGAGGGGAGTAACAGCAGAATGACAAAGCGAGAATGACATTATTTTTCTTTCCCGGGAAACGGTCGTTACCGGGGGGGGGCGAGAGGGTGACGTTTACGGCGGCCGCGGCGTGCACCCGCCAGGGTGCGTCTGCGCCACCAGCGCATCAATCGCCTGTGTGCACCAGTCCCTGTGCACACGGCAATGCCCAATTGCTGCGTGCAACACAGCGCTTGTATACACAACAGCGCCTCCGTACACCACAACAACCACGAACACCGCAGCACCACGTCACCTTTGTATACCGCAGTGCCTGCGTATACTGCAGCAGATGTGTGCGCGACAGCGCCTGTGCACACCACGTTGCCTGCACGCACCAGAGCGCTTGCGTACACCACAGCGCCTGTGTACACCACAGCAACCATGTGTACCGCAGCGCGCGCACACGCTAAAATGCCTCCGTGCACCACGGCATCTGCGTACACCAGAACGCCACACGTGCCAGCGGACACTTTAGATACTTGCAAGGCCTCTGCACGGGGATCGCCACAGACCACGGAGCCCCTCAAGACTCGTCATTCACAGTCTCCTCCTGCACCTCCTCGTCCACGTCCTCCTGCACCTCCATCTCCCTTCCTCTCCTCTTCCTCCTCGCCCCTTCGCCGCCGCCAAAATCAGAAGGCACCGACCGGGAACGGCCGACTCCTCCTCCCTCGCCTCCTCCTCCTCCTCCGCCTCCTCCTTCTCCTCCTCCTCATCTTGGTCTTGGTCCTCCTCCTCCTCCTCCTCCTCCTCCTCCTCCTCCTCCTCCTCCTCCGCCGCTTTGCGGGGCTTGCCGCGGACTGAGGCCCTCGGGACTCGTCCTTCAGGGCTCTCGCGGGGGGGGGGCTCGACGGTGGTCGCGGCCTCCGTCGAGGGCGGGAATACAAAGCGGGAGGAGGAGCAGCATGAGGAGCGCGAGGCGACGCTGGCGCCCGCGACAACCCCAGAGGCAACGGCGGCCCTCCCGCCCAGCCGCCCTCCGAGCAGGGCACCTTCGCAGCGAGTCCGCCTGACCTGTGCGCACCGCAGCAGACTGCCAGCGCCAGGGCACGCGCGTGAGCACCGAAGCGTACCTGACAGCACCACTCCGTGCCTGTGAGTTCGGCGCCGCAAGAGGCGAGGAGCCCGCGAGCGCCTCGGCACGCCTGTGGGCACCAACGCATGCCTTGCAGCACCACGCCATGCCTGCGAGCACGGTGCCGTGCCTGCGGCGGGTCCGCCTCGCAGCATGCATGGGGAAGGTCTGAGCGCCCCACTCCCCCCCTCCCGGTAGGCTCGTTGGCAATACCCCAGAGGGGGGGGGCAAGGGGAACGAGCGGTACCATGGGGAGGAGGAGAAAAAAACGCTCACAATAGGAGGGTTGTATGTTGCTCCTAGGTGGGCTCTTCTGGGCTCTCCATCCTCTCCATCACTCTGCACTCCAAATGCCATTTCCAGGTCAAGCGAAGTTGAGATCTCGATTTCCCACCGCATCCTTCGCTGTGAAGGGGGGGCCCATCTGTCGTCACGGGATAATTTACGGAGCAGGGCCGCGCGGCGACTGAGAGTGAGGCTGGATTCATGCAAGAGCGGTCGGGCGGGGCAGTATGCGCACAACGGTTAGATTAGGACGCTGCCGACAGACCTCCGAAAGAAATACAAGCCGAGCGTCACACGCATGAGTTGAGTGGTCATGCGGCTGCAGCCAATGTGGGGCAAATCTGCTCGAGGAAACAACCGTGCGCGCACCTTCCAACCGATCAAGCCTGACAGGCCGGCCTCGGACCTGCGCTCTCCCGCGCTGACCCGACGGCGCCGATGGTTTCCTCCGACCACTCTACAACTCCCTGGGGGGCCTCTGAACTACTAATAATGATAATAATGATAATAAGGATAACAAGGGGGAGGAGGAGGAGGAGGAGGAGGAGGAGGAGGAGGAGGACGAGGAGGGTCCTCCTGGACCTCTTGGGAGCGCCTTGGGGGCATCTTGGAGGCCTCTCGGGCTGTCTGAGGATTCACTCTGCCCGTCGGGCGTCTTCGGAGGGCCCCACACGACACAGCTCGCTGATTGAGATGCGAGGGGGCGGGGGGGCACTCGATGGACGCCTCGTCGCTGCCCAGGTGCGCGCAGCTGCACGCTCGCGAGGCAATGGAGGTCACCAAGAGTCTCGTGGCTTCCGTGCGCACGCATTTACTGAAAGCATTCGCTGCGGCCGTCGCCCATGTCACGCGTCCGTCGTCTCTCCCCCCGCTTCACCATTCACCACCCTTGCTATGTTGGCCCTCCATCTCCCAACGTTCCTGTCCGACTAAAACTGTCAGCGTATCTCCGAGGTTGAACAAGAGCTTGTGCGAGAGACAGTGCTCTGTACGTCTCTGCCTTGACCAGCCTTGCCCCCGTCGACCAATCTGCAACCCCCCGGGGCATATGCAGTGAGATGCGTGCATACTGTCTGCGCCCACTCTCCTTCCCGACCCGTCCCTCGTCCAGCCTTCCCCCCGAAGAAGACGTCGCTAGGGGAACAGAAAGTGGCATAAACATTAAAACTCGGAGGTCCGCGCGGATTTCTCGGATCGGCGCTGGGGCCCCCCGGCGGCGTCTCCGGCGCCGCCCCTGGCGCGCTCCGCGCGCCAGGGAGGGATGTCCAGCGCCAATCCGAGAAATCCGCGCGGACCTCCGAGTTTTCTGTTTATGTCACTTTTTGTTCCCCTAGTCGCAGAGTCTGGCTACAGCACACCCTTGGGAGGCTCCACGAGACCAACTCATACACGACTGGCGGGAGCCTTGTGCACAAGACGGGGATGGACAGACCCCCTTTTAGTAAAACGTGGCTTAGTGAAAACGACCTGAGGCCCAAACCTGGCGGGCGCAAGCCTGGAAAACAACGGCCACGGCGCCCTCTCGAGAACCGAAAACGGACAATTCACTGATCGACGTGTCACTGTTGGGGGTTCTGTCCACCCCCGAAAAAGAGCCTGGTGGCCCACCCTGCACCGAACAGCAAGCCACGCTTCCTCGGCCCCGCGTCGCACGGAGAGAACGGCCGTCGCCCCGCCGTCGTCTCGAGGGGTGCCCCTGCCCCTCTTGGCGCCGCACGCAGCCGCAGGCATGGGGCGGGGGCGACAGTGGCGACGTCCTCTTGTCGTACTTCTGGAAGACGGCGGCCCTCGCGGGCGCGCGCTCTCCGCTCGCTCACTCCGGCGGGTCTGGCAGGGGGGCGGGGCAGCGCCTCTGGCTCGGGAGCGGAGCTGGGACTCCGGTGCAGCGGCGGAGGGCAGAGCGCGAATCGAGAAACGAACGGGTCGCCTCGAGCTCGAAGCCAAGCCATCGTGCTTGCCTGGCAGGGATCCGACTAACCGCGAATGTCAGAGTGCTCGGCCACGCGCAGAGGGGGTAGGGGGAGGGGGAAGGCTTCTTAGAAGGAGGCTGCCTTTTAGAAAGCGCGAGCCTTATCTACAATAGGTGTAAGGACGGCGCCGTCTAAGAAGCAGCCTCCTTTCCTAAGAGGCTTCTCTCCACTTCCCCATGCTCCCCTTGCGCGCGCCGCCAATGAGCAGCCGACGATGACGAGAGAACATCGGCAGAAGCATGCACGCAGGCGACCACAAGCGTGGGTTGGAGCGACCGCGGGTCGTGGGCTGCGGCGGGGGGCAGAGGGACGGAGAGGCCGATCGAGCAGAACAGAATCGCGGCTCCACCCCGGGCCGCACGTGCGAGAATCTGCGGGTGGCCCAGATCATCATGCTGCTCATCCTGCTCTTTTCCCCCCACCGACGTCACACCCTCGTCCTTCTGCTAACACACGGGCAAATGACATTCGGTTGTGCGTCTGCGGAGTCGCGCTGGTCGACCTTTTCCGAGGGGGTCTGCGTGTCACCGTTGACGCCTGGTATGCAGCCAGACCTGTTCCACTTGGGGCTGTTCTTGGGGCTCGTCTTTCATGCGACTGCGCGCCTCGACTCCGGTCAATGTAGTCCTGTTGCATGTGTCCCTGCTGCTCAAATCCCGCTGTGATAACTGCAGCGTGCGACATGCTGTTGCACAATACATGTTCTGGCTCCCATATTGGCTAACATGGAGATCCACTCGCACACTCTGGAGGACACTCCCTAAATGGAGCCGTGCGGAGGTGCTTCCATGGCGTCATCACCCACCTCCTATCATGAACCACAACTCGCCTCCCTCCCTCCACCCCCTTCTCTTGCTCACAAAAGTATGTTTTCTTGCCGATGGCACCGGAGCACGAGAGCCGCAGCGAGGCACTGAATTGGAAAGAGGAGGAAGGGGAACCAGGATGGGTACTGCGAGAGTTGGTTCCGTGCCACCTCCTCCTCCTCCTCCTCCTCCTCCTGGTCCTCGTCATCCTCCTCCTCCTCTTCCTCCTCCTCCTCCTCGTCCTCCTCCTCCTCCTCCTCCTCCTCCTCCTCCTCCTCCTCCTCCTCCTCCCTGGGGCCGCCTCTGGAGTGGGGACCGCCTGCCAGCAGCACAGATCAGGAGAGACAGGGGCAGGGCGTGAGAGACGAGGAGAGGGGAGAGAGAGGGGAGGGGCGGCACTCAGCGGGGCAGACTCGGCATCACATGCCCTGCACCACATATATCACTGTTACGTCTAAGTTCTCCTTTTCGATGTGAGCCAACGTTGGGCCTAAACAGTGTGCCTCTAGACATCAGTGCAGTGCATTCTATATGGAGGAGAGGGCGGGAGAGACGAGGCGAAGGGAGAGGGAGAGAACGAAAGAGGGAGAGAACGAAAGAGGGAGAGGGAGAGGAGGAGAAGGAAGAGAAGGAGGAGAAGGAGGAGGAGGAGGAAGAGGAGGAGGAGGCGAAGGGAGAGAGAGACGAGGCGAAGGGAGAGAAAACGAAAGAGGGGAGGACAGGAACGATGGGCGCGACCGCGCCGTACGGGACAGCCTACCCCGCCCACGCGCATCCCTGCCCATTGCGCCATCGTTCCCTGTGTTTTGTTCGGATTCGTGCGTGTGTTTTTGAGCCAAATGATCAAGGACGCTCCTCGATGGCCATCGCCGAAGGAAAAATGCACACGTCCGAGCGATGCCAAGCACTGCGCTGAATTCTTCTCTATCCGCCGACGGGTGTTCTGGCGGACCTGGAACCGCAGAAGAGACCTCGTCGTGCTATGCGCGATCGGGAGAAGGGAGCTGCGCACGCTGGAGGAGGAAGAAGAGAGGGAGAAGGGGAGGCGGAGAAGGGGAAAGAAGAAAAAGGGAGAGAGGGGGGAGGGAAGGGGAGAGAGAGGAGGGGAGGGTTGGAACGGCAAGAGGACGGGGACGGCGGGCGAACACGACGGGCCTCTTGTCCAGGGCTTCCAGGGCTTTTGCCTTCTTGACCGCCTTCTCGCACGCGATCTTCGAAGACCTGGGTGCGGCAGCGGGGGCCCCGAGCGGAGACCGCCCCACAACAACCGGCGCCTCATGCGGCCCCCCGGCGCCCCGCCGGCTGGACTGCGCACGTGCGCTGGGCCCGTGGCAGTCCAGATGCCTCTGGGCTCGGGAGGAGGAGGAGGAGGAGGAGGAGGAGAAGGAGGAGGAGGAAAAGGAGGAGGAGGAGGAGGAGGAGGGCGATGCCCCTGGGGCCACGGAGAAGGAATGTGAGAAAGGGGGGGGAACCCAGCTTTTCCGAGAGGGCTGCTCTGAGCGAGTGCCCCGCCACGTCCGCGAGGCCGCATCGGCAGCGAGGAGGCCCCGTCACGCCTGCAGGCTGCCCCTGGCCTTGGTCGCCGCTGGCATGGGCTCGGGCCCACGCCGTGCAGTCGAGCTCGGATGGGCAATTCTCACCTCCTGCTCCTCCGTGTCCTCGATGGCTGGAGGAAGCGTCGTTCGCAGCCTGCTCTCCTCCTCCTCCTCTCCTCCTCCTCCCTCCTCCCTCCCTCCTCCTCTCTCCTCCTCCTCCTCCTCCTCCTCCTCCTCCTCCTCCTCCTCCTCCTCCTCCTCCTCCTCCTCCTCTCCTCCGCCTCCTCCTCTTCCGCCTCCTCCGCCGCCTCCGCCTCCGCCACCGCCTCCTCCTCCTCCTCATCCTCCTCCTTCTCCTTCCCTGTCTCCTCCCCCTCCACCTCCTCCTGCCCCGCTTCCTCCTGCTCCCTCCTCGATCCTCCTCGCCCGTCTGCTCCTCCCTTCTCCGCGCGCGCACCCCCTGCGCGCCCCCCTCCCGCCACCCAAGCTGTGCTCGGAGAGGGTCGCGGCTGCTGGAGCGAGGATTCGGAGCGCTGCCCTGCCCCCTATATAATATGCACTTCGAGCGCTGTGGCCTCAGCAAAAAAAAACTCGAGGCTGGATCGCTGGAAGCCCTGGCCTCCGACCCGAGATGCCCAAACCATCGTCACCCTGGTCCACCAACTTCGAGTCTCATGCTCCGCCCCCTCCTCCACTTCGGAGGTTGCTAGACGTGCCCCTGGCCCGAGGTGCCCCCAGCTTCTCGGTCCACTTCGAAGCCCTGGGGGCCCCCTGGGCATCGTGAGATGTGCTCTGGATCTGTTATCAGCGATCCCATAGGGCCCGAACTATACAGCAACGACTGTGTGAGCAACGGAGTCCGTCGCTTCGCGACGACGGGCTCGCGCACCTCGCGAAGACGAGGCCGAGGGCCTTGCCGCAGCCGCCGCCTCGCGTGCTCGCACTCTCGCCGCCAGAGCACGCATGCCTTCGGCCTGGACCAGACCGCTAGCACCAGGAACAGGTAGACGGACTTCAAGAGGCGGCAGCCACGCTGCGGAACAACGGCACAACTACGCGGCGCCTCGGCGAGGGGTCGCACCTTCCGAGACGGCTCCCTCGCGGTAGTGCGGGTGCAAGCCTGAATAGATACGACGAAAGGTCGTGCGGGCGCCTTCAATCCTGCTGACACTCCTTCCCGAGCAGATGGCACCTGGATGCTGTGCAAGCGCCACACACGGTGCACAAGAGAAGCTGCGCCGTGGGGGCCTCCTGGGAAATCCTTGGGACACCCTCCAGGGGCACTTCTGGCAACACCAGATCTCTGCGGGGTGGAATGGGAAGGGCTTGAGGGGCACCGGCGACGGTCCTTCTGGGCTGGTGGGGGGGGTCTTTTGGGACGGCTGGTGGGGGCAGCAGAAGGGGACGGCTGCTGACCCTTCATGTCCCGACCCGTTGGGTCCCTGCACACTTCACTGCAGTGGAGTGGGGGCGCCCAGCGAGGCGAACATTTGTGGACATCATGCTCCATGCCAGATGTTCCCCGTGGCCATCCTCGATCCGTCCCTCTCAGAACCTCCTGCCAATCCGCTCACCAGCTCTCATGTTGCCCTCCTCTCCACCACATGCAATTCCGATCGACTGCGCATCCGCACATAGTTCTCACTCCGTCGCGGCCTGGATACTCATCCCTCCCCCTCTTCCTCGCACATCCATCTTCCTCGTCCTCATCCTCCCCCCTTCTACCTCTCATTGTGTTCCTTCGCCTCCTGCCCTTCCCACCCTCCTCCTCCTCCTCCTCCTCCTCCTCCGCCGCCTCTTCCAAGAGCCTGATTCTAGATTTACTCTCCATAAAAAAGCGTGATCGGGGGACGGGGGGGGAGGTCGTCCCCCACGATCACATCACGGCGGGGGCCGCCGGAAATATTGGGAGATCCTCGAAGAATCCGAAAGAGATGATTGCCGAGGCGGGCACCGTGGCGCGGCGTGAACTTCGGGGGGACGGAGAGGGCCGATCACGGCCGTGATCACCCAGGCCTTCAAAAAACAGGCTCCAGCCTCCACATCCCCTCCTCTCACACTGACGCTCTGGCCAGCACTCGCCCTTCCGCCCTCGTCTCAGCTCCCCCCCCTCTGCCTCCCCAGCCCCCGCGAATGGCGACACGAAAGGGGCCCCGGGACGCGCAAACAGCTACACGCGGAGCCCAGGATTCCCCGTGCTTTCCCATGCGCTCTGGAGCTTCGTCGTCTCCCCCACCCCCCACATGTTCCCAGACTCTCCAGGGGACCGACGACTCTCTGCGCCGGTGCGTGCGTGTGTTTTTCCCTCCCGAGACATGGTCGAGGAGATGATCAGCTTGAGGGTCTCCTGCAGCCTGCCCTGCAGCTTCAGCAGGCCCTCCCGCAGCTCGGTGCTCAGCTCCTGCGATTGCGGGGGCTCGCGGAGGAGTAGTACTTTTGTCTTAGCTCCCAAGCGAGTGGACGTCACCCAGGAGGAGGAGGAGGAGGAGGACGAGGAGGAGGAGGAGGAGGCTCGCGGGCGGGGCGGCGCGCCGCGAGGATGGGCCGGCCGCTGGACGGAGAGCCAGGGGCGGCGGCGCGCCCAGGGGGGGAGCCGGCGCCACGCGGTGCGGTGGCCTTGGCAGCCAGAGGACGCGGGGGCATCACCCGTCGGCGACGAGCGACTCGCCATCGCTCGGACGTCCATTCCCTGTGTTTTTTTTTGGTTTCGTGCGTGGTTTTTTCGCCAAATGATCAAGGATGCTCCTCGATGGCCCTCGCCGAAAGAAAAGTGCACACGTCCGAGCGATGCCAAGGCGAGGGGGGGGGGCAGGAGAGGGAGGAGGCCTTCGCAGAGGGCGGCTGGACTTCTGAGAGAAGCCCCCGGCACCTGCTGCGAAGCGTGCTGCGTCTTCGGGGAAGGAAGGCCTCGGGAACCTTTCAGAAGGCCGGAGTTCTGAGCCTTCTGAGAAGGCCCGCCCCCGCTCACTTCTGCCCTGGGCTCGCCGCCGAAAGAGGACGGGGGGCCCAACTGGGCGACGAGCAGCAACGGGTCTCACAAGAGATGGCGTCGCGACTTTCTGCGGTGGCCTACGCAGGCCGCCAGCCTACGCAGGCCGCCAGCGCGGGACGCTGCACTGGAGACGAGTGTGCTCACGCGCAGCCTTGCGCATGCGCGCCAATGTCGGCAAAGACGACCCTGCTTTCTCCGTTCGCTCATCTGTCGCCCATCTCCGGCAGCCATCCTGGCCCTGACATGCTCGCGCCGCGACAAACCCGACGGACATCTTCTGTCTGATGTCGGCCTCCGGGGGCCCTTGCTGGGCCCCAAGGCCGTCAGAACATACGGCTCAGGACAGAAGCTGGTCTCCGAGACGGGCTCCAGACAGCAACGCTGTGACAAAACGCACGGCGCCAGATCTCTTGGGATGAGGGAGACATGAAGGACGTCAACCGCTCTCATTTCGGGGAGACGTAAGACTCGGGTACGGGGGACTCGGGTTGGCCTAACGGGGGCCATGATACAAATGACGAGACCCAATCTGACAATCGACGCGGGCTTCCGCTGCAAACATTCCACGAAAACGGGACCGTCAAAATCCAGGACGCGCTCGTCAACAAAAAAAGCCGGCAAACACGAGTTCTGGCCTACTCGAGTCTTACGGCTCCCCGATCATTGGGCCCAGATATCCGCCAGGATAAAAGCACGAGTATACAAAAAAGGGAACGGGGGGGACCACTGCGCGCCTCACGCACGTCGCAGCACGTCGCACCTTGTTCCACACTCCGTCTGTGCATTCGTCGCAAGACTCGAAGCCGACCCTTCGTGCACAAGGAAGTGCGCGACAGATCCTGACGTGACGGACACTAGACTGCTGGATACTGTCATGTCGCAGAGCGGTATGATTGAACACGAGCTTCTCCGCTGGCGCAACCTCGACCGAAGGCGTGCCCGAACAAAACGAATCTGACCCATTGTGCTTGATGTCCTTTGAGCGGTTATGGTCGGCCATACGTAATCACACATGGAAACGATAAATCATCCTTCTATACCTCAATTGGTTTGCCCAGGAGATGGCAGTATATTTGTCGCACGCCCAGCTTTGAAGAATGTACTGCGCTTGCGACATAGGACAAATCGTCTGACAACACGCGTTGCGAAGGCATTGACTGAGCTTGCCTAATCCCACCAGCCCTTGTCGCAAACCCTCTTCTCGTCGGGGAGGGTACCCGCCCTCTCCCATCCCTGATCTGTGTAGGCGGGTTCGAGAGGTGTCTGGACGCCAATGATGGCCCAATATGCCTTCAAGAGGGCCTCCGATGCTCAAAAATCGTTTCCGAGATATATTAAAATAGCCGAAGATGGCTCAAGATCGCTTCTAACATGCCATCAAAAGGCCCCAGGAGGGCCACAAGACGGCCCCAAGTGCTCTCGGAGCCCCCCTGGACCCCCCCCAAGAGGCCCGGATCAAGCAAAAACCAAAGATCGCCGCCAGAGGCGATTTTGGCGGCCTCAGGGGGGAGGGAAATCGAGAACCCCCCCCCTCCTTTGATCGACACACTACCTCAAGAAGGCCCCAAGTGAGCCCAAAAAGGGGCGCAAGGGGGCCCCAAGACAGCCCCAAGAGCGCCCAAGGGTGCCCCAAAAGCGTCCCACAAGGGGAACTTTCGAGCTGAGGCACGGCGGGCGCCGGCACGGCACGGCACGTGCACCGCACACGCACGGCACGGCACGGCACATTCTCCGCACTCTGGAACTCAAGCACGGCACGCGCACGGCACGGCACGCGGGCACGGCACGTCACGGCATTCCCAGATGCATTCCTCCCGCATAGAAATACAGGCGGGACCCCGATATCGCAATCGCAGTCGCTGTTGAGGGGGAAGCCATCACCAATAACCTTGCGCCGCCTCCGCAAGACCCATGGATGACGTCAGCCTCCATCCCTCCTCCCTCCGCCCCTCCGTGCACAGCACTTTCTTGGCGCGGTCTCTTACTTAACCACTTTCCGAAGCTCGTGGCCGTCGCCATTCCGACGTTCTCGTGTGCCCGGGGCGGCCTCGGGCTCTGTTGCTGCCGAGCAGGAACACTTCACGAGAGGCGCTCGTGCTCGATGCGCCTTGCCCCTTCTTTGAGCTCGTGATCAATTCATCGGCACACAGACTGCTGTAACGCCGTGCGCCCCCCTCCCTCCCTTCGGGGGCGCGCAAACATTGATTAGCGATCCATGGATTTGGCGCGCGGTCGCCAAATCGATGGATCGGGGGAGGTGCACTCCCCAAAGTGCGACTGATGCCGCCTCGCTCGGCGGCGGAAATCCGCGATTTCCCCTGGAAACGGGACCCATCGCTAATCCACGCACCCTGGATCCATGTTTGCGATCGCCTGATCCCTCCCCTCCCTAACCTGACACGCCAGAATGCACGCATCAAAGAACCACAACAAAAACTGCTGGAGGTCCGCGCAGGTAGAGCCCCCCCCCTCCAGCACTGTGCGCGGAGCGCACTGGGGGAGCTGCCGGAGGCGCCGCCCAGGGGCGCGGGGGGAGGAGAAGCCCGTCGACGACCCAGGGAATCTGCGCAGGCCTCCGCCAAACGCTGTTTGCTACTTCGCCCATTCGCTCTCCCCTCCCTCCCCCCCTGTACGTCGGGAACCCTGGCGGCGCCTCCAGCGCAGCCGCTGGCGCGCTCCGCGCGCCAGTGAGGGGGGGTCCAGCATCGATTCAAGAGATCCGCGCGGACCTCCGAGTCCTCAAGTTCACGCCGTCGTTTGCTCCCCGATACACCCCCCGCACACCCCATCCGATGACCTCGATGCCTCAGCCTTGAGGTGGGGCCCCGTGCAGCGCCCGGAACATCTCCATGTCCCCATGTTGGGCATCGCCTCATCACGACGGCGATCCTAGGGGATTCCCCGCAGTTTCTGAGGGTGTCTCCCTAAAATTGTCATCGCCTTTGGGCGTGCCAATGGCAGGGAGGAGGATCAGTTCGAGGCAGGCGAAGAGGGGGGGGGGCCCTCCTTGGCCGCGGCGACCGTCGAAGAGCTGCCCTCGAGCGCCTGCCGATTCGTGACGATGAGCTCCGTGCAGGCCTGGCGCGGCGCTCGTCGTCCATCAAAGGCGCCTCTCTCGGCCCCACGGGTGCCCGCTGTAGGAGACCGATTTCTGACCACACCCACTTCCCGAGGTGCCTTGCGAGAAGCGGTTTCCAGAGGTGGAGGTGGGCGGTTCCCCCGCCCCAGGGGAAGGAAAACTACCCACTTCCACCCCCGAGGGCCTATCACAGAATCGAGGATCCAGAGGTGGATGTGGTCAGAAATCGGTCTTCGACACTGGCCATCGCGCAGACGGTGACAAACTCGGCAGAAGGAAGCTCAGGCTTCGCGTGCAGGAGAGGTGCCCGTGCTCCGTCGCAAAAAAAAACGCCGTGGCAACACGGGCGCCCACGGTCAGGCTGGGCCTGGGCGCTCTTCAGAACGAGCCCCCCTGTCTCATCACGCGAGCAGTGGACACGGACTCAAAGACATCGCCCCGGCCACCCCCTCTCTCTCTGGCACACCTACGTGTTAGCATGTGCATATGCATCTGTATCCAAATGCACTGTTATATCCGCCACCGTGCCGCGAGGCACAGAGTGGAGTCCTCAGGTCAAGGAGGGCTGTCTGCATTGAGTCTTGCAGGTGCTCTTATCAAGGGCCCATAAACCCCGAGTGCTGAGCGCAGCTGGGGATTGTCGCGTGCCTCGTGGTGGAGAGAATCGGGCTCCACATCGAACCGCATCGCACACACGATGCGGCGCGATCCAACGACACTAATAGACTCCTGCGACATCTCCCCAAAATGCCCAGAACTCTGAGGAGAACCCAGCCGTGAGGACGAGTGCTCTGCTGCACGAACGGCGATAATTGTATGTCGGGGAGACGTAAGACTCGGGTCCGGAAGACTCGGGTTGTCTAGACGAGGCCATCAGGAAAATGACGAGACCCTGTCTAAAATGTGGCGCAGGCTCCCGCTGAGTATACAGTCAACTCGTATAATAAGGACGCACGATAAGGATGCAAGGGCCTTGGAATGACATGTCGACACTTGATCTGTGAGCGCGGCGCAACCAGCGAAAGCGATCAAGGATTGGCCGAAGGAGAAGGATGCAAGGGGAACATTGGAAAGCTGCTCCTCCTCACTATGCATGCGGATCGACTGTACGTCCTCCCCCGAGCTCTATCCGTCCGAGTAGACTTCCTCCCGTTCCCGAATCTCACGTTTCCCCGGGCACACTTCCTCCCCTGAGCTCCCTCAGCCCAACCTGGGCGGCCGGGAGCCTTGGGCCCCCGGCAAGCCGACGCCCCCGACAGCCTTCCAAGGGGCCCACGGCCACCCCCCGCCGCCCCCCCCCCCCACCCGGCAGGCCGACCCCCGCGGCCGCCGCCCGCGGCAGAGCGGCCTCGCCCCTCCCCGCCGCGCGGCCGTCTTCGTGCGGAGCTGGAGGCCTCCCGGATGGCATCGCAGCAGGCGGGGTCGACGGATCGCGCCGCATCGCCGATGCATCGGCGACGCATCGGCGATGCAGTGGCGATGCACTGGCGACAACGGCGCCGTCGGCGTGGAGAAAGTCGGGATCCACATCGAGCCGCATCGCCGATGCATCGGCGATGCGGCGCGATCCTCCGACCCCATCTACTGCGACCCCATCCAGGAGGTCTAGAGGAGCGGGAGGGCAGGATGATCGAAGATCGGGGGTCGAGTTTGGGGGCGCGCTTGGCTCTGCCCGGGGCCTCCCGGAGGCCGACACGAGGCCACCCAGCGACGACGACGAGGAATGGAGGAGGGTGGGCACGAGGACGGGGGGGAGCGAGGTGGGCACGAGGAAGGGGGGGAGCGAGCGCGCGAGCGAGCCACCAATGCGGCGCACAATCTGGGCCCATCCAAGGCCAGCAGGCGGGCGAGGCCGTGGCCTCTAGAACTGGTGCAGCGTGAGTGTACAACATGCACGTGTGCGCCGAGGAAGTCACAACGCGCTTGACATAAAGTATGGGCCCGACCACAAGAAACCTCCCACGAGAAACCCAACCCTGAGACCCCAGGGACGTCCATTGATCTTTGGTGTGGGAACGCCGCGCTCTCTCCCTAGCAGAACCATCGAAACCCAAGAAACCCAGGGCACCCTGGAGGCTTCTTGGCATGGGCCTCCACTGTATGGAAGAGGGCCACGGTGACCCAGGAGGGAAAAAACATACACACAGACACACAGACACAATGGATCCTCGATCCCCAGGAAGATCTGCGAAACTATCAGATGTGGCGGGGGGGAAGACGAAACAAAAACCCCTAAATATTATATATAAAAAAAAAAGTTTAAATCGGGCCTGTCCCCCTACGTACAGGGGGATTTTCGACGGAAGAAAAATACACCTAAAATAATGAAAAAATGCTCCAACATTAGTCTGGGGACTACTTTTAAGGTATTGTTCGACCTCCTTGGGGTATTTTTGGGGCATTCGCTATTTTTCGTCGAAAATCCCTCTGTAGGGGGGCCACGCCCGACAGAAAAATAGGTGGGGAATCCTGGGATCCGTGCGCATCCCTTCCGGCGACTCCGCACGAGGCCCGCCGCCGGACGCCGCGCCGCCGCGCCAGCCGTGGAAGCCCCGCCCCCCGGCCCCGCCCGCCTTGCACGCCGCCTTGGCGCTCGCGCCCGCCGCCGCGACCGTCCTCGCGGTGTCCTTCGCCTCCTCGGGGGAGGAGGAGGATGAGGAGGAGGAGGAGGAGGAGGAGGAGGAGGAGGGGGAGGGGGAGGGGGAGGGGAGCAGGAGGAGGAGGAGGAGGAGGAGGAGGAGGAGGAGGAGGAGGAGGAGGAGGAGGAGGAGGAGGAGGAGGAGGACGGGGGGGGCGCGGGGACGCCCCAGGCCGCGGGGGGCAGGGCGCGCCTGCCTGTGGGGGGGGGGGCGCCCAGGGGCCTCCTGCGCGGCGAGGCCAGGAAGAGGCGGGCTGGGGCCCGAGCGCCCTGCGGAGCGGCAGTCTCTCTCTCTCTCTTTCTATCGCGCTCCCGCGGCACCTCTCGGGTCCTCTCTCCTCTGCTCTCGCCCCCCTCCTCCATCGGCCCCTCCCTCCCTCTGCATCTGTCCTTACGTCCCGCCGTCTCCCTCTGCATCTCTCCATGACTCTCTCGCTCTCTCTCTCTCTCTCTTTCTCTCTCTCCCTCTCTCTGTCTCTCTCCGCGCACTATTAACGTCACGCGATGTCCATGCGCAGCGCTGGCTCGCGCAAATACCATGCTCGCCCAGAAGTAATGGGTGGCCGATCCGAGGGAGGCGTATGGACCGTGCCGCTTCCAGACAGCGGACTGCTAGGGACGAGCCCGACGAGCGAGGTGGTCCTCTTCGTGCACAGGAGCTAAATCCTTCGACAGCGGGTGGCTGTACGTTCGTGAACAGAGATCTCGAGATTTTGGGGTAGGACATCGACACCGGTGGTGGTCGAGAGTACCCCGGGACAGCTGGAGGCCGAGCACATCACCTGCCACAAACGTGCCGATGATCAACGCTGCTTGCTCAGCTGGGTTCGAACTTTCGTGGAAGACCTCACGCGAATGGCGAAGCCCTACTGGCGGACAGCCGCAGTGCACCTCTGGCGCACAACAACAAAGAGAGAGAGAGAGAGAAGGACAACGACAATGAGACAGGGAGATAGGGAAGGTGGTGATCGGCATCGTCGCGGACCTTTGTGCGGCTCGAAGCGTCGGGTGGCGTCCTTGAGGCAACTCGATGAACCGAGGGGTGTTCCCCTTCTGCGTCATCGTCGCTCACTTTGCGGCTAGGATCGCCAGGGGGGGGGGCCCTCAGGTGGGCGTCGTCGTCGCTCCAAGGTGCGGCTCGAAGCGCCGGGGGGCGGCCTAAAGGCATTGGCTGAGCCAGGAGAAGGGTGGTCGTCCCTCTATCTCTCTCTCTCTCTCTTATGCGGGGGGGGGGGCCTGGAATTCTTCTGGGGGTCGGCGGACTTGCGCAAGTCTTTTGAAATCGTGCGATACCTATATATATATATGTACATATGTATGAATAATTACATGTGGACACACGAATCTAATATCCAGAAAGATGCAACATACAACAACACATAACCTCACGAAGCAATCCGGAATCTGGAAACTCCCTGTGTTATCGTCAGCACCCCGACTAAATTAAATATTCAACGGGGGCGGATTCAGCGGAGCGATACCTTAAGCACAGCACCAAACCGCAACAATTAAAAAAATATTACATTACCCTTCGACCGCAAATACTCCTCCTTGTCCTTCCTTCGGCCGTCAGTATCGATCCTCCCTTCGACCGCAAGTTATGGGGTCCTCATTCCTTCCTCCTCGTCACCCTTTTCCTCCATGTCTCTTTCCTCCTCACCATCCCTCCTTCCGCATCCTTTTCGTTTTCTCCTCGCCGTCCCTGTCCTGTAGGATTCCGACTACAAGCCCCAATGGACCATATATTTCTGCCGGGCGTCCGTCCACGGGGGGGCCCCACCCAGGGTATCGCCCCGCCCTGCACGGAGCATTCTCATCTCGCTTTCTCCACGCGACTGAGCGGCAGAAGCACTAAGTGGTAATAGTAGTAGTAGTAGTAGTAGTAGTAGTAGTAGTAGTAGTAGTAGTAGTAGTAGTAATGATGATAATGCTAGTAGTAGTAATAGTACTAGTACGAGTGGTTGTGGTAGTAGTAGTATTAGTATTAGTATTAGTAGTAGTAGTAGTAGCAGTAGTCGTAGTAGTAGTGGTAGTAGTAGTAGTAGTAGGAGTAGGAGTAGTAGTAGTAGTAGTAGTAGTAGTAGTAGTAGTATAGTAGTAGTAGTAGTAGTAGTAGTAGTAGTAGTAGTAGTAGTAGTAGTAGTAGTAGTAGTAGTAGTAGTAGTCGTAGTAGTCGTAGTAGTAGTAGTAGTAGTAGTAGTAGTAGTAATAGTAGTAGTAGTAGTAATAGTAGTAGTAGTAAGTAAGTAAAAGAAGAAGTAGTAGTAGTAGTAGTAGTACTAGTAGTAGTAGTAGTAGTCATAGTTGTAGTAGTAGTTAGAATAATAGTAGTACTAGTCTTTGCCGTAGTAGTAGTAGTAGTAGTATCAGTAGTAGTAGTAGTAGTAGTAGTAGTAGTAGTAGTAGTAGTGGTCGTAGTAGATGTAGTGGTCGCAATAGTAGTAGTAGTAGTAGTAGTAGTAGTAGTAGTAGTAGTAGTAGTAGTAGTAGTAGTAGTAGTAGTAGTAGTAGTAGTAGTAGTAGTAGTAGAAGTAGCCGTCGTAGTAGAAGCGGTAGTGGTAGTAGTAGTAGCCGTCGCCGTAAAGAGTAGTAGTATTCGTAGTAGTAGTATTCGCAGTAGTAGTGGTAGTGATTGGTGCAAACGTAGTAGTAGTCGTAGTAGTAGTCGTAATGATTGGTGCAGGCGTAGTAGTAGTAGTCGTAGTAGTAGTGGTTGTGATAGTAGTAGTAGTGGTAGTAGTAGTAGTAGTGGTAGTAGTAGTAGTAGTAGTGGTGGTGGTGGTGGTGATAGGTGTAGGAAGTACTAGTGGCAGTAGAAGTAATAGTACGAGTAGTAGTAGTAGCAGTAGTAGTAGTCGTAGTAGTAATAGTAGTAGTGGTAGTGGTAGTGGTAGTAGTAGTAGTAGTAACATAGCCGTAGTAGCCGCATTAGTTGTAGTAGTCGTAGCAGTTGGTAACAGAAGTCGAAGTGGCAGTACTAGCTTCAGAAAAAGAAATAGTAGTGACAGCAGCCGTCGTAGCTAAAATCACCGTAGTCGTCGTCGAAGTAGTCGCACATATAGTGGTAGTGGCAGCCGTGGTGGTAGTACGCGCGTAGTGGTCGTAGTAGTAGAAATCGTAGTACTGGCAGCAGTAGTAGTAGCAGCAGTAGTCGTAGTAGGAGTAGTCTTAGTTGTAGTCGTAGTCGTAGCGGCGGTAGTACTAACAACCATATGCGTAGTAGTAGTAGTAGTAGTAGTAAAACTAGTACTAATAGTAATAATAGTAGTCGTACAAGTGGTAGTAGTAATAGCCGTAGCCGTAGTAGTATCAGTAGTGGTAGAAGTATTAGTAGCACTGGTAGTGGTAGGAGTAGTAGTAGAAGTAGTAGTACGCATAGTATTAATAGCAGGCGTCGCAGCGGCAGTCGTCGTCGCAGTCGAAATGGAGGTCGTCGTAGTACGCCTCGTAGTAGTAATAATAGTAGTAGTAGTAGTCGAAGTAATGGTAAGAGTGATAGATGCAGCAGTAGTAGTAGTAGCAATAATCGTATGCGTAGTAGACGTCGTCGTAATAGTCGCCGTAGTCGTAGCGGTAGTCGTAGATGCGGTGCTAGTAGTCGTCGTAAGAGTAGTAAGTAGTTGAAATAGTAGTACTAGTAGTCGCAGTAGTAGTAGGAGTGGCAGCAGCAGCAATCGTAGTTATAGTAGCGATAGTAGTAGTAGTAGTAGTAGTAGTAGTAGTAGTAGTAATAGTAGTAGAGGTAGAGGTGTTAGTAGTAGTAGTAGTAGTAGTAGTACAAGTAGTAGTACAAGTAGTAGTAGTAGTAGTAGTAGTAGTAGTAGTAGTAGTAGTAGTAGTAGTAGTAATGGTAGTAGTAGTAGTAGTAGTAGTAGTAGTATTAGTAGTAGTAGTAGGTGTAGTAGTAAGAGTGGTAGTAGCAGAAGTACTAGTAACATTAATCGCACCTGTCGAATCCTTAGTCGTAGTAATAGTCGTCAAAAATGGCAGTAATCCTAATAATAGTCGTCGTCGTAGTAGTAGTGATAGTCGTAGTAGTACTACTACCCGTCGTCGCCGTAGTAGTAGACTGTGGTAGAAGCAGTAGCCGTAGTAGTAGTGGAAATGGTGGTAGTAGTAGCAGTAGCGGTAGTAGCCCGTAAGAATAATATTAATAATGCTGGCGAGCTTAGTGTGGCGCTACGCAGATCAGAGCGGGACCTCGCCATCCCTGGGGGGCTGGGTACTACGAAACTGTGGCCACTTTCAAAAATTGCTATGCCGGGGTGTCAGGTTAACGCTCCCGGGTGCTCGATGCGGTATACATATAGGATGAGAGAGGAGGGGAGGGAGAGGGGGAGGGGGAGGGAGATACGAAGAGAGAAAGTGAGAGCGAGAGAAAGAAAAATGAAAATGGCAAACATAAGCGTCCATCGGCAACCGAATCGAAGCGCACCACAAAGCCAGGACACCCTGCCGCGAGGCACGGTGAGCGCGGTCCTCCGCCCCGAGCACGGCGCCCTCGGCGGCCGCGGGGGACGCCGCATCCTTGAGCTTCGTGCCGTCCTCCTCGGCCTGGCGTGTGCGCGTACGCGCTGGAGCGGTCGCCCTCTCGGCAACATGGGGAGAAGGGGAATCAGGCCTCCGCGGAGGAGACGAAAACGGGGACCATGACCAAGACTGAGCGCCGAAGCGTCGTGTCGATCTTGGTCACCGTCGATCTTGGTCAGCGTCATTCCGCGGATCATCCTCGCGAGGCGGCGACGGTCGGCATGGATCATGACCAAGATCGGCATCTACAGGATTCTCCCTAGACATCGTGGTCGTGCGCCCCGTGTTTTTCCCTCGACTCTATGCGTGAAAGCCGCCTGCTTTCCGACTGACGGGGTGGAACTCCTCCCTGCTGCAGCCGGCCAGGCAGGAAAAACCAGGAGGAGGAGGAGGACGACGACGGCGAGGAGGCTGCGCCTGCCGGCCGGCGGTTGGCGGTCGGGGACCAAGCGCGCGGTGCCGGTCTCGACCTCCTCGTCAGCGTCGGGAAGCGCGAGCAGCGGCTAATCGGCCGCTCGCCGCGACCCCCGCCCTAGGGCGCGAATCAATGGGGAGGCGGTAGTCGGGGGGGAAGAAGGGTGACTTACTCGGGGCAGAAGGCCCACCCTTCTGGCCCCGGAAGGGCCCTTTCTGGGGCCCCTCAAGGACCCCTTTTCGGCAGCCCAAGGCTGCCCCCCCCATCTATCGGTAGGTCGGGCGTGTCCTCCTACAGGCAAGCGTTGGGCGAAAAATAAGCAACTGTTTAAAAATACACCAATACACCAATCCCCTGACTATTTTGTTTGACTGTTCTTGGATATCCCTCCTGGGGAGGGACATGCCCGACTTGAAACTATCGCCCCCCATTGCCTTGGTTCGCCTTGTAAGCGCCCTGGGCTTTTTTGTTTTTTGCGTTTTCTAGTTTGAGCTCGTGACAGGCTGAAAACAACAACAACAGCAACAACAGCAACAGCAACAGCAACAGCAACAGCAACAGCAACAACAGCAGCAGCAACAACAACAACATGCATTTTAAGACTGTTCTCCCTGATACGCTCAGGTGTCATTCAACATGCATATCCCAAACCCTGGATACCCGCCCTTTTCGTCTTCGATCGTACCCCCGTTTGGGGGATCTACTCATTCCCTGCCACGTGTGGACGAAGAGATCGGAGGAAGGGAGGGCCACGAAGGGCAGCGAGAGAGCCACGAAAGGCGACAGCGGGGCTACGAAGGGCATGCATCTGGGGCCACGACGGGCGACTGCGAGCGGGGGCCACGAAGGGCATACAATGCGGGGCCACAATGGGCAGCGACGGGGCCACTGAGGGCAGCAACGGAGCCACGAAGGGCAGCGAGCGAAGGCGACCGCGGAACCTGTTCGGGCAGCGAAGGGCATCGAAGGCGGGCGAAGGGCAGCGGGCAGTCCCGAACGGGTTGGTCGGGCGGGCAGGCCCAGACGGGCGGGTCGAGTGGGGGGGTCGCTGAAGCGTAAATTCTGCTTGAACCGCCAGGCAATCTGTAGCGGGAGCGCGATTCCTGGGTGTCGAAAAGGGGCATCTGAATAAATTGTGAGGGAATATCAGGCGGGAGCCGCGATTCGGTGATAAGTTGCGAAGAAGTCCCAAGCGAGAACGCGATTCAATAAATTGTGAAGAAGTATCAAGCGGGAACCGCGATCCGGTGATTAATTGCAAAGAAGTCCGAAGCGAGAGCGTGATTCTTTATTGTGAAGAGGTATCGAACGGGAACCGCGATCCGGTGGTAAATGGTAAGGAAATCCCAAGCGTGATTCTTTGATAATTTGTGAAGAACTAGCAAGCGAGAGCCGTTGTTGTTGTAAACCAGGGGCCCTCCTCGTCTTCGATCGACGCCCTTTTGGCAGGTATACCTTTCTTCCCTGCAGGCCTGGCCCCGGCAAGCGGCGGGGCGGCCGCGGACCGTCGGCCTGGCCAGCGGCAACGCTGATTGGCAGGCGGCCGCGGACCGTCGACCCGACCCCAAGAGGGACGGACAGGGGACCGACCACGACGACGACGACAACGACGACGACGACGACGACGACGACGACGACGACGTCGAAGACGACGGCGACGACGACGACGACGGCGACGACGAGCGAAAGCGAGAGCGAGAGAGAATGACAGCAGGGCCACGAAGGGCACGGAGTAGGCCACGAAGGGCGACAGCGGGGACACGATGGGAATGCGTATGGGGCCACGAAGAGCGCGAACGAGCGGGTGCCACGAAGTGCAGATAATGCGGGCCACAAAAGGCAACTATGGGACCACTGAGGGTAGCAACTGGGCCACGTAGGACAGTGAGGGGGACACAAATGGCGACAGCGGGGCCAATAAGGGCATGCACATGCGGCCACAACGGGCGCGACTCCTGAGTGCCTGGGTGTCGGGAGCGCGGCGCTTGGGCAAATTGCAAGAAATTCCAACGCAAGGCCATTCTCCAGTAATTTGCAAGCAAGTCTCCAGCGAGAGCGCGACTCCAGAGCGCCGGGAGAGCGATTCTTGAATAAATTGTAAGGAAGTCCCAAGCGAGAGTGCGATTCCTGAATAAAATGCGAGGAAGTTTCGGGCGGGAGCGGGGGTCGTGGCTAAATTGTAAGGAAGTCTCAGGCGGGAGCCGTTGTTGTTGTAACCCGGGGGCCAGGGGCCCAGTTTGAGCAGGAAGACTTTCCCTGTCAAAAAGACAGGGTGCGAGCGTCGAGGGGCATACTGTGATTGAGAAAAAAAACACAGTATGCACCGGTGAGGGGAGATCGACAATAAACATTCTTCAGGAATGAAAATTCAACAACAACAACAACAACAACAACAGCAAAGACAACCACAACCATTACAACAACACAACACAACAACGAAAACAACAACAAAAACAACAGCAGCAGCAGCAGCAGCAACAACAACAACAACCATTACTAGCACGTGGGGACACACCGTTCTCACCAGTGCCAGGGTTTTCATAGGAGGCGGGCAATACCCCCACTTTGTGGGGGGGCCGGTTCAAGCTCTACACAACAACGAAAACAACAACAAAAACAACAACAACAACAACAACAACAACAACAACAACAACAACAACAACAACAACAACAACAACAACAACAACACACACACACAAAAAAAAAAACTACGTGTTTGTTGGCGTGTTTAGGGTCGTTGTGTTGGCGTTATGTTTGTGTTGCTTTGGCGCTGCCAGGCTGTAAACGCGAAACAAATGGTTGGACACCCCCCTACCAAAGAGAATAATGACACAACAACAACAACGACAACAACAACAACACCCACAACAACATAAACATAAACATAAACATAAACAACAACAACAACAACAACAACAACAACAACAACAACAACAACAACAACAACAACAAAACGCCCTGGGCATGTTTGAGGCGAACCACGCCCACTGCGCGGCCTCCATCGCTGTCCCCCGTGCGTGTGCACTCTGGCAGCGGAAAGGGGCAGCGGGGCGCCGCAGAGGCCGCAGGCCCTCCCTCTGCCGAGGGCCGGGCAGGGGTCGAGGGGTGGGTGAAAGGGCCCTGGGACACACACACACACACATAAATACACACAAGTAACAGGATTCCCCAGATTTCCATATATTTTCTGGGCTTTTGTCTTCCGCCCCCACTTCCCATATTTCCCCATCTTTTCCTGGAAATCGACGATTAGTTGTGTCTGTGTGTTCTTTCCCCTCCTGAGTAGGGCCCTCCCTCGGGGCCGCAGGGCCAGCGGAGGCAGTGGCCAGTCGGGGGCGCGCAAGCACGGATTGGCTTCAGGTCGGGCCTGTCCACCTGCAGGCGGATTCTGGACAAAAAAAATGGAAATGCGATATCTTGACTATTCTGGCATCGTCCCCCTGTAGAGGCACAGGCCCGACTCAAGATTAGCGATCCATGGATTTGGCGCGCGGTCGCCAAATCCATGGATCGGGGGAGGTGCCCTCCCCAAAGTGCGGCCGGTGCCGCCCCGCTCGGCGGCGGAAATCCCTGATTTCCCCTTTGAGACGGGGCCCGTCGCCAATCCACGCCCCCTTGATCCATGTTTGCGATCGCCTGATTCCAGGGGGGCCGTGCACGGACAGCCTAGAGCCCTATAGGAGGCAACTCCTGGAAGGTCTAAGACGAAGCCAGGACGAGAACAGATCCAGGAGAGGATAAATCGAGAATCTCTGAGATCCGGCGGCTCTGGAGAATGTCTCGGGCGCCGCAGCCTTTTCAGAGCGATCCGGAACGCTCTGAGAGCGCTCTGGAACGCTCTGGAACGGATTTACCCTCGTCCCAGCCCTGTCCGACTGTCTTCGTCGGAACGAATCAAAACTATGCAGCCAGATTGAGGCGCCATTTAGCTGGATTGAGCCCAAGATTGAGCCGGATGCAAACGAATTCAGCGGGATAAAGCGGAATCAGGCAGGAGCACCCCGGATTTTGGAAAAGTTTTCGATGATCGGCCACGGATGTACCAACGCAGATGCTGACTTCATTATTCTAGACGACCTGACCTGCTCAAATTTCTGGGATGCGTTCTGCACGAGGCGACGCTCGACACATCGGTAACACTATCAAAATTCCGTGACGGCCTCGATCACCGCAATCGTCTACGTATGTGGCCTTACAGCCAAAATCTGGATCGACCGCTCTGGGGCCCTTCAAGTTCTCTCAGGAGCTCGTCGATTCAAATCATCGTCCTCAGCATCTGGATTCATAGACAAGTTAGCCGACCTCTCCCTCATCCGCATCACCATTCTCTCTGGAGCTCCTCTCCTATCCCACTCACTCTCCCACTCCCCCTCCCATTTGCTCCATCTGTCACGGAAGAAACGAGAGGCGGTGCGACCCAGCCTTCTGCACCATCTCCGACAGCTGGGTCTGCAGCTGCCGTGCTTTCTCCTCCTGCTCCTTGGAGCCAGAAGCGCGGCCCCAGAAGGGGGAGTGGGATGGAGCACGGAGGAGGCGAGGAAGGAGACGGAAGAAAGGGAGATGCGCGGAGGGAGGGGGGGAGAGAGGGGGGGGGGAATGATTGGCCAACAGACACAATGAAAGAGGAGGAGGGAAGGGAAGGGGAAGAAGGCAGAGGGGGAAGATGGAGGGTGTAGGACAGGGAGGGAACAGGCAGCCTGCAGGAAGGAAGAGGAAGCAGGGAGGGAAGATTGAGCAGGTATGAGGGGGGAGGGGGAGACAGCACATGACAAATCGGATGAGGACAAGCGGATTACGAGTCGGAGAAGTAGGACAGGATGGGTCTTTGTCAGAACAAATAAGGGCATCCAACCCAACTGAACGGCCACTGAGCCGGATTAGGCTGAATCAATGTCAGATCTAAGCCAGATCAAGCTGGATTGAATGGAATTTAAGTGGGGCTATGCCCAATAGGCCCGATTTTCAACAAAGAAATACTAGAGCCGATGCTAAATCCAACCTCCCAAGAATCGGATCCGAAATGTGAGGGAGGACGGGAAAAGGATTACGAGTCGGAATGGTAAAAGGGGGTGAGGAGGGGGCGGTAGGAGGGTATAAGGAAGAGGGATGAACTCAAGAACATCATGGGGATCAGATGGATCCTGGCGCGGGCGGTGTTTTGAAGGCAACAATGCGCACACTGCATCCCAACTATATCTACAGCGGCAAAAAAAACAATCGGGAAGGGCGGGGGAAAGAGAGACAGAGAGAGAGAGAGAGAGCGCGACACTATAATTACTAAACACGGAAACAGAAAGGAGTATACGCATAGAAAGAGGTAGGAGGAGAATATATATATATATATAGAGAGAGAGAGGGAGAGAGAGAAAGGGAGAGGGAGAGGGGGGGAACGAGGGCACGAGAGAGGGAGATATATAAGGAGAAACGGGAGGGAGGGCGAGAGGGCGAGAATGAGAGAGGGAAATCTATACATATATATATATATATATATATATATACATATGTATATATAAGGGAGAAGAGGGAGAAAGAGAGAGAGAGAGAGAGAAACAACAAAAATGAAGGGGAAGATCGAGGGAGACGTTGCTACTCTCTCTCTCATTCTCTCAGTCTCTCTCTCTATATATATCCATCCATATGTAGCCAATGCAGGGAATGTCTGTATATCTAGACAGGACGGGCCGGAGAGACAATCGCATTGAGGCGATCCCACAAACTGGGAAGCAGAATCTCGACACCCGCCCTCCCCTTACAACATCAATGAATTTATGCTTTGGGCAGCCCCCAAAGGTGGCCGCGACGAGTGTGCCGACCTCGCGCCTCCAAGGGTCTCTGGAGGTCGCCGGAGGTCTCCCGAGGTCCCAAAAAATATAGGGGGGAGGTCTACATACATGCATACCTGCGTACAGACATGCATTCATACATGCATGCATAAAGCATGCATGCATGCATGCATACATACATGCAGCCATACGTTCATAAATGCATATGTACATACTAATACGACCTGCATACAAACATTTACACTTACATTTGTGTGCATATATAGCGATATACAGACATACATGCATGCATGCATGCATACATAAATACATGCACACAACCAAGCATAAGCACACGCATATATATAGGCATACACACATGTCTGCATGCATGCATACACACATACATGCATACATGCATACAAACATGCATACCTACCTATGTACGTGCGCATAGAAGTGCATGTCGGTGTGCATGCATATACATACATACATACATGTGTATATATATATATATGCACACCTGAAGTCATGCATACACGCATGCATGCATGCATACATGCATACGTAAATGCATGAGTATACATACATGCATACATATGCACGTACATACAGCATTCCATGCATGCATGCATACATACATCAAACATAGATGCATACATACGTGCATGCATGCATGCATGCATCCATACACATATATAGATATACACGTCTGCCAACAAACAGGTATACATGCATGCACGCACGCATGCATACATACGTGCATGCACGTACATTATTGCATACATGCATACATACCAACATGCCTGCATGCATAACATGCATAAACGTGCACGTACATGCATACATGCAGGCATAAACGTTCACATATGCATACATGCATACAAACGTGTATGCATACATGCGTACATGTTTATATGTATGCAGACAAGTAAGCACACCTATATGCATGTATGCATACTTACATCCGTGCGTACATGCATACACACATGCATGTGTGCATACATGCGGACACACAACTACATACATACACGCATGCATACATGCATACATGGTCACAGGTATACTGCCGCACGAGCATACGTACATACGCTTGTTCATATACATACGTACTAGAACCACGCGCGCGCTTCGCGCGCGCTTAGATTCTGTCGAGTCACAGACTCAGGAATCGTTGTGAGAAGAAATTGGTGACGCGAAGCGTCGTGGGGGCGTCCTTGGACGTCTGGGGTCTCCTGGCGCCTCTTGAGGGGCCTCCTGGGGGCCTCCTGGCGGCCTCTTGGGGCGGAAAGCTCGAGCTTGCGGTTCGTGGTCCCCCTCTGGGCCCCCTCTTGGGCCCGTCTTGGGGCCCTCTTGGGCCATCTTGGGCGCCTCTTGGGCCGTCTTGGGGCCCTCTTGGGCTGTCCTGGGGCCCTCTTGGAAGCTTCTTGGGCCGTCTTGGGGCGGTCTCTTGGGCCGTCCTGTAACGTCGGAAAGCCCAAAAGACAACTTTGTTGAACATGTACGTTTTACGAAGGGAATGGGCCAATCTTTTGCGTCTAGGGGCCCTCTTGGGACGCATGTTGGAGGCTTCTTGGGGCCTCTTGGGGGCGTCCTTGGACGTCTGGGGTCTCCTGGGGCCTCTTGAGGGGCCTCCTGGGGGCCTCCTGGCGGCCTCTTGGGGCGGAAGGCTCGAGCTTGCGGTTCGTGGTCCCCCTCTGGGCCCCCTCTTGGGCCCGTCTTGGGGCCCTCTTGGGCCATCTTGGGCGCCTCTTGGGCCGTCTTGGGGCCCTCTTGGGCTGTCCTGGGGCCCTCTTGGAAGCTTCTTGGGCCGTCTTGGGGCGGTCTTGGGCGCCTCTTGGGCCGTCCTGTAACGTCGGAAAGCCCAAAAGGCGACTTTGTGAAAAATGTACGTTTTACGAAGGGAATGGGCCAATTTTTGCGTCTAGGGGCCCTCTTGGGACGCATGTTGGAGGCTTCTTGGGGCGTCTTGGGGGCGTCCTTGGACGTCTGGGGTTTCCTGGGGCTTCTTGAGGGGCCTCCTGGGGCCTCCTGGCGGCCTCTTGGGGCGGAAGGCTCGAGCTTGCGGTTCGTGGTCCCCCTCTGGGCCCCCTCTTGGGCCCGTCTTGGGCCATCTTGGGCGCCTCTTGGGCCGTCTTGGGGCCCTCTTGGGCTGTCCTGGGGCCCTCTTGGAAGCTTCTTGGGCCGTCTTGGGGCGGTCTTGGGCGTCTCTTGGGCCGTCCTGTAACGTCGGAAAGCCCAAAAGGCGACTTTGTTGAAAATGTACGTTTTACGAAGGGAATGGGTCAATTTTTGCGTCTAGGGGCCCTCTTGGGACGCATGTTGGAGGCTTCTTGGGGCGTCTTGGGGGCGTCCTTGGACGTCTGGGGTCTCCTGGGGCCTCTTGAGGGGCCTCCTGGGGGCCTCCTGGCGGCCTCTTGGGGCGGAAGGCTCGAGCTTGCGGTTCGTGGTCCCCCTCTGGGCCCCCTCTTGGGCCCGTCTTGGGGCCCTCTTGGGCCATCTTGGGCGCCTCTTGGGCCGTCTTGGGGCCCTCTTGGGCTGTCCTGGGGCCCTCTTGGAAAGCCTCTTGGGCGGTCTTGGGGCGGTCTTGGGCGCCTCTTGGGCCGTCCTGTAACGTCGGAAAGCCCAAAAGGCGACTTTGTTGAAAATGTACGTTTTACAAAGGGAATGGGCCAATTTTTGCGTCTAGGGGCCCTCTTGGGACGCATGTTGGAGGCTTCTTGGGGCCTCTTGGGGGCGTCCTTGGACGTCTGGAGGCCATCTTCAGCATCTCGGAGCCCTCTTGGAGGCCTCTTGGAAGTTTCTTGGGCCGTCTTGGGCGCTCCTGGGGCCGTCTTGTCTGACCGGGGAGGCCTCCGGCAAGCCCCGACGAGCCTCCGGGCCCCCCGGAGCCCACATTTGTGGTCGAGGTCCCGGCCCCGGGCCCCCGGACCCGGTGCGCCGTTATATGTATATATATGCACAGGGTGGCTGTACATATGAGTGCGGGTGGATGTAGATGGTCTTTGCCTACGGATGTTTGTGTACATCCACTGGTCCGACGGTCGGCAAAATCGGGGACCCGCGGCACGTTTCACGCCACGAGAACTCACAACATAAGAGGCATCTGTATTGCGGGGCGGGTGTCATAATCCTGCTCCACACGGACGACGGACATAAAACAAGACAACTCGCGAAGGGACAACTCGGCATCTCTGAGATCCGGCGGGTCTGAAGGATGCGACGGGCGCCGCGGCCATGTCAGAGTGCTCCGAGAGCGTTCTCGAAGGCCTTTGCGCGCAGTGGATGCCTAGAGGCCTCCTAGATGGGGTCGGAGTAGATGGGGTCGGAGGATCGCGCCGCATCGCCGATACATCGGCGATGCATCGGCGATGCATCGGCGATGCACCTGCGATGCATCGTCGACGTCGGCGATGCATCGGCGACGTCGACATGAAGCAAATCGGGCTCCACATCGAGCCGCATCACCGATGCATCGGCGATTCGGCGCGATCCTCCGACCCCATCTACTCCGACCCCATCTAGGAGGCCTAGAATGCCTGCGCCTTACTCTGCACGGAAGAACCGGGTCCTGGAGGGCTCCCGGACCCCGGGGCGCTCCACCAGGCCCAGCTCTCCGCCGCCGAGTCGACCGCTGGACGGCCCCAGGAGCCGGACAGGGCCCCCGTAGCCCGAAAGCCGAGAACAACAGCTCCATAACCCCTTGCGAACCAGCCTCGAACCTATCCCTATCCCTAAGATGGGCGAGCAAAAAGCGAGGACAGTCTTAGGGACAGGCCCTCAGAAACTGAGGGGATCCTCAAGGTCGGCATCGAGGTGAGGTGATGTCAAACACAGGGATGGGGACATGCTTCAAACTGGTGACTTGTCCACCATGGCCCCGTTCCTGGATGCACGGCGACTGGGCGGCACCGACGAGCGCCAGACTGGAGGACTCCCTTCCAGGGGTCCGCGATGAGGTCCTGGGTCGGCGCTGGGTCCCCCTCCCATCGCCAAGGAAGCGTGTGTGAAGGGGCCCTGGGACACACAAATAAATACACACAGATAAAATGATTCCCCACATTCTCCCATATTTTCTGGGTTTTTGTCTTCCCGCCCAATTCCCATATTTTCCCATATTTCCCTAGGGCTCGACGAGTAATTGTGTCTGTGTGTTTCTTTCCCTCCTGAGTGTTCCACAAATCGCCACGGAGGGTTCACGATCACTCACGTCGAGGCAGGCACGCGTGCTGCCCATACGTTTGCGAGTCAACACTTGGAGCAGAGGACCGCGCTCGGCCACTGGCGCGCGGAGCGCGCGCCAGGGTAGTCATGCAGCCTACCGGCGACCAGGCCTGCCCCACGGGCGCCCGAGCGGATCCTTGCGCATGGCCTCCTCCTTGGCCCGCTGCTCCTTGATCTGCTCGCAGCGCTGCTGCGACTGCTGCAGCTGCCCCTCCGCCTCCTGAAGGGGGGCAGGGCGCGGCGCGCCGCCGCGGGAGGAGAGCGCTGGAGGAGGGGAGGGGGGAGGCAGGCTCCGCTTCAACCCGGCCCGCCATCGGTGTCGGCCCGCTGGATCCGCTCCGACTCCGATGCTCCCACGATCCGACACGGCCCGATGCTTGCCCGGCGCTGCTGGGCATCCGGGCGCGGCGGAGCCAGTCCGGTGCAGACCCCGCGAGGACGCGGCCCGACCTCCCGCACATTCCGATCCGATCCGATTCCCCGCGGCGAGGCTGACCGATCCTGCGGAATGGGCCAGCGTCGGGACTTCAGATTAGGTCGGGCCTGTCCCCCTACACGGGGATGTGGAAGAAAAAAGAAAAAGTCTAAAAGTACTTATGAAATTGCAAAAGAGTACTTAAAAAATCGTCCCCCTATTTTATCTTTGGACTGTTCTTGAATCTTCCTCCTGTAGAGGGGCGTGCCCGACCTAAACTTGGTATCGGGTCGGGGACTCGGATCGGGTCGGGAGCACCCTGCAGAGCCAGCACAGCATCGGGGGATCAGCTCGGAGCGGAATGAAGGGGGCCTGTGACACACAAATAAATGCACACAAATAGAAGGATCCCCCATATTTTCTGGGTTTTTGTCCTCCCCCCCACTTCCCTTATTTTCCCGTGTTTTCCTGGGAGTGGACGATTAGTTGTGTCTGTGTGTTTCCTGCCCTCCTGACGGAGGGCGCGTCGGGTCGGCCCGAGTCGTCGCGGATGGCGGAGCCGAAGCGGATCGGCCGCGCCGGGAGGCACAAAAAAAACGTCGTTCGAGCAGCGGGCTCCGGGGGCCGTCGAGCAGCTCCTCAGAGTGAGAAGCCCGTGGGCGCAACAGAAGCGTGGGAGGGGGCAGATGGGGAGGAAGAGCGGGTTTGGACGCCCGAAATGGGTACGGAAAGAATGGGTACAATGCCCAACAACAAATGTTGTCCCAAACCAACAGCGGCCGCTGTTGGGCGGGCGACCTTCTGTCTCAAATGGACACAGGCCGCGGCGGCGCGGACAGCGAGTCCTGTTCAAAATGAACAGGAACTGCTGTTGGGCATCGTACCCATTCTTTCCGTACCCATTTCGGGCGTCCAGAGCGGGGGAGGGGGGGGGAGGGGGGGGGAAAATAGAGCACTGGACATCGGCTGTTTGAGATAGCCGGGGCCAGAAAACCTGGCAAGGGCCAGGGCACGCTCGGTCTGACTCTGGCCAAGGCTGTACATGGCGGAGTGCAGCATGCCCCCGCACAAAGAAGATGTCTGCGGGTGCGTGGCGATGCTCCGCGCGCGTTCGATGGTGGCTGTGACACTGAAGCTGGCCGCACTTGCGGAACCAGCGCTGTCATTCCGAGTTTGGCTAAGCTTGCAATCGATTCGCCAATACGACTACATTCGAATAGAAACAGCTGGCTCTGGCCGAGACACCCTCACTGCTTGCTCCCAGGCTGGCCGCGGCGCACTGATGTTGCCGCCTGCCTTGCTGCCAGGGTCGAGGCGTGAGAGACATTCCTGAACGACCGTCCAACTCCCTCTTTGGATAACCTAAAAGGGGGTCCGGCACAAAGATCCCTTTGGGGTCAACCAAATCCCTCCCCCCATGCTTGGCATGGCGCTCCCGGATCCTGACGGAGACGGGTCCGGAACGCTGGGGCTGCCCCCCACGACCCGCTCTCCAGCCGGAATCGTCTTCTGAGGGTCTCGGGGACCCGGAGGCCGAAAACCGTGCAAATACGCAG